CTAGAATAGCGTTACCTTAATACGCTATATCGATAATCGAGTTATATAATATATATAGACTAATATATCTAGAAAATTCGATATAGAAGACTATATTCTCGATTATCTCGATTATATTTAATTAATTTAACTTAAAAACGTTTTTAGTATTAAAATAATTATATATTATCATTCTAAAGATATATAATTTAAAGAAATAAAGGTTATCTATTACGCGATAAAGCTATAACTATATTAATTATAAGAATCTCGCTTAGTTCTCTACTGCGATAACGATATATACGTTAATAGATTATATAAATTCTCTATATACGAGTTAGCTATAACTCTATTACGCGATATAACTATACTAATAATTACTTACGACATTATAGTAATATCTACTTAAATATCTATAAAGACTAATTAGCTAGTCGATAATCTATTATATTTTCGATATTAAAAAATCGCTAATATATATCCACAGCTAAAAGATCTCATATCTCCGCTGAAATAAGATAAGACTTACTAGAATATTAGTATAATTAGATTATACTACTCTAAGAGACTATACGATTTCTCTAGTAAAGGCTTACTATTAAAATTAGAAAGATATATATAACTCTAATAAGATTCTATACGATCTATTACGTACTAATAGAAATCTAACCTTTCTTTCTAATAACTATAAATACTCTTATAAGCTAGATTATTAATCTAAGCACTTATCGCGTTAAGTCGAAATTTATAAAGATATATCTTATCGACCTTAAATTAGCTTATATAAATATAAGATTCGATAATCTCTTAGTATTTTATTATCTTTAATTATAACGTATTATTATAGATAGTCGACGTCTTTATAACGAAGCTAATATGAAAAAAAGGTATTTAATTACTAAGAATCTATTATTTTAAATTCTTTCTTATTTCGATAAGTTAACTTATGCTAAGACGACTCTATATATCTTCTTTTATCTTATCTTCGCGGTATTTCTACGCGTAGATAAGTTTATTTATAATAAGCGAGATCTTTAATAGAAGAACTTCGGCGAATAATTTCTTATATATCGCTCGATAAGACTATTCGATAATTATCTAGAACTTATACTTTTAGCATCTAAAATAAATTTATTTCGTTATGAAATTATACTTACGATAGTTATATTAGAAAAAAATATATATATAAAAAAAAAAATAATTTTTTTTTTAAAAAAAAATTTTTTAAAAAAAACAAAATTTTATTAAAAAAAAAACCTTTTTAAAAAAAAAGATAATTTTAAAAAATTTTCCAAAAAAAAAAAAAAAAAAAAAAAAAAAAAAAATAAAAATAAAAATTTTTTTTTAAAAAAAAAAAAAAAAAAAAAAAAAAAAAAAAAAAAAAAAAAAAAAAAAAAATTAAATAATAAAAAAATAAAAAATAAAAATATAAAAAAAAAAAAAAAAAAAATAAATAAATTTAAAAAAAAAAAAAAAAAAAAAAAAAAAAAAAATATTTAAAATTTTATAAATAAAAATAAAAAAAAAAAAAAAAAAAAAAAAAAAAAAAAAAAAAAAATTTTAAAAAAAAAAACCATTTATAAAAAAAAAAAAAAATTTAAAAAAATTAAAAAAAAAAAAAAAAAAAAAAAAATTAAAAAAATTTAAAAAAAAAAAAAAAAAAAAAAAAAAAAAAAAAAAAAAAAAAAAAAAAAAAAAAAAAAAAAAAAAAAAAAAAAAAAAAAAAAAAAAAAAAAATTAAAAAAAAAAAAAAAAAAAAAAAAAAAAAAAAAAAAAAAAAAAAAAAAAAAAAAAAAAAAAAAAAAAAAAAAAAAAAAAAAAAAAAAAAAATAAAAAAAAAAAAAAAAAAAAAAAAAAAAAAAAAAAAAAAAAAAAAAAAAAAAAAAAAAAAAAAAAAAAAAAAAATAAAAAAAAAAAAAAAATAAATTATTTTTTTTTTCCCCATAAAAAAAAATATTTTTTTTTTACCCCAAAAAAAAAAAAAAAATTTTATTTTAAATAAAATAAATTAAAAAAAAAAAATTTTTTTTTTTAAAAAAATTTTATTTTTATTTTTTTTTTTTAAAAAAAAAAAAAAAAAATTTTTTTAAATATAAAAAAAAAAATAAAAAAAAAAATATTTTTATATTTTTTTTTTTTTTTTTTTTTTTGGATATCCTCTTGCTCCGGACTGACCAAGCCTCATCCTAGTGGCGCCGTCAACCAAGCCAATTCGCTATGAGTCTCCCAGATAGCTTATCTTCTCCCCTCGCACGAAGACTACAAGAAGTCTTGTGACCGGATGACGCTTTCCATGTTCATCGGGACTCGCGGACACAGTACCCGTCACTCAGAGAGAAACCTGGTGTCCTTTATGTAGTAGTGATAATGCCTGCCGCGTGTAGAGTCCTCACTAGCTTGTTTCGGAAATCTCGATCGCACACAGACATATTCTTCGCCCTTGCTGGAGAATAGATTCACGTTGCAGCGGTTGGTTCACCTGCCGGCAATGGCAGTACTTGATGAGAACCCACTGCATCCTCATCAGCGGAGACTGCAACTCCAGCTTCGTAATGCTCCACGATTGCCATCTCCGTCTTCGAACCTCCCGAGTCCAGTGTTCCAGCCTTAGAGCTTCCTGCCTGGGCCGTCTCTGCCCTCAACTGGTCTTTAGCGGCTGCATATTTACTCTTTGCCTGTTGGAGAGTATCGGCCAAAAACTCTGTGTGACTTCGCATGCCTTCAATATCCCCCGCGGAGTTCCAAACCATGTTCTGCAAATTTCCGGACGCTTTCACCACAGGTCGCATCAATTCCGCATCACCCGACATCGACGAAATAGTATGGTTCGCACTGTCCAGTATGTTTTTCGCTTGGCCATAGATATCCCAGTATGCTTTCACGTCTCTCAAGTATGTTGTATTCACCAATGGGACGGTCCACTGATCCGCCATATTCTCCACCTTGTCCAACCACGGCCCCATGAACTTCCTCTTATCCTTCATCAACCCCGCAAAATGAATCAACATGTCCCCCGGGTGGACTTTGGGTCTATCCTTCACCATGTTCTCTTGCAATTGAAATTCGTTATACCAATGCATGGGTTGGAAGACCACGGCGTCACGGAACTGGGGTCTGGAGAAGGATTCGAGCATAGCGCTTTGATCCGCCCACTTTATGGGGATCTCTGGTCGCAAGGATGGTAGAGCTTGGGCATCCGCAAGCATCTTGACGGACCACTCGTGCACGCGGAGGAAGAAGACGCCGGAATTGAAACCATCCCAGTTTTTGGAGGCGATGAGATGGATGTTGGGAAATTCGGTCGGTGGGAAGAAGGTCGTCCAAGGCACCTTTGGGTTCAAGATGATGGTGTCGGCGTCGAACCAGCTGTTGAAATGAGTAATTAGCATTCTGTCATAGCTCCTCTAGAAAAGATCTACCACAATTGTTCGAAAATAAGGTTACTGACACGATCCAACCCGCTCGCTGCCCATAAGGCTTGGCCATCTCATTCAGCAGCAGCATTTGTAGATATGAGAGCTTATTATACTGCGAGTTTCCATCGAACATGGAATGCCTGAGAACATGCGTCGGCGATCCCCAAGCCTCGCCATGCTTGATGTGCGATTTGATTGCACGCTCAAAAACCGGATCATATTCATCGTGCAAATTGGTAGTCGCCTGCCGCACTCGCGGACCGCCCTCATTTGGACCAACCAGCTCATCATGTGTGTCCGAAGAATCGAAGTCGCTTCGGGTATAAACGGACAGACCCTGGAAATGGTGGACGAGAAAGAAGAAAACGATGAGAACGAAGACGCCGACAGAGCCAAGAATGGCTCTTGAAGAGCGAGGATTATAGATTTGCATGTGCATTAAACCCCACCCCCCGAACAAAAGAAAGCAGGGAGAAGGCGAGCTTTAGGAAGAGACCGTGACATCCTTTACCCTATCGGTATCTACTACCATAGTCTTTTTTAAGTTTGCAAAGCCACGAATAAGCCAACACGAGTGAGGTCAAAGAGGTCAGCAAGTTAGCATGGAGTTCTGAAGAAATGGCGTGGAACGGCGTTTTAGCTAAGTTGGTGTTTCCCACGCCGCACGCTGGAGCTGAAGACTATCGACCAAAATTTGTATTTTGTTCTTGCACCTTCATTTGAACCATTGCTCTAGAAGTGGACAGTGACCTCAAGCCGTTTTTTCATGCTTCTTTGCAATAGTAATAGACACACATACAAATAGTTGAGGTGGTATGTGGTGAACAGGTGGGGTGAAGCTCAAGATGATGATGCTGACGGCGTTTGATGGAAGTTTGTTTCAGGTTGGTGGCTGATCTCTAGTGGTTTCTAAACCCCCGTCCTCTTGGCAAGGCGTGCCGAACCTCATTTTACCCCACCTAGAGTAGGTACTTTACTCTTGTATTCCCTTTTCCTCGAGCCGAGAATTGTGACAAAAAGCAAGCGAGGTTCTCAGCAAGCACGATTTCTGAAGACCGGCCTGTAATCAGGTACGTCTTCGTTGCCCTGGCTCCTGCGCAATGAAGACTGCATCCTTGGAGAAAGAACACATGGGGAAGATAAGAGTGTACGAATTTGGTTGCAAACAATTCAAGGGAACAGCCTGCAAATGATCTGTATGAGCGCACACTCTTCTATTGTACGCGACTAAGCTAGCAATTCATCTGCGCATGTGACAGGTAAAGAATGGACCGGAGGTGACGAAACGATTGACACGTGAATCCAACCCGAAGGAAACAGACGCCATGCTGGCTTCTGAGAGGAAGATACTGCCAGCCTAATACATGTTTCGCAGAGGATCCAGATCGTGACTTTGAATGCGCGGCTTGAAGACCCTCCCCCTTCCTCCTCACTTGCGTGCAACCAAGGCAACAGACGCAGTTCGACGGTATCGAGTATGGGCGTAGAGAATAGTAGCATTCGACGTGCGACGACGACAAGATATCGCACCACTCAGTTGAAGCATCCCAACGGGGAAAGCGACCTAGAGCGCTGCTCTCCCCTCCTACTTGACACCAAAGCTTCTCACCTGAAGATGACCCCTGCTCCATCCTCCCTACCAACCTGGTGACATGATGCCCTAGGACCACGTTTAGACAAAGGCAAACCATCATTCCACCTCAAGCCAACCGGATTCCCGTTGCGTTTTACACAGGCCGGGAAGTGGGATTTGACGTGATCCCTTTTGGCAAAGCCGCCTTTGCAGAGCGGACAGGTTAGATCTAGAGGAGTGTCGGCGCTAGCGTAGTTTGTGACGTTCTTGGGCAATTCCCCTTGACCTACTCTAGAAGGTATGACAATTCCATTGACTGCATCGAGCCTGTCGTACCTGGCTTTGGCACGTGTGGATAGTTTGGATGGCCGAGTGGATGAAGAGTGTGATAATTGGGATGCTGAGGCATTGGGTTGGCTGTCTGGCAGGGCGGCTCGAGAATCTTTTGGCTTTTTCTTGGACTCGCGACGCAACCCTGCCATTCTCCCTGATCGATTGCCTTGTGGTGCTGGTGAATCAGATAAGGACGGTGATGCGTAATGTTCGTTTGGGCTGTTGGAGAAGACTGGTGGAGCTTGTTGGATTGGTGGTATAGGGTAAGCTGCGGCGCTGCTGGTGGATTGAAATGCGTAGGGGTGGTGTTGGGTTTGTGGTGACGGGTAAGTGGCGGCGCTGCTAGTGGATTGGAATTGGTACGGGTAGTATTGGGTTTGTGCTAACGGGTAAAGAGATATACTGCTGCTCGACTGGTGAGGCTGCTGAGGGTATATCTGTCCATAGTATTGGGACGCTTGCTGATGATGGCTTTGATCTGTCAGGGCCGAGACCGACAGTTGGAAGGAGTGTTGAGGGTAAGCAACTGCATTATCGGCGAACTGGGACTGTCGCTGGCTGTACTTGTATCCATCGTTAGGGGATGGTTGCTGACGGCCGCGTCCCTCACAAGCGGACTGTTGCGGAAAGCTACTTTGGTACGGAAGGTAAAGAGCTGGATCTGCGCTCACGTGGGCGCTCGCCTTATAAGCATGCGCATCAGTCGAAGGTGTATACTGAGGGTAGAATTCCATGCTGTATGGCGAGATTGACGGCAAGGGATCATAGTGCTCGTGCTCGTGCTCGTGCTGGCCCCAAGGCATCATGGGTGCCAGCTGGTCTGGATGCCTCCTGCCCAAACGAGGGTTGAAAGCATGTTCCCCTATCTGAGACCATTCTTCTAGCTGTCTGCTTGACATTTCAACTGTGGTGTGGGTCATGCAGTGGATGGAAGACGTAGTTGATTGATACGATGCCGATCACAGTGTCAAGTGTCGTTCATCACTTCGAATGTCTCATAGGGCGTAGCGTGGTTTTGCCACTCAGTGTACACCCAAAGTGACAACGCTGCAAGCCAAGGTACAAACCTGATACCCATCATGCTTCTACATGGGTTCCCCCCCCCCCCCCACATTCACTGCTACAATGAACTTCACGAGTTCCTCTTCAGCACATCAATGATCCAATCCTTCCCTTCCACACCGTCAGGCAAATGATAGGCGAAAGCGATTGGAAAGCAATGCATCTGCTCTTTCTCCACATATTCCAGCTGCCTCGCACTTATCTCGGAAAACGCAAAGTATCAGGGGAGAGTATGTCATAGCCGCCAGTCAAACCATGTACCTTCACGCGTCTTTCGTTGAGGATTGTCGGATCTGCAAGTACAGGGGGAAAGCCTTGGATCTGAGAGATCCCAGGAGTCTGTCCAAGACTTTGCTGTCTTAATCTCAATAGGTAGACGTAATACAGGATCGTGTCTCTCTACGTCTCGGATCTTCGAATTGGTGAAGCGTCGAGAGATTCACGACCGGAGCGATGAGCATCAAATTCGCCGGGCTTTTGATGTCAGCACTGCTCTTCAAGGTCTCCAGCATCACAGCCAAGACGACATTTCTTCCAGAAGGAACACCGACGAAAGTGACCATCTCATCTTCCTCACTGCACAAGAGCCTTTTGAACAGCTTTACGAGACGGAGAAATGTCAGAGGAGCAGGACTATGCGGCGCAAGCGGGGACTAATCAGGCTGATGACGGCACCGGGTATCTTCTCGCTCAATTCCGCAAGGAACTTCCAATGATCGGACGAAGGGGGCATGCAAAAACTACCACCAGCAATATAATATACTCGTCGTGTCCGATTTTGGTTATTGCGGTCGACCTCATGGCTTTTTGCGGTCAGGTCGTATATCCATACTTCATCTATTCATCGCTCAAAGACATTACATTGAAGGGCTACTGATGCGGGTGGCTTCAATTGAGGAGAACCTGATGGTAAAGGTTTACCGGGCTTGGAGATCAGGAAGCCGAAGGGACGGATGAGGAGTTGGAGAAGCGCAGTTGGCAGTGAGCGATTATGGTACGTTGAGATTTTGGTGCTTCCGTTCATTGCATGGACATTACACTATAAATGATGAACGATCATGCGGGATTGTTAGGTTTAGCAATGTGATTCAAAAGAATGATTCAAAACGAAAAGGGTAATAATCCAATAGGCTAACCATATAGAGTAGTTATTAGCCTCGTCGATCACCTATAAATTGAATCACTGTTTTATATTATAAAACAGTGATTTAATTGCAAAGTTGCCCTATACGGCGTTAGCGTAACTGCTTATTTGGACATATAGCAAAAATAAAGAAATAATCTACCCACCTATCATAATTTTAGATGTCATTATACATACCTCTCGTTCTTACAGTACATAATGGCTACGAGCCATTCAGCCAGTCACTCAGTCAGCACTACCTATCCGCCAGCTCACCACTCCACTCGCCAGCCAGCCAGCCAGCCCCCACTACTCAGCCACCAGTCTGATATTCTACAAGATATAGAAGGAGCAATGCAGTACGGAGAACATTGCGGAGACAGTCAGCAGCAGCAGTGACACAACAGACCTACTCTCCACGATCTCACACCAGCCCGATACTCAGTAAGAGGAGGAACCACTGCAGCAGGCAAATGCGGAGAATATTGCGGAGACAGTCAGCAGCAGCAGTGACACAACAGGCCTGCTCTCCACGATCTCACACCAATCCACTCAGTCAGCTACTCAGCCAGTCACTCAGCCAATCACTCAACAAGAGAAGGAGCAATGCACTACGGAGAGAATTGCGGAGACAGTCAGCAACAGCAGTAACACAACAGGCCTGCTCTCCACGGTCTTACAACAATCCATTCAGTCAGCTACTCAGCCAGTCACTCAGTCAGCCACTCAGCCAGAGCACTCAGTTAAGCAAGAGGAGAAAACATTGCAGCAGGCAAATAAGGAGAACACTGCGGAGAAACCAAGCGGCAATAAGGCCACCATCGTCAAGAACACCGCTCAGCTCTCCAAGATCCCACATCATATGCTCTCTACAATCCCACGTCAAATTGCCACACAGCAAGCGGAGAACGACACTACAATTTGGCCTGCTATCTCCGCGTGCCTAGGCAATATCACATTGTGGTACATCACTGCAATGAGCACACAAGAGAAGGATCTACTGCGTCGATCACAGCCAATTGGACCTCTGCAGACAAGGGTCACCTATCGAACGATGCATATTTGAACGAATTGAAACCGTCCGATATCTTGTCTCGACAGCCATTTCAGCTATTTAAACTATCGCAGACATGGGGATATCCCAGTTATTTCAGCTACTTGGGCTACCGCAGCCGTGGAGATGTCTCAGTGATTTCAGCTATTGGAGCTATGTCGTTCAGTTGGGGAGGATTTTCATTATTTCAGCTACTTGGGCTCCGAGCCGTGGGGATGTCTCAGTATTTCAGCTATTAGGCTATCGCAGCCACAAGGATTCTCAGCTATCGCGCCATGGAAAGTCTCAACTATTCCACCTATTTAGGCTATCGCAGCTATGGAGATGTCTCAGCTATTCCAGCTAGTTGGGCTACCGCAGCCATGGGGATATTTCAGTTATCCCAGCTATTTGGGCTACCGCAGCCATGGGGATATCTCAGTCATTCTAGTTATTCGAACTACCACAGTCATATCCAGCTAATCAAACTCGGTCTGCTCGTACTCCACTGGAAGGACGTATTTATGACGTGGTGTAGTGGCGATCACAGCTCAATAGCCTAGCAATATGACTATGAAGGTCGTCACAACGAGGGCCCCATCATTGAAGGAGTTCATGATGTATATATGTGGTGAAAGAAGAAGAATAAGTGAAATTCAAAGAGATTTGTGACTCTTCGGCAAAGGTTTCGCCGAAGTCCGTGATATTGCCTAATCGGGTTAGCGGTAGAAGGGTAGGGCTGTTCCCGCTTTGAATCATTCTTTTGAAATTCGTTGCTAAACCTTTTTTTTTTTTATTTTTATATCTCGCTTATATTACAATTGCGAAATTTTGGTAAGTTTAATATCTTATAATATTAATATTAAATATTTAAATAATACTTTATAAGATCTCAAAATTTCAAGTATTTTTAAGTTATTTTAAGTTAATTATAGAACTATCGCGAAATTTCAATTATTTTTAAGTCTCAAAATTTCGGTTAATAATAATAATTATGGAAATTTCGATTATCTTTAGATCTCAAATTTTCGAAATTTTTAAATTAATAATAATATTTTAAGATTATTTTAAGTTAATTATAGAACTATCGCGAAAATTTCGAATTATCTTTTAAAGTCTCGAAATTTCAGTTAATAATATAGATTATGCGAAAATTTCGAATTATCTTTTAGTCTCGAAATTTTCGAAATTTTTAAATTAATAATAGTATTTTTTAAATTATTTTAAGTTAATTATAGATTATCGCGAAATTTTGAATTATCTCTTATATCTTAAAATTTTCAAATTTTTAAATTAATAATAGAGTTATTACGAAAATTTCAATTAATAATAATAGAATTATTTCGAAAATTTTAAGATAATTATAGAGTTATAACGAAGATTTAAAATATTTATAAATTTCGAAAATTTCGAGTTTTTATAAAAATCTCAATTTTCAATTATTTATAAATTTATTATAAAAAATTATATATAATAAAATATAATAAATAACTAGTTATTAAATTTATTTAAAAAATAACTTTATAATATTTATAAATTATAGATATTTTTAAAATAGAATATTTTATATAATAGATAATAGTATTTTATATAATAAAGAAAAAGCTTTAAATATAGAATAAAAATAAAAGTAGATTTAATTTTATAGTATCTTTATATATATATTAAAATAAAAGAAAATAATAAATAAATAAAAATAAAAATAGTAAAATAAGTAAGTATATTAATAAAGAAAGAATTTTATTTTATATATATACTAATATATAAATAGTTATTAATATTTACTTTGATTTAAATTTTTTTTTAATTATGTTTTTTTATTATTATGTTAATTATTTTAATTTTTTAATTATCGTTGAAATTATGTTAATTATGTTGAATTTTATTTGTTCATTTGTTCATTGTTGAAATTTTAATTTTTCGATTATCGCTTGTTTTTTAAACTAGTCATGCGGGCATCGATTCTGGGAAAATCTGCCAAACAACATCCCTTCTTTCATCAACAACTTTCCAACTCTAGCTTCTTGCATCTCTGTTCTACAATTCTTCAAATCATTGTACACGGCCACGATGTCTAGAGTCACGGCGTTATGCGTCGGTGATCACCCTGACCCCAATTTCAAGAGAGAAGGACCTTTCCGTTACTTCGACCTCCCCACTGAGGTCCGCGATCAGATCTTGAGGCTGCTGCTAGTTCGTGAAAATGTTGCACTGGGTAGGGAAAAGTCCATTCGGAATCGTTTTAGCGGTTGGAGTCACGAGAAACCGATGTGGCAACTACTCAGGGTGAACGGTCAACTGCGGGCTGAAGCTAGAGCTGTCCTCTTCTCACAAAGGAACAATACATTCTATTTTCCAATCGGCGGCACTTTGACAGGTGTTGCGTGGTGGTATATGTTAGGGCGTCCTTCTCCTCACATCCAGGCTGTTCCGCCCCCAATCAGGAAGCTGGATTGTGCATTTGATATGCGCGACTTTGAAGAGACCACTTTCAACATGTTCGAGGGGACGAAACGGGACTACGATGATGAAATGGCTCCTGGGGATGTTCCCTTCGAGCGACTTCCACCATTCGAGCGATTGGATCTTATACATGACAGCTACCGGTCCAACATGTTGAGAGTATGGCGCGGGATCGCTGAGGCTTTTTGCATGATGAAATTGTACCTGCTCCGACTAGACGTCAGCAAAGCCCATTGCCCTCTCGGATGCTGCCGACTCGTAGAAGAAGCTGTGGGGTTCGTGAAAGACTTTCGCCATCGTCGAAGGCCATACCCCAAGCGGATCGAAATACTAGGGGCGTTGGATCATGAGAAGGGAAGTCTGAAGAAGTTCATCGAGGATCGTAATCTCATACCAAAAGATCGCTATTTCTTCGTTGACACACCGGGCTGCAAATGCCGCGTAAGTTCGCGAAACTTGAGTGCGCGGATGTCTCTAGCTGACAAGTAGGACCATCCAGACGGATCCTGAAACTTGCTGTAACGCTTGAAATACCTTGGTAACAACAATATCATCAGTCGCATGGTCTACCTATGTCAATGGCCCAGGTGGTGATAGATGGAGATGAGAGATTGTTGAAGATTGCTTGGGCGATGAACCGTGTTCAGCCATGCATCAAGAGGGGAGGCATCGACGAGCTGTGACTGTCAGGATGTTGAAATAGTGCGTTGACTCAGGTCTCTGAGTTTGTTGATGGTGGCGACAAGGTAAGAAAGCAGGGATCTCAGCTTGTCGACAAACGACGCAAGCAATAAGAACAACCGCCACGGAATCCTGTGTACGCATCCGGGGCTATCTATGTATTTGATCCGTGCACGTGTTTCTGTTCAGTCAAGGGGAATCACCTTTACCTTGGAGAAGATTCTATTGTTCTGCCTAAGGCTGCTATATAGGTTTCTATCTACTTATAAATCGCCCAAAATTGAAAAACTGAAATACAGCAATGCGGGGCTTGGGTATCGCTGAATTGAAGGCGCTGATGGGAAATGGAGCTCTGACAAACAAAGACAGGCAGCAGATATCTCGTACAATGCAGTACTGTCAGGTAGATCGGTACTAGATGTCAAGATGCTTGAATGGATGAATACGTAACAATGAGCCTCCCTCTCAACGCGAAGGATCGGTAGATAAGAAGGTCTGAAGTCTCCCGTGCATGTTGTATGAGTGTCTTCGATCTAGGGGCGGCGATATACTCTCCTTGGCCGGAGTTCCCGCCTTAGAGGAGAAGGTTCTCTCCTAGTGGCTTTTCCAGGAGCAATGGTGACGATTTTGGGCTTTAGCAGATGTCGTCTCCGAGGCGCTCCGGACTCTTCTTCTTCTGACGAACTGGTTGGGTCGGAGTCGCTGGAAACTGGGGCTTTCCTTCGTCGGGTCCTTGGCGCTGGAGATGGATCTCTTCTGGCGACTCTTTTGGGCGCAGCGGAGACGATTTTTGGTTTCAGTAGCTTTCCTTTGGACCGTAATCTTGAAGACACTCTGGTCATTGCCGTCATCGCTATCCTCTTCTGAAGAATTGTGAGAGTCAGAATCGCTAGACTCGCCAGACTCGACGATGGGTGCCTGGCAGGAAAGCGGCCTGCGGGTCGATGTAGATATACTTGTAGGCGGTGGGGGACTGACAATTCCGTTCCTGCGATTGCGCCTCGTTGATGGAATTGTACTCTATACTCGTGGGCCTTGTCACCCACGTTTCTAAAGCGCGTTTCGACACCTTCGCGGAAAGACTGCAGGGTGAATCAGTTAAGTTGAAGGCCTTGATTCGGGTCATATGCGTGTGCGGAAGGGTTCCGGGTCCTCCTTGGGTTGTGTCATATGATGGGTATACAGTCTTGAGATTCCCCTTCCACTGTAGGTATATCGCACTAGCGGTGCGTAAGCTTTGTCGTCGTAAGCCTCTTCTCTCCTCCTAGAGATTTGAAGACGCTGTGCACGGCTCGAGCGCCTAAGGCCCCATCGATGACATGCTTGTCGCTTAGCTACAATAAAGGAACCGTCGGGCCCTTTGGCTTCAGCAAAGTAAGTGGGCAAGAAAGGGCCTTTCTTTGCGCTTTGATGGGACTATGGCTTTGTCTAGCAGTCTTTTCGAAGGGTTCGGTTACCCGGCCCTGCAAGATTCTCCTTGGTACTAGTCAGGCTGTGGAACGACGATCTTTTCGGTGATGTAATCGAGGTTTCCGAAGTGGGTACATTCTGACCAGATGCATATTTCGACTTTCCCACGATCTTGGGGAATACATTGCTCATGACCTCGATCTTCGTCCTGCGCATCTCTAGCGGCTTCTCTGAACGATTTGTAATGACCTATCGGAGCTGCGGGAAGGTGAAAGTGCTGGCCGAGGCTGTATCAGTACTTCCTCCCAATCCTGGTGATTTACAGCTCTGTGTCCTCGGTTACCGTAGGAAAGACGTTGTTGTCAATAAGATGCTGCTCGAAATTTGCCGTCGTAGGCTGAGGACCTCTTTTCCTTCTCTCCTGTTTTTGACGGGGACTTCGGTCCTGGCTTCGGCTTTGCCCTTCCGCCATTTCGTGGCATTGGGTCTGGCGTAGATGAGACTCCCTCAGGGTTTCGATGCTAAAATGTACTGATCAGTGCAAGACTATTTCGATAGGAGGAAGAGGACAAACTCTTCTGATGTCGGAGAGATCAGGACCACCGTGCCGCGCAAAACGAGTGATGCCGGTAGGGAGCTGCTTGCGGTTGACTAGTACTCTCCCTGTTTGGATTTTTGGCCTTGAAACGTAGCAAGAGCGTTTCGTCGATTCAATTCACGTAAAGCATTAGATGTCAAGCCGCAATTGGGATAGCGAATCCCAGTATGAACGTTCAGCCCTGTCCCAGGTTGACCAAGAGCAGTCGGTCGAGGAGTGGGTAGAAGAATTGGAAGAAGGATAGCTCGAGACCCTTTGCCTTTTTGCCTGAGGATTCGAATGATTGGACCTGGTTCTGAATGAGTACTCGTGGTTCTCAGATGAAAGGGACCGGGTGTTTCCGCTTTCGCCCTGTAGGTGGAGGTTGGGAGTCAGGTGCAACTGTAATCCTTGGCGAAGATGAATCGCAAGGCCAAGTTTCTTGATTTGAGTGAGCTCCGACCTTTCGATTATGCTGCAGATCTGCCATGATTATATAGGAGTCCCAACGTTAGGCGTTATGGAGGATTCGGAAGCGAAGGGAGACTTGAGACGCGCTCATGCATGCGGCCAGGCGTTAAAGGTCTGAGATCATTGCTGCCTAGGAGTGCGTTGACTCTTGTCCTCTCATTCATGACTTTCTTGAGGAGTTGGACATTTTCCGGCGTCTTGGGAATTGTTTGAATCCATTGCTGTTGAAACGCGGAAAATCTAATCCAATTTGACGGCGAGGCTATTTTCAGGAAGCTCGGCGGCTAGAAGCGAGCTAACACCCGAAGCGGATAAGCGTGAGGCAGCATATTCAACTTTTCTCGAGACTATTATCCAGAAGACAAATTCATTGGCCTTCATTTGCAAATAAGTCTCAAGGCATAGCCTGTATGATCATCGCGTCAAACACGCTTAGCACGATCTTCGTCAAGAGATAGATTTTGTGTTTGTGGCCGCAAGATATGGAAGAAGAACCTGGGCGAATCGTCTACAAACTTCGATTCTACCACAGCCTCAATACAGCAGCGCGCAGTGAAATTAGTACGACAGCCAATTGGCACCCTCAAGATTGGTGAAGTTGGAGAAGAGCTAATCCAACCGGACCAAGGTTGAGCGCAACGTGGAGAACTCACAGCAACCTTATTCTCTGGATGCACTTTCAATGCATTTTCGAACTCAGGACTGTGGGTCTATCGATATGGTTGCTTTTGGATAGACGCCCTGTGACTTGCATTCCAGAGAAGATGTGCTTTTCATCAGCATCACAACCGCCATCTCATGAGGGTCATGCCTAATTACGACGGCTCTTTGAGATACTCAAAAGACTGGCATATCTCCAGTCACCGTCCAGTGTCCTCAAAATTATGGATTTCCGATCATTGATGCCAGGTATCTTTGGCTTTTCTCTCACATCTTGGTCGCAAAACTATATTTTCAGTGGCATTAATCCCGTCAAAGAATGATACGACACGGTCCGTTGGCGTCAAAGGCTACCACATCCACTGGATTCTCCTGACTCGGCGACAATCCCTTCAAGTCTCCAGGCAGCTGTGTGTTGGTAGCCTCACCAATTCTACTAGACCCTTCAATCGTCACGCATGCTGGGGCTATAATTACTGCTAGCGCGGTCTTACCCCCAAAACTGACGACCGAATTTCATTCCCCAACCAATATCCCCCAAGAGAGGGTTTACCTTTTAGGTGAGTCGAATCATTATGATGGCTATATAATAAGGAAACGACGTCATGTTCTTTAGTTTCTCAGGAAATCTATTTGAGACGGCTCTGTCATATTAAAAGCATCTAGTAAAATTTACACTCTAAAACGGTCAGGGCTGACTGCCTCATGGCTGACTGCCTCATGGCTGACTGCCTCATGGCTTCCTATACACAAGAGCGCAACGCTTCCTCTCTACTCGGGCATCGACCGCAACGTCTCCACCGCCTCCAAACACTCTCCTTGGTCTCCCAGCCGAGCTCAAGCAAGCCCTGTTCTCATCACTAGCAGATGTGGCATCATTGAAAGCGCTTATGGTGACATGCTCCTCTTTGTACGACGCCTTCCTCGATAACAAGGCTCTCATTCTCACCAACATCTTTCGATACAAAATCGACCCTAGCCTAATGCAAGATGCCCTGACCACGTTGCAGTCCTCTCGAGTCACTTTCCGGAAGAGAGAGGCAGCCATTGATCTTGTGGCAGACTACATCACTCTTGTCGACATGTATGTGCCCTCTCGTCCTTGCATTTAGAGCTTGCGGGAAGCTGATCGATCTAGCTCTAAACATGTAGCCGAGCCTACGATTGGGCGGGGAAACCGCAAAGCCCGTTTCGTTAAGGACTGGAGTAATCAGGACCTTGTTAATGGTTGCCTCTCGTTCGGTCCAGCATACCTCCACCGACCTCGTTCTCGCAAAGACGTACAACGAACGCAACCAGATTCTATCCGGTCAGCCGTTCACCAATGGAGATTCCGTCCTCGCTTTCAGCGTTCAAAGTGGAGGAAAATGCTTGATCACTCCATAAGTCACAGATGACGAAGATGAAGGCCCAAGGGATGCGTGGCGTTGGACGCACGCTGATAGCATCACAGACTGCTGCTACAACACCAAAGAACGTTATGATCTTCCGCGGTGGGGATACATGATTTGGGGTTATATTGGGCTAATGCAATGTAACATTCTGGACCGGGATTGAAGAACTCTTCCAATGCCCCTCGCGGAAGAGCGTTACAGAACTGGATCAGCCAGTCGGCTACGGACGGGATATCAAAGCGGTTTCGGGGACTGAGGATCAGGTAGCTCAGAAGTGTGAGCTCGGGGGAGGGAGAGACCAGTGAAAGTTCAAGTGGCGATCACAGTTCTCCAAAAATTCTGCGCAAACTCAGCAGAAGCGAGGCTTGTCGGAATGCTAAAGCGACCGGAGGAAAACATTTGAGATATCAGATAGCCACAAGCTGAGCCAAAACATCAAGCAAACACCTTCAAAACACCTTGCATGGCTGACATCTGTCCGAACCGCTCAAACGCCCCACATCGCTGCACTTACCCCTCTCCATGATCAGAACCACCTGTTCCTCCTCGTCCTCCTCGTAGTCCGCGGAGTCGCATACCCATCATAGCCCACCCCACTATCAGCATTCGTCTTGTGACCGTACCTGCCAGAACCCGACTTCTTCTCCTTCCTCGCACCGAAGCACGTGAAGAGGACGATGAACATGCCGAGAAACAAGAGCACCATGGCTGCAAGACAGGTCCACATGCCGACCGAGTAGAAGGCATGAGAGCCTTTATTCTGCTTGTTGACGTGGTCTTTGACGGTCTGGTGTTGTCTATGAGCATCGTTCTTCCGCCAAAGAAAGGAGGGGAAAAATGGGGGGGGGGGGAAGAGAGAGGGAAGAAAAGATACCAAGGACTCACCCCGAAAAGACTAAAATCAACCGCCATAACCACCACCGTCACCACCCACGCCACAAACGCAACCAGCGCGCCGAGGACCGACCCCACGACCCCCGCGCCCAGGCTCAGCCCGAACGCCAGGAACGCAATCGCGCACGCGATCGGATGCAGAACCATCACACGCGTCAACCCATCCACGCCATCCGCACTGGCTCGACTAAACACCGTGCCTGCACAATCACAAACCATCAGTCCAAACCCCCCCGTCGCAAATCACCGCCACTGGAGAAATCCCAACTTGCCGTCGACCGCGCCCATGACGTCCGCAGGCTTATAGCCCAGGCTCCTCGGGTAGCAATAATCCTGGTCGGTGCGCGCGGGGGCGACGTCGAGCACGCAGTGGCCGAAGGAGCCGAAGGTGACGCTGGAGTGGCGGAGGTCGCTCGAGTTGGCGAGGGTGACCTTCAAGATGGCGATGTCGCCGATGACGGGGGCGGAGATGGTGGTGATGAGGAGGAGGATGGCGGCGAGGAGGAGGAAGGTGACGCCGAGCCAGTGGAGGGGGGATGTGCGGGCCATGGTTGGTTGGTTGGTTGGTTGTTTGTGGGAGAGAGGGAAGGGGGTGGGTTTGGGTGAGAGTTTGATTGTACGCGGGAGGGATGCCGTGAGTGGAGAGCGAGGACTACCGTGTTGAACTTTGTCGTGGGCGAGTGCTTGATCTTAAGTTGATTTTGTGGTTCATGAAAGCAAGGATTACTCTTGAGTGAAAGCGTTTCAAGATTTATAACGAAATTACGACCCAGACCAAGGCAGAACCCATGCGCTGTTGAAATTGTAGCCCAATCGGGTTAAGCCACGCGTGTCGGGCCGTGGGGGAGGCGCAGCAACCCCGTCATCAGGGTCTCTTCGTAGTGAAATGATAATAATCTACCCAGTTGTGGCGTGAGATTGGAACCATCTTCGATGGCGAGTGTGGCTGTGCTGGTTGAATGTAGCTGAAGATTGGGGTGCTGGCCGGGTGGCCCTGGAACTAGGGGGTGTAATTGCACCCACCACACCCGGCAAACACCCTACTAATTTCTCTGCGGCAAGTTAAATACAGCATCGTCGAGTACCAGATTCGGCCTTCTCTCGCTGATCAGCTCAGTCTATTATCGGGAGGCTTCGACGACCGGACGACGAGCTTCGTTAGGCGGTGGAGCCTTTTCAGTGCAGATGGCAGTCATGCAAGGTGTTCAAGGGTCTTCATTGATTTCCTCTAAGCAATATCTGTGGTACTCTACATGTCAGAGATTCTCCCTCCACGTCTCCATATCGGTAGCCCACACGTCCCTGTTACCCCAGCATCTCTTGGGTTCCATTGTCTTGGCTCTCTCGGGTGGAGCTGGCGGAGGCCATACAACACGACTCTCGTCCTTGGCGCTCCACCAACCTCTGCCGCCGCGGCACCATATCTCGTGTCTTGCCTTGAAGGAACCCCTCATCTCATCCATGCGACGACGGTGATCCTCACTATTAAATGAATCTCGAGAGAGCTCATCCCATTCGTAAGTTAAGAGACCCCATTGAGCAAGTCGAGCGGAGTCCCACATTACATAGCCCCGTTTTCGAAGACTTCCCTGTTCACTGATGTTGTACCAAGCCGCATTGGTGTTCCCTGCATATGCCCACCGCCATGCCTCTTCTGGACCCTTGTCACCGTCAATGGCAAGTTGAGCAGTGATATGAACGTGTTCGTCCTCTTCCGTGTAATTTTCGAGCATTGAGAGGCCGTTGCCATAGCCTTGTGCCTCTAAAGCGTCAAAGAGTGAGCAAGCGGGGCCTCTTTTGTGCTCCTTTAAGAGACGGCAACGGTCATCGAATGCGGGTGTAGTAACAAGCTGGCGAAGGTATGTCAGGCCAAGAGAAAGGTAGTGTTCTTTCCAGTAGTCATATAGCTCATCCTGGTCATCAAGATAATTCATCTCCAACTGTCCCCACTCAACGTCATGCTCAGCCACCTCGTTGAAAGCTGGATTCATTAGCTAATTGTATGAAGGCCGGAGCTTTTGGGAGCACATACGTAAAGACAAACGTTTAAAGAGATAGTCTCGGACACAAGCTAACTGCTCATTTTCCCAAGGCGCGCAGATTGAGAAAAAGATGCTCTGCGGACTCTCGCTGGCGGCCTTACCGAGTTGGATGTCTTCACGTTTTCGGAATATGTTGCAAAAGAGCTCGTACCTATAGAAGGTTCGTTTGATTCGAGTGGATTCTAGCAATGATAGCGGAGACGGCGATGCCTCGTCAAGTCCAGTCACAGGGTCAATAGACAGCGCCAAGGAAGCGAAATCTCTGGAGAAGAACTCGATGTTATCGTGTAAGCCGCCAACGGCTAAGGCATCACGAAGCTTCCATATCTGGGACAGACATGCGAAATCCTGCTTGGTATACGACTTAAGAAGCTCGATGGCTGCGTCATTACTATAAGCTTTAAGCGTCGTGGATTTGAATACAATGGTAGCGTCGAATATAAGATCCAATCCGACTTGAGAGCGTAGGATAGATTTGATGATGAGAGACTCAGCATCGAGGAAGGTGTGATAGAAGGATGAGCATGTCAGGATGAGTGATATCAAGCTTCTAGTATCTGGCAGTGCTGAGAAGATGATTTGTTTGAGCTCAATTGTAAGAGATAGAAAAGGATTTGGTGGTACAGGTGATACAGGCGGGAGTAGAAGTTGAGCATCCATCGTTGATGCACGGGCACCACGGCACATTCAAAAAGACAACAGATTGTCCGAATGAGAAGAAGGTGCTCGCGGCTGGTCACTGTTGAACAATGCACTGCTGAGTTGTAGATGTTGAAAGAATCAGAATATCGAAAACAGGGAGCCGCGCTAGTTAGCCTCAGCGTGCTTAGCGCCGGAAGAGAAGGTTCTCTCCGCCAATCACTTGGTGACTTGCCCGAAGACACGTACTATCCTAAATAAAAAGCAGATGCGGTTGAAGGATCAAAGGATGTTTGCATGGCCTGATAATTCAAGTGAGGCTGTTGATGCTGAAGCGAAGGCTAACATAGTACGGAGATGCAGCTACCTGGAACGTCCCTGCCACAATCATCACCGCCGGCCTACTACGAATGTCTGTCAGCCTATTATTCAATCTTTTAACACCCCCTACAATAGAGAATTTGGGAATGGTAGACTGCCAAGCCCGAAGGATTTGGTCGGTGACCTATAGGAAACAGCATAAGCTCGGATGAAAGCCTCTCATTCTGCATGCCCTGCATGGCACGCTCTTGCGTGATAAAAGCTAGTGTCTAAAACGGGTGGCATCGCCAAAATGCAAGCACCCTACTGGCAGTGGTCCTCTCATTGCAGAGGTGGCAAAAGAACATCATGTGGCCAGATGCTGTGCGTACCCCACATGATGTTGTGCGTTCACCGTGCAGGTCGCGCTCGTCGTCTCAACATCGACTCAAAAATCCCGGCTCCAATCAACGTTATGTCTCGCTCGGAAGAGAGTTCTCGATCTGCTGGTGGAGGCTGCATGGCAAGCCTGGGGCGCTTCGGTCGGGCGCTGCTGCCAGTAGAAAGCCGACGACCTTCGGAAGCAAGAAGCAGACCAGACACTAGTTTTCCCTACAGACAAGTAAGCTCTGCTGGCAGGACCACAGGTTTCTGGGTCTCTATGAGCTCGCTTGACAACAAAATAGGAACTTCAACCCGCCAAAGGAGGGGCTCGCTCTCCCGCAAGAACTTCTATTACATATATCTATAAAGTCCGCACAAACCTTTCCAGGCCTGCCTACAGTCATACAGAAAGATTCTCTTGTGGTCAACTACACAGCCATATCTTTCACTCGTTGGCACCATGCCACGCTCAACATTGACGTCTGGTTCTTCCATATGCTCTTACTATACGGCTCCGAGTGACTATGACACTACGGATGACTATTATTCTAACCTCCCGGTTACTTCAACTGAGCTTCGAACCCGGACTGACAATCCTGGGACATGGCCGCTTAGGAGTAGACGCACTGATCCTAGACTCTCGGAGCGCACAACTAGGTACGTTTATAGAGCGGGTGAAGGGTTTGATACCCTTGCTCTCGTCCCTAGAATTTTCGTACCAGCCGATTCCATATCTGGGGAAGTGCATATTGACTCCGAAATACTCGCCAGGGGTTACAATCCGTCCTACTACGGTGACATAGCGCCGATAGCTGGGAGCTCACGTACGTACATTTCATGGAAATCTACCCCGAATCGAACCCACCATGTGGGTCGCAAGTCATGTTATGGCGTGAATAGCAAGTTCTATCACCGGAAAGTTAGGTGCTGACTATGAACATCCATAGCTACCTTAACAGACGTTAGGTATCGAATTGAAAGCCTCGATACTCCACCAGTTGGCACACCAATGGGAGATCGCTACCGTCAATACAAGTCATACGATGTAGACGCTTATGACGCCGAGCAAGAATACAACGATAGATTCAAAGAAGTTCCCAAGGCTCCGAGAAAGAAGCACGAGACCGAGGATTACAAGGGTAAGTTTAACGAAGCCAACCATGTTAGGGACAACGCTGCGAGTTACGAGACAATACCGGGAGCAGAAGGCCTTCATTACACCTTTTTAGTAGCCCATTGTTCAAGGTCCTGTCTCGAAGAGGTTATGCTAATACTGAGTCTTCAAAGGAGACCCCCCGATGACTTTGAACCACCACCGACGGCTAGCGCCGTACGCGGAGAACATGGTCGATGTGACTTGTAGGCATATTGATACACGGAGCGAGTATGACCACGATTATATAGGGCATTATTCTGGAAAGGCACATCGTAAGGGTCATACCGACAGGATCATGCAAGAAGAGTGAAGAGAAGAGAGACTTCGACGGAGGGACGACGAACACAGAAGATTCGTACACGGTGAAGACGAAGCATACCAAGAAGCGGCGAAGGAGGAGAGAATTCGCGCGAAGAAAGAGAAGCATAGAAGAATGGGGTACGAGAGATCCGAGGAAGACGATGTAAGCTCATCACTGCTCTGAATGTTATCATACTGTCTGCATGTTACTAAACTCTTTCCTCAGTAGCGCCACAGAGCAAAGAGTTCAACAGGCGGGCTAGCCTCTAGGGGAAAGATCTCAGATGGTTGGTTCCTCTGTGCCAACATCTTTCCATCATCGAGTGCAAGATTCTACAGATTCTGTTTACGCAGACCAAGCGGCAATGTATTCAATGAGAATCACAGAATAGACTAGCAAGCTCTTACCACGTGAATCTACAAACAAAGCCGAACTTCGATAGTCCGTACATGACCATTTACTGTGCTCTGTTTCGCAAGAATTTTCCCCACACCGCAAAGCTTCTTGGGATCACATTTGAGCAGGATTTACGCTAACGTGGTCCCTTCGGAAAGACGTTCCTACTGCAGGCACTACCATGTCAGTGATCTCTCTCGAGAAAGCTCGAACACGTAGTCTAGGTGACGAAAATTCTTGCCCCGAAAACAATTGCCGGTGTCACAGTACACGGTTCGCTCGACGAGGAAGAAGATTTCCAGAAGGTCACTAATCTTCCCCCTTCGACAAAAAAACCGCCGCAACATACTCATAAATCGTGACATCAATCCCCCCACCCAACGCCAACCTCCCCAACCGCATACTACTCCCCCTCCACAACCCTCCTTACCGCCAGCCTCTCTGTGCAAACCCCAATTGCCTCCCTGTGCCGACACCCCCTTAGTTGACGGTGACCCGCATCTTCACCGTATCAAACGACTGCGGTCGCAACAGTCGCGACCGCATTGATCGCCAAATTCCGATCCCGCAAGCCCATTGTCATAAACAACATACGACGCCAACCTCGCCGCTGACATACCGCTCTGCTTGAGCGTCGTGCTCGCCAAGCCCTCTATGCAGCCCACTCAGCCTGCTCGCGGAGCAAAACGTCGTCGATGAGCGCCTTTTTGATCCTGTCAGTCGGTGTCACAGCATCGATTTACTGGCCTGTGACGCTAGTACGGAGCTCCAGTCTCTGTTTGACCACAAAGCTAGGCTATTCTAGAAATTGCCGTACGAATCCCCACATGTGTACAACAGTAGCGCCGCACTTGATACAACGTGTGCAGAAATGCAGTGGTAAATGAGCGCCAATATAGAAATAGCCGTGTCTGCTGGAAGATCTGTGTGACTGGCGAAAATGGATACTCGAACAGTGACACTGCGTGCGTCTCGAATGCAGGCGACGATAGACATTCTGCAGAAATCTTGTGGACCAGTGAACCGATTTTCGGTTATCTTGAATAGACAGGCTGCGAGAAAGCCGATGGTTCTTCCATGAAGCCAAAAAGTAGATCGCCAGAAAGCAGATCCTGCGCGAAGAGGTCTAGTGCTTTCAATTGGTTTGGAAAGCAGTCCCTTTAATACTATAGTCACAATCACTGTGGTTTTTCAACTTATTGCTACTATTCACATGGAAATTATTGGTGCTGGTGTTTGCTTGGGACCTGAGCGTGGAAAAATCTGAAGTTTTGCATCCAGGTCAACATATGCTAGTGTTGCTCCAGCTATGAGTCGTAGTCAGTGGATCTCTGCTCAAGTCGACTGCTTTCCACGTAATCTCAGACGGTACGCTAACGAACCAAAAGGTGGCCATGACTTACCCAGCACAAGAGAAAGCCCACTGGCATTTCATCAGATTCTTGACGATCTTGGCTGCCTTTGAGACTCCAGAACTAGGTGTGTTCAATTTGTCGAGCACCTGCAGGCTCGTGTGCACCAAAGACGTGTACTTGCCGCCATTCGCGCCCTCATATCCTGCAGCATTACGGACATGAGGAGTACAAGCCACATAGAAAGTATACGCAAAAACATGTGTTGCGCCTCTCAGTGTATACAGCGATCGATAGGCAAGCATATTACTGGTGATCTTGCGCGCCGGAGCGGTGCATTACCTCCAAGAATTTGCGGGAGTACTGGCCGACCGCAGATGATTGTTCGAGACGAACGGTCTATGGAGCAAGATGACTATAGACCAATAGATGTCATGGTGCATGACGACGTTCCGAGGAACGGAGCGGTGCGCGGGTTTGTTGTCACTAGACCCGGGCTTGCAAAGTAAGTCTTGTATTGGATTTCTACTCCAGGCGGTGAGACTGATGTCTATGGACTGCAAGCTTGAGCTAGAGATGGCGGTAGACGCTCCGACGGCATGGAAGCGGTTCATGTTGTGCGCTATGATCCGAGAGAGAAAGCACAACTGCTTGAAAGTGGTGGAGACAGAAAAGAATGGGGATGGATCCAAAGGTGCACACATCGTGTTGTTAATATTAGGACTCTGACTATTCACGTACGGAGTCCAGATATCCATTTCTTCAGATGTTTCAAGGAAGTTGCGTGAGACGTGCGCTTCCCCCATGTAGATAGCCGCAGGTCGCCCAAAGTACAGACACTGCAAGTTGTCACAGATTAAGCACCCCAGAAGACCCGCTTTCTGATCTCTACTGCTTCGGCGTTTGCGGCGTTCGCCTATGTTGTCGAGGTGCAAACCAAGCTCATACACCATTCTACAAAGCGTATCCTGTGTATATACAGCCTTTGGAGATCTCTCCGCGAGAGTTGAACATCGAGCAGATTAGTAGAAGTCCAACCATTGTTGGGATGCTAGATTGGATTAAGAGCTTCTCTTGGCTCAACACCTTGTCGCATTGTCTGAAGAATCGACCTCCGGCTGTTGTAGGATCGCTGGGGTCATCCCGAATCGACACTCTTCCGGAGTAGTTGCTCGTACAGGCCAGGATCGCATAGAGCAGAAACTTGGAGCAGCCAGGACCTCTCAGAGCTAATATCTCACATGATTGCTGGCCGATAAGTGATGCGAAACGTGTGATGCTGTCGATGCCAATGACAGTCGAGATGATGCATCATAAACTCCCATGAAATGCCATCAACCTCATGTGATTGGCGAAGACGATACCCTTATTGACGTTGTAAAGTTGCATTAGCGATGAGCTGGTACCACGCGTTCTCTCCTAGCTGTGGCTTAGGAGCCCAAACCTCTACTGGAGGACCTTGATTTACCGAAGTTGTCTCGAAGACGCCGGCTTGCTTCTCTTCCCCCAATGAGAGGACTGATACGTTGTCCATGACATCCTGGTTTGAGTCACCACCATCTTCGTTGATACAGTCGTCCTCCGGGATCAGATCCATGCCTGAAGCATCTGCATGCAACTTCTGCTGCGAAGATTGCAAATCATCCTAGCTTTTCCTGACGTTGCTTAAGTCGTAGGGCGGCAGACGCACTGAGCCATCAACAATATTAATAAAGTTAAGGCTGTGAGCTCGCTGGTCAGCTGAGCTGTTCTTCAGTGATAGAATAGCGTTCTCTAATGTCCGCTTCCCACCTTGCAATGCATGTACTATTGCCGTAGACGGTCTCCTTTTGGATGCCGCAAATCCGTAGTAGCGTCTACGCGAAAACAAGCTTTTAGCCGCAGGATTACGTTACATACAGCGCTAGCACTCGTACACGAGCTAGCGGTATTGTTCGAAAGGCTGAGTCTTTTCTGAGTTTTGTCCACTGCTCTCCAGAAGACTCCTTACCAAGTCTTTACGACCGGTTCTTGAAAAAACCACTTCACACCAACAATGTAAAATAACACGTCTAGGGTTTCATACGGAGGATGCTCTTCAAAAGGCGTTGGGCGATTCGGCACGAGTGCCGAAAAGCGGGGTCTGTTTGCTCCTCCGCTTTACCTTCGACTTCCAGAATCGGCTCGTATATCAAACTTCGACGGGACCTGACGGACCGTCGATGGAGGCAAGACAGTTTGACGTACCGTTTTGTTCAACTGATGGTCTCGTTCCGCTGGTTTCCCAACATCGGAGAATCACGCTCCGTCCAGCACGGAGCTATCCATAGCAATCAAGTGCAGGTCAGAGATCCCGTCTACGTAGTGATTCATAATGTTGGTGCTGCTTTCTTCTGTACATGCGGACCAAGTCAGACCCTTGAAGACCAGTTTCCTCGTGGTGCAGAGCCCACTAGAGAGTGTCTCAAAAGAAGGATACAGCTTTCTTTTGCTAGTTGATCCACATCTGCGATTGCTGTGATTCGAATTGAAATCATAGGAGCATTTCAGTAACACCTTTTGCGGACAGCTCTACCTATAGACCTCACGCCATGCCCTCGCTTCCTCAGAGCTGCGACGTTCTCGTCGTCGGTGGGGGAAACGCGGGCTTCTCAGCTGCCATAGCCTCAGCTCAAGCTGAAGCAAAGAAGGTCGTAATCATTGACAAGTGCCCGGAAGATTGGGCTGGCGGCAACTCCTACTTCACAGCAGGAGCTATGCGAACTGTCCACGATGGCCTCTCAGATCTTCTCTCCGTCGTCAACAACTGCGACGATGCTACCTCCAAAATCATTGATCTTGACCCGTACACCCGAGAAGACTTTTCGAAAGATATGGCACGCATATGCTTGGGGAGATCAGATCCTCATTTGAGCAAAATTCTTATTGATGACTCAAATGGTGCTATCAAATGGCTGGCTCGTAATGGCATTCGTTTTCAATTATCATTCAACCGACAAGCGTATATGGTAAATGGCCGGTAGGTAGCTTTGCTGGAAAGGCGTTTGGCATCAGTTTCGCTAACGGCAGTGCCTGCAGATACAAGTTTTGGGGCGGTATGGCTCTCAAAACCCAAGACGGCGGTAAAGGCCTGATCGAAGACCACAAACGTGCAGCCGCTAGACATGGTGTCCAAGTATTCTATTCAACAGCTGCAACACGCCTCAACCGGGACCCCATCAGTGGCGCCGTTATCTCCGTCGACGTCGAGCACGCCAGCCAATCCTTCACCATCAACGCCGGAGCCACCATCCTAGCCGCAGGCGGTTTTGAGGCTAATCCCCGTATGCGCTCGCAGTATCTGGGGCCAGGATGGGACCTCGCGTCGGTGCGGGGGACCCCCTATAATACCGGCGACTTGTTCGAGATCGCAATGCGCGATGTTTCCGCTAAACAAGCAGGGAATTGGTCGGGCTGTCACAGCACGGCTTGGGATGCCAACGCCCCCGCAAACAGTGGTGACCGTGCTGTATCAAACGAATTCACCAAGTCAGGATATCCATTAGGCGTAATGATAAACGCTGATGGCCTCCGCTTTGTAGACGAGGGCGTAGACATGAGGAATTTCACCTACGCCAAATTTGGCCGCGCCATCCTCCAACAACCTCAAGGCATCGCATTCCAAGTCTGGGACTCGCGCACAATCCCATGGCTCCGTGACGAAGAATACCGGGACGCCGTCGTTGAGAAACTCCGCGGCAACACAATCGAGGAGCTTGCAGATCGCTGTAGCGAGAAAGGCATGCAGAACCGCTCAGCCTTCATTCAGACCTTGAGAGAATACAACGCAGCGGTCTACAAACATCGCGAGGAGAACCCCAACATCAAATGGGACCCAGCGATCAAAGACGGCATGTCAACCCAATCGTCATCCTCCGGACTAGCCTTGGCCAAATCAAACTGGGCATTACCGATCGACAAAGCACCCTTCATCGCCGTCAAAGTTACCGGAGGTGTGACATTCACATTCGGGGGCCTGGCGGTCAATCCGGAAACCGCAGCCGTCATTTCCTCGACTTCGATGAACGAAGTGCCGGGCCTGTTTTGCGTTGGCGAGATGCTCGGCGCCCTGTTCTACGATAACTACCCAGGCGGATCAGGCTTGACCTCTGGTGCCGTCTTTGGCCGGAGAGCGGGGACCGCTGCGGCCGAACTGGCTAGGAGGCTGGATGTGAAAGCTAAGGAGAAGTATGCAGTCGTAGGAGCTCGGCTTTGAGTCTTGTAGGCGGGCAGAGCAGGCGATTTTCGGGTTGTAGTAGCATTGGGGTCGTATATGCGTGCGAGCATGTGAGGAAGTCGATTTCAATTCTGCATAGCTGCAAAGATCGTCACGGAATCAATATGGTGTGACTCATATATGTGGTGTAATGTAAAGATGTTGATTAATTATGTGCCTGCAGGGCAGATATGTGCGGTGCCAAGCCTACGCTAGTAGGCCTATGAGTGGCCCTTGAGGCATCTCATGACAAAAATAGTGATAGTGGGCATAGACGGTGATGGCCACATTAGCTATGCGCAGCCAATATCTGCTTATGGTGTCTCAATAAATCTTGCTATTACATGAGCGTCACCATTTCTTTGCCCAAGTAAAGAAGCATTTGTCGCGCAATTCTCGCCCATTCTCGGAGGATGGATCATCCTCCTCATTGAGGAACGCGGTCTCTTGCCGTCAATGTTGGTCTCGGCTCAAATCACTTGACTTCATTTTCTCATGCCAATCCCAGTCTCATTTTCTGCGCCAAAGAATATACAAGATCTGAAAGAAGCTTGAAAGAGAAGGTTACAACGATATCAATCTCTACCTCTCCGTCACTCCAGCACCGACGCATCCTCTTTAACAGCCTGATCGTAATACGGCCGAAAAGCAAGCCACATCTCCCTCGGATTCCCCCTCTCTTTTATGCGTCATCTCCACCTCTTCCTTCCCAACATACACCTTCTCCCACCCGGGCCCGGCTGCCGCATTCGCCATCGTCTGCGCATGGCAAGACTCAACAAGAGGTATGAACAAAGCCACCGCCTCATCCACCTTCTGCCCACAAGTAATCACGCCACGGTTCTGCAATACCACGCTCCGCATCGTCGGGCCCAGCGCTCTGGCGATCCTGGCGCCTTCCTCGGTGGAGACGACGGTGCCGCCATAGCGTGGGTAGACGGGGAGGTCATTGCAGGAACGGAGGGCGTCGTGCTAGATCATGTCGACTGGGCAGGCGGAGCAGGAGAAGGCTTTGCCGAAGACGGAGTGAGCGTGGCAAGCGTCGCTGATATCGGGCCGGCGCACGTTGTGGATTCCGGGGTGGATGGCTCAAGCGGGGGCCGTTGACGGCGCTTTGGGCTCCGGATCTTCCCAAGCGAAAGTCTGCAGATCTCGAGATATCGAGCCAAGCTCCATTCTTTTGAAAGCTTCGCACTTGGCTTCGAAGAATCCATACTGCGCCGGCAATGGGTGCAAACAGGGTGGACGGGGTGCACGGGATGCGCGGGAGTGCAGTGTGGTCCCCGTCATACTGGCGGTGCTGCAGGCTGCCAGAAGCACTGAATTGTAGTATTTCATCCCCTCCAAGCGGGTCTGCCCATCGCAGCCGGTGTAGTAGCCGTCATTTGGCATGATGATGAAGAGATGGCGCCTGACGGCAAGTCTGCGGCCCTTTGCTCCACTGAGGACCCAGGGAACGTTTAGTTCTCTGTGCACAGCGGCCAGATGCTACTCACTGAATGGCCTGATCAACTCCCCCTGGTCTCTGCTCAAGCCGGGATGGTATGGTGTCTGCTGCTAAAAAAAAAAGAGGTTGGAGACCCTGCGAGCTGTGAGTAGGGAGCTTAGTCAGCGATGGCCTTGGCATTGCTGTTGAGGGGAGATGTTGACGCTTTGATAACAACTTCTGCATGTGCTACGGTGAGTCATCGTACCTATATGAAATCTTGACTCTCTTTGATGTATAATCAGGGACCAGTCGGCCTGATCGCCATTCCTAGCATCATGATACCCCACAGCAGATTGATTGAATGAACCGGACAATTTTTTATTGATATAGAGAGTGCATATCTTAGGGCGTGAGTTTCCGTGGGTGATGAGAAATTTTGTTTGTTATGCAGCCTCGTCCTGTGCTCTGGGACGGGTACAAAGACGGTTGGCTGCAGTACATATCCATCGAGTACTGCAGGAGTATCTCGGTATCAAGGTACAGACCAGAAAGCCCCAAGGCTCCAGATCGTCCGGACCGTCCGGCCAGGGCCGTTGAACAGCCCAAATTGAGCCTATTTCATCGTCCGTGGACCGTGGTGCGTCCAGTACCTTGTACCGTCCAATTGCAACCTGACTGTCCGTGATAATAGTCCCGCGAAGTTCAGAAGCTGGTACCGAAACGACTGATATATAACTCAAGAAGCTAATTGTCTATGCTAGATAAGAGATCTTCGAGCTCAGCCCTAACATTACCACCACAAGTGCATCAATCATACTCGCATACATGCCAGAAATCTAACCAAGTATTCGCTACAAACATTACTGTTGATCTGTTCGTCCAGACCGTGCGTCTGCCCACCTCGCTCGGACTAGTCCTGCACCGTCCTAGACGAACGGTCTGAACGAAGAGTCCGGAGATCAGGGTCGGACGGTCGCGAGCATTGCAGGAAATCCAAACTCGCATTGATGATACTCTTCACACAATCGCCTTCTGCACTCTCCTTCCATGCCGCCTCTCAACTCTGCGAGATCGAAAAACCATACGTCGATAGCATCGCATCACTCCCCGTGAACACCTCCGACCCTGCCGTTATGCTCTGAATATAATAATTCCCTGGAAAGTCCTCGTTCGCCTCAAGGTAGTTGTAGAAAGCGATAAGGTCCCCGCTGTAGTCGGTAGCATCATCGATAGCGACGAAGGTGTAGACGTTTGTTCCTTCTTGATTCGTGCCGATGATGAGGTTGAATTGGGTTTCACCGATGTATGGCGAGGCGGTTGGGGTGGGAGGGTAACCGTTGTTGCTGAGGGGGTAGAGGTCGCTGCCGTAGAGACCGAGCCAGACCATGACTTCATAATTTTGGGCGCCGTCGCAGGAGCTGCCGACAAAGGTGTCATAGCAAACGTTGGCGCGAATGTCTGAGCCAGAGTAGCTGCGTATCATGTCAGTACGTGCAGCTAGCAGGGTCTGTGAGGGCACTTACCTCCACGACCAGCTCGTTGGGATAGAACTAATGGAACTGATCTGCTGGCAAGACGTGGATGAGGACGCGACATTGGTGTACGCCTTGACATTGTTGACATTGTCTTCCCATGACCAGGTTGTCTGCCATGCAAGAGAGTTGCCATCCAGACCGTTGATTTGAGAGCATTGGGAGCCTGTGCCGGTGGCTTCACCCCATTCGTTGGTGTTAAGAGAGTAACTCCCAGAGTAGACGCTGTCGTACATGCCGCATTGAGGATCTCGAGCCTCGAGCGCTTTTGACGGAGCAGCGGAGGTGGGAACGAAAGTCGCCAGCAAAGGCAGCAGATGGAAGAAGGCTTGCATTTTGAGTAATTGAGGATGATATTTTTCAAATTTGCTTCCGTTCAGACGGATTTTTGTAATCTTGAGGAACGTGAATTTAAAAAGACGATGCCATCTTTATAGCAGAATCGTTGCCGCAAATGCGAGGGAAAATCATGACGTTGAAGATAAGCTTCCCTTCGGAGACCTGACCTTGCTGTGAATCCCACCTGCATGGCGATAGCGTACAAAGGAGAAAATGAGTGGAGGCAGAGCGTAATGAACCACCCATCGAAGACCTTACCGTGACTTCAGTCCGACCTGCATAGTGATAGGGTACGTAGGAGAAGATGTGTGGAGGCAGAGAGTAATAAACCTCTCTTCGAAGAGCCCTGACCCTGCCCCAACACCCCACCTGCATGGTGATAAACCTCTCCTCGAAGACCTGACCTTGCCCTAAATCCCACCTGCATAGTGATAGCAAACGTAGGAGAAAATGTGTGGAGACAGAGATTCATAAACCACTTTTCGTAGAGCCGACCCTGTCGCAATTCCGACCTGCATCGCGATAGTGCAGGACGGAGAAAGTGTGTGGAGGCAGAGCGTGGGGAAGCTGTGGCCAACTGTCTTGCACATGTGTTGCCCTGTTTTGCAACTGGTAATTTGGAGATATCACCCAATTGACTTTAGCCACATGCCCTGCATGCGCGATGGACTGCAGCAGTCCTCGCAGGGCAACGCAAGGCCAGAGTCCCAAAGAAGGAAGCCGTCGGCTAGGCCAATGAGCACAGCGCACCTAGACGCACAAGCCGCAGAATGCGCCAATGAAGCTATCTGCATCATCGGCCAGGTTAAGATGCGACGAAATATTGGAACGGGCGGCAAAGACGTTGGCATGCCCGTCCGAAAAAGGAAGGAGCTAAGGGTCTTAGCAAGGCTCCTTGGTCCCAAATAACGTTCTCAAGATAAATCAAGCCGTCTCAATATGCGGAATCAAAGTCTATTGCGCAGTCCGAGGATTTCCATTCTGCAGGATCGCTGAAGAGTAAAGATCGCTGGAAATGAGCCCAAAACGATTTTCGGTAGGCTGTCCTTGGACCCAACAAAAACAAGGAACTTCACTCCGTCCCACGGTAGGAGCGAGGATGAGGGAACGAGTCAAAGACGATGGAAGAGGGTGATGAAGACAGGGATTGGAAGGGGTATGTATCGTGCAGAAAGACCAGGGATGTTGGGACCGGTTGTTGAGTAATCTAGACTAAGCTCCATTCGAACTAGCTGATCTAGAAGACCATTGAAGACGATAAGGAAGAAAGTATGAAGGTGGCCATGCTCCAGTCTAAATACACAAACATGCCCGGAGATCGGCCTCGTGACTTTACCTATTTTGCTAGAAGATTCCACCAATATTGGAGGGATCCATGGATGCGTTTTCCAATATTCGGCATGCGAAATAAGCCTGATCATCACCAAATGCCCCAACACCAGCTCAGCCAATTGAAAATGGCGGGGTACGAGGTTGGCCCATGTGTTGTCTGAGAAGCCACTATCTCCATCTACAATGGTTTTGTACCAAGTGATCTGAGCCACTTGCGACATCAAACTCGAGTCTCTTGCACGTGGCACGAGACTCTTCTCCCCGCAAGTACCGAGCGGGGCGTCTCAAGATTACAAGACGAACTCTTTCTATCGAAGCTTTCTGGATAGAATAAAACATTGCAATAGGTCTAGGCTATCCAAAAGGCGCTTATTTCATACATTGAGTAGTATGTTTTTCAGCAACATCTACTTCGTCGATGCTGACGTTTTATCTCTTGTCAGGACTCTTTCACCCTCCTCTGCGCATAGCTGTGCCGAGACTCCATCTGCAACTGCGACACCGTGAGCGACAGCGATGGTGATTGTGTCATCGGAGTGCCTGTGTCACCCGCAACAAAGCAACTTTTGACGCTGGTCTCCCCAAATGGCTCGTTCATTTTGAAGTAGCTTCCGAACATAGTACGAATGATCTCCATGCCAAGCCCGTCGACCATCACCTGTTACCCCACTGGTTACGTGGGGGGCTTGTCAATCAATAAACCCATTCGTACGCTTCCACAGTCTCCGAAATGGACATCTACCTCGGTACCTTCTTCTGCTCATTGGGTGTACGGGTCAGCTCGATGATGATCCGTTCGTCGAAGATATAGCCGGTAGATTGTGCCGCATCCATAGCTTCTTTCAATGCAGGATCTCCCGAAGATGGACCGTTAGTGAAGACCGTGACGTTCGGCTTGTCACCGCTCAAATAACAGACCATCATCGCATGGTTGAGGTGATTCGTTGAAGAGAATCCGATCTGTCCGATAGGTCAATGAGAGCATTCAAAGCCATCGCAGAAAAACCATTGGTTAGCTGCAACACCTGCATTAGTACTGCAACGGTGTGTGGAAAGATAAAAACCATACAAGTTACAGGGCCAATTCTCGGCGTACCCCTTAATATCCGGGAAGACATCTCTAGTCCCCGTCGCTGCACTTTTAGCACTATACCCCTTCCTCTGCACACTTTACCGACCTTCTCATCGATTCTAAACCTTTGAAATCCATTTTCAAAGTACGCCTTCCGAACCATGATAACTTCGCCTTCGGCAAACTCGATACTGTCTCCATATTTACCCATCTGCTCTCTCATTTTCCTGCGGGACTCCGTGGGACGGGCGCCGTCGGAATCGAGGACAGTGTGCATGGATTTGATGCCAAGGTTGCGGGAACTTTAGGGAGAGAGCACAAGGGCGGTACGTTTGACCGGGGCGAGATCGAGGCCTGCAGGGCCGGCGCCGAGGATGAGGGCGCCATAGATCTTGCCAGGCATAGTGATCTTGAATGGTATTTTTGGTAGATTTGAGTGGTGCGGTTGTCAATGGATGATGATTGTGAGTGAGACGTGGGCAATCAAAGTATATCGGAAAGGTTTGTTCTACGCTTCAAGATGGATGTGATATTTCTGTGATCTGATTTGGGTCTCTGTTTTACCGGATAGTCAGCTTGAGAGACGTCCATACATTCCATAGCGATCCGAATACTTTTGGCTTTTGATTCTACTCGTATATCTGAAATGCTTCCGAGGCAACAAAATGTCGGCGGAAAGTCGACGGCGATTTCTAGAACTTCCCCAGCTGATGGCGACAGCACTGAAACCACCTGCATTATCACCGGCACACATGTCAAGTTTCCACAGCTTCTTAGCCCTCATTCTACCATGTATGCAGGTCAGGTAGCTTAGGTATCTTAATGTTCGTAGGTTCGACTAGCTTCCGACGCTAGTCCGATAACGTGAAACGAATGACAAATCGTGACAGCCAATCGGGCTGAGCCGAGTTAGTGGGTTTCGAAAGTTCCCAGCAGGTAAGAGGATAGCCAACAGCTCCACCAACAGTACTGTTCCATTGGTAGATCAAACAATTCTGCGACGTCACATATGAGCGTCTTGAAACTGGTGTCACCCTTCCTTCGTACTCATGACTTTCATCATCTATTCGTAATCAGGCGAGCTCAATGTACAATACGAAAACCCCTCATCCGCGCGTCCTCAACGACGCCAGATGAACAACCCGCTGTGCCTGTCATACTCTAGAGCTTTGAACAAGTTCACGGCATTATAATGAATGGAATAGGTAGACAAGACTGAACAACAGCCTCATCTCTAACACATATTCTACGCTCAAGGTCCTGCTTCAGGCCAGAACGGGGGCACGGATGAATAAGCACCTTCCTGCTGTGACCTCATCTCCGAGCCTTGCATATAACTACCTTCTCACATTGTTCTAATCTATCATCAACAATTCTTCACATTAAATCGAGTCATCCGCCCCGTTCGAGATCTACACGCCTACCTAGACGCAGTACTTGACATTCGGACGATCAATGGCGCACATGCTCGATGGCCCAGTCCCTGATGGTGCACGCAGCGTATCCTGGCCATGGTATCATCACGTTCTCACAGATGAGTTGACCGTGGATGCACGTACTCTATTCGAGCAGTATGCCAAGGTCCCACCAAAAGACGTCGAAAACCATATCTACCGAATAGTAAGCTCCAAGGCCTTTCGCAACCACTCATGTTGGCTGATTTTTTGGCTTCATAGAGAGATAAAGCTTGGGGTATCTTTCCCTGGCCATGCATTGGGGAGTTCTGGTTCCTCAGCTTCGGCCTAGCCAAGCACCCACTCTACCACAATCTGGTCCTCCCACGTTTGAAGACCGGAGATTCACTGCTCGATCTGGGATCGTGTATGGGGCAAGATCTCCGAAAGCTCGTATTTGATGGCGCACCCTCAGAAAAGATTTATGCTTCCGATGTATTCCCACAATACGAAGGCCTCTCCTATGAGCTATGGCGTGACAGGGATACCTTCCCTCATCACTTCTTGGCTGATGACGTCCTGGCTGACAATGAAGACTTCATGAAAGGAGCTTTGATGACCAAGCTCGGCCCAGGTCAAACCGATATCATCGCTATCAACATGTTCCTTCATCTCTTCGACTACGAGAACCAGCTAAAAGTCGCAACGCGCATCATCCGTCTCCTTTCCCATAGACCCGGAAGTCTGATACTTGGCTCCCAAGCTGGTGTGCGACCTCCTATGGAGCAGCCACTGAAGCCGCCCTTCGACAAAACAGAGGACGGAGAAACTAGGACCATCTACCGACACAGCCCAGATTCCTTTATAGACCTCTGGAAGAGGGCTGGATCCTTTGCGGGAGTGCCGATCAGAGTCTGGGCCGATTTTCAAATAATGGAAAAGAAGTCCGAACAGTATCCTGCAGGTGTGGATACAGGACTCGAGGCCGTCGCATCAAAGAAACCTTTCACTGCAGACGATCTCTTTTCGACGAGTTCGGCGAAGAGGGTCCTGTTTTCGACGGAGCCGGAAGCCAGGAGGCTATATTTTTCCATCATCAGGACCTGACGAGATCAGCGTTGGTCCCATTCAGAACGAAGATGCCATTTGGGTTGCACTCGCATGCTGGAACTCCGCTGTGTGGCGGGCATAATACACATGGGCAGGACCTCGTATTCTGCGTCCACTACTGTCAAGACCAGTAATAGCGCTTATGCTGCCACCGAACGCAACTGCAAGAGATGAGGATGGTTACGCTGGGATATATATGGGAATGCTTGCTTGCCAAAGAAGGCAACGTAAAAGGCGTCCCAACTGATGCCCCAACATGGCTTTTTTGACCTTGCTCTGGTAGTTGGGCCAGGGATACATTGGTTTGGTCCATGCGCAATTTTTGACGCTTTCTGTCCTGTCGGAACTTTGGATCTTTACAATACGCCTGGACAGTAATCTAAGTGCCAGGGGTGTAGACGTAACTTTTTCTTGTGTGTTGATGACTAAACGAGTTTTGAGCCTCGACAAGATTATCCACTCCTTCGTTCACGATCAATTTACTAGCTGACAGTATGAGATGTAGTGAATGGAGGGTGACGAAAGCGGGGAGTCGACGTAGAAGTAATCGACCGTTCGGGTTAGTTCATGGGGTCTCACACGATGAAACGCCAGTCACACACCCTGCTACCCTCCTCGTCGACCCTCAGTTTCGTTCCTCATCAACATCTCCACCAGTCATATCATCAACAGCCTGGTCCATCTCCAAAGCTTCTGACATCGTGGGCAGGGGTTACGAGACAGTACTTCTTGAAGGCATCGTCCCAAGAGATTGGCCTAACTCTGATGTTGTGAGCACACACGTACGCCCTCAGTTGGAGCATGGATCGCCTCAGAAGCTCGTCCACCTGAATGTTGTTGACAGGCGGATCACCAGCACTAGAGCTAGCAGACTCCGTCACCGGTGCCAAAGACCTCAGACCTACATCCTCGCACTTCCTCTTCGAGACAGCCGCCGTGGTTACCTTCTTCAGTCTCCCCAACGAAATCAAAATTCAGATCGTCGAGACTACAGCGTCGTATGACATCGAGAACTTTGCTCTGTGCTGCGAGCTAGTCCATGGCCTCGCAGGAGCGACCTTGAGGCAGCATAAGGTGGACACCGAGTTGTACTCCAGGTTCGATTCGCCTCGCGTTTGGGACGCGGGAAATTCGGAGTGTCTAGCAGCCTATTGGAAAATCCAGGCTATATCAGCGAGCAGATGTCTTCGACTCTATCCTAAGATTGTCATCGTGGAGAATTGCACGCTTTCGGACCAAGATCGCAGAAGAGCTAGGGGGCTCGGAGTACTGAGTGAAGTCAGGCGCATATGCGATGTCATCTTCAATGAATTTGACTCACCATGTACGGACAAGGATGAAATGAAGGCTTGGCACGATGAAATCGGCGACGGTGAAGTAGGGGCAGCAAACTGCCTGTTGCTCACTCTGCTTCCGAATGTTGACCGATTATCTGTTGGGGAACTTGACTGTTTCGGCGAAGAGATGTCAGGTCTGATATACAGAAGCTCAAAAGCCAACGAGAAGGTTTCTTCACTGTTCTGAGAATACTTCAAGCGTTACATACATGGTCATAATGTAAGCTAGGGAAACGCGAAACCTTAGCTTTACATCAAAGTTCTTTAGGTACTTTGGCTACTTCTGACTTTACCGCTAGATTGTACTACGACCGAATCAGCTAGGTAAGGTAAGTGCGTGGCACGATTATAAGATCCAGAATATCCCCCACAAAATCCAATTGACGGAAACCATGTTTATTCAAAATCGCAACAATACAGGTTATTCATCTGATGATGTCCTGTTTTAACACTTAATTCGTAAGAGCATCCATAACCTGAAAGAAATTTGGACCCTTTAAGAAGTCTACGAAATGAGGGTTCCGCGAAGAATTTGGTTCTAGCACGGTAGCATTGGATCTCCGAGATAATCATGGCAAAGCCGCAGCAGATTCGAAAGAAAAAGGTCAGTGCCCACTCGAAAATAGGGACTCGGCATTGCGATTCATCTCCCCCATCTTCGCCGAGGCCTACACTTGTATCTGACTCCAAAGCACCGACTACGGGGCGAAAGCGGAAGCAGAGAACCCTTCCGCTCTAGTACCAGCAAGACACCGGAGACGCATCAATCGAACATCGAGATAATCGAAGCGAGTCTTCTTCGTCGAGCACGAACTCTTATCGGATTTGGGACCGAGCTGAACGGTCGTACTGGGACTCGCTGTCGACGCTGCGTTTGACCCCCGACTGTCTAAGAGAACTTGATCGACAAAACGCTTTGATGAAGAAGAGTGTTCCTAAAACAATTCATGCGGTCGAGCATCCTGAACGCTGCGGAAGTGTATATCATTTTGCGCGCCACGGTGGTCCTGATCTTTCCGACATAAGAAATGTTGAGATTCTCCCTGCCTCATTGCTCATGGAATCCAGCCATTTACTGATCGGATTTTAGCATCGAAAACGAGTCTTGTCAAACCCGACTCTATGGTCATCAAGAAAAGCTAGCAAGTCTAAGCCAGACCGTAAGTCTCCCGTAGATGAAGAGGAGGAGACAGGAGGCTCGTCGGCTTACGACTCGAATTTTGAGCACCATCTTACCCAGAACCACTTCTTCCGATGTAAATACCATGGGAAAAGGCCTGCGAATCACCAAGAGTGGGTTGAAGCCATAAAGCAGCCTCGGGCATCACTTTCGTCGTTGCGTATGTCCGATGAGTATGAGGCATTGTCAAGGGCCGCCGATGATGCGAGAAACGACAAAGGCCAGCTGATGATCCAAGTGCTCCCAAAGCTGATGGGTGAGAACAACAGCTACCGTTCGGGCAAAAGGGTAAAATTTGATAACTTGGAGCCTTTGACGCAAAGAATCCTCGACGCTCGGCCTGACTATTATGAAGGGCATCACGCGGGGCTAGAGAATCGATTACTTCGAGAGAAACTGAGGACGATCATCACTCCCTCAATCCGCCAAGACACTCCCTTCTTGCCAAACTTCTTCGTGCAAATCAACGATGGCGGGGGCTCCTTTGCTGTAGCGGAGAGACGAGCTCGCCATGTTGGCGCGTTAGCAGCTCGAGGCATGCACCGTCTCCAGTGTCTTGGAAGGACAGAAGCTTACGACAGCAATGCATACACCATAAGCGCCATCTACTACGGTCAATTTCTCAACCTGTATACCCACCATCTCACGCAGCCTGAAGGACCTGGCTCTCCTCCACATACACACATGATTGCGCTTAAGAGTGTACCTCTATTCGATTCTCCCGAGTCGTTGTACGAGGGATTGACTGCAATCAGGAATGCGAGCGAGAAGGCCAACGAGTACAGGGAGCAGTTCATCGAGAGCGCAAACCTCAGACTAGAAAGCGACACTCCGCAGGATTAAGGACTCGGATGGTCCTGGGCCCACAGTCCTCTCTTACCTCTCGTCTTCAACTCAAATAGTTTTCCCAGAGAGCCACCTCTCAACGTCGCAGCAACGCACATTCAATCATCATTGACGGGTGCGTCCGATCTTGTCGGACCGAAGTCCACCAATACACCAATAGAAGAGTTCGTGGCGCTACCCCTAGAGCCAAAACCGGGCATCCTGCGAAGCAATGCCGTCCATAACATCAACAACCCATTTACAACCAACACCACCTGCATGAACGTTTGCAATTCAAGATAAAAGGCCTCGACTCTGAAATAGACGAGCTGGAAATGATCCCATTTCCTAATGCCCGAAGAAACGACCAACACAGAAGAACACGCCGACCAAGTACTCGAAGCCCCACTGTTAAGACTCCGCGACACCGTGGCATTGCAAGAGATCGCGGAGGGGGATCAGTACAGCGTGGACAGCATAAGGGCGACGATCGCTCGAAAGGTGAGAGCGTGTAGGAGACTGAAGGACGTGGATTGGGGTCCCAGCTCGATATAAGATGTCATCTTCTATGTGACATACTGAGACTGCCACCTTGGAACGAATGAAATAGGCACACGACAAGAGATCAAAATTGGGTGGCGCCCCAAGGGTGTCGACATGAGCCTTAAATTTCCAGTGGGGCGACATAGTCACTTCCATACAGGCTGCGACAATCGTAGTCTGCCTTTCCTAAGCAGATGGGGATCTAGAATGCGTCACATGTCAATCAAAGGACGGCGGAAAAAACACCGGCTAGTTCCAATGATTGCTGTTCAGGCAACAGTATCACGTCCGCAACATCTAAGTCTTGATTAGCGCTTTTCTATAGCAGACGAGGGCAAGATCAAAAAGACTGTCTCCAGCATTACAATCTCCAGCTCATTGCGTTGTGGCCCTATTCTCATCTCATCTGCAACTGTCTTCAGACTTTCCTATAAGATGATAGTTCAATACCATGACAGGATAAAGTAACCTTCGGACCGCTTATAGCGAACCCCCTAATGCAGCGTAGCGTAGCTGGAATAGAACAATTTCGCTTCAACAAACAAACAACATCATCAACCGCCACTAAACATAAACATAAGCTTGAATATGGAATATGGGATATGCGGTAGGATATATAAAGTACACTCAAACCCCCATTCCCCGCTGGCGCACCAACCGACCGACCGACCGACCCACACCACAAGTCTCCGCCACTCAACATGTGGGACCGACTAAACCCAACCAACCCCCCTCACCCAAACCATTCCCACAGCCCCTCCACCTCACCAAACGCGCTCCGAACCTGCTTCCACCACATCCCACACAAACCCCAACCCACCACCTCATCCCCGCCCGCAAATAAATCCTCCTCCAGACGACCCCTTCCTTCCTCCCACCCCTCTCCCCCCCCGGCCCAGCTCAACCCCCAAGCTGACACTGACCATTTCCTTACCCGCACTGCGACAAGCTGCACGGATTCCCCGCGCCACAATGCCGCAGGCGGCGGACTTATCGGGCCCGCTTGTACGGACGGGCCCATGCGGCGGGGTCGAAAGGGGGCGTGGGCTGTGGTTTTGTTTTCGCTTTTTGCGAGATGGGGGTTGGAGGGGTTGGAGGGGGGGGGTACGTACGGGGTCGTCGACGGGTGGGCGATGGTGACGGAGAGTATGGGGGCGAGAGCGGTCGGGGGGTGGAGGGAGAGGAGCTTCATGTTTTTTTTGGTGGTGGTGGTGGTGGTGGTGGGGGGGTCGTTGGGAGAGTGACGCCTGTGTATCTTTGGTGCGAGGGGTTGGTTGGGAGGGTACAGAGAGTGAGTTGCACTGGGTGAGTAGGATTGGGGGACATCCAGGAGACAGAATGTTTCATATACCCTGGGCCTCGGAGCAAGGCGGGAACGAGGGCATGACGATCGGATAGCGAGCCGTCTTCGAGTAAAGAATGCTTTTGCCAAGTTGGGGTCTCAGGATAAGAACCGTACTTAGCGTTGCGCGGTATTTACGCAGCTTTCGCTAGACCATTCGCCAGGCTTCTGTAGCGGTTTATCTGCACCGAATTCGGCACTTGGCACATGAACCCGGAGGGGCAGTGAAGTGCAGGCAAAGGAATAAGGCGGAGGATTGAGGAGATGGCGAAGTGTAGCTTCATGCGGAATTGGAGGGCAACGACAAAGTCATCACGCTAATTCTGTGTGCGCAGGAACTGCTCATAGCCATGTCGTTCGGCCTAATGCCAATACCTGCTAGTCACAGACCTCACTTTCTCCCAAGCCTCATCCAACGCTTTCACTACATCCTCAGGCAGTGGTTCTTTGTCGAGGTCCTTTAAGTTTTGCTCAATGTGCTTCGTACTACGCCAGAAGTCAGCCGCTCTTTCCTCGGAGGCAATCTCGTCACCCTTTACTCACCTACTCGCCCCAATCAAAATCGCATCCGGATACTTCCTCCCCAGCTGCGAGTGGTGTGTCATCCACCTCAACGCCACCTCCGCCATCGTAAGCCCATGTTTGTCCGCCGCCGGCTTCACAATGTCGAGCGCTTCGAAGTATTCATCCTTGAAGTATTTCGCCCTGTACATCTTACCCTGCCACTTCTCCGGATCGAATCTCGAGCCCTTCTCCACCTGCGCATCTTTCGAAAAGTTACCTGTAAAGAAGCCACCACCGAGTGGATTGTATGCGTAGTAGCCCATACCGTAATGGCGTAGACAAGGGAACAGCTCCGCTTCAACGGTGCGGTTGAGGGCGTTGTAGATGCCTTGGTAGACGGACGGTTTGATCCAGCCGTGTGCTTCGCATATCTCGCAGATCTGAGCTACTTCCCAGGCCATGTAGTTTGAGATAGCGAACTTGTCGAAGAGACCCTGCTTGTGTAGCTCATTGACTTCTCGCAGGGTGTCGATGTAAGGGAGTCGTCCTGTCCGGTCCGTGCAGGTACCACATATCGACCTTCTTCGCATTCAGCGCCTTGAGGGACCTCTGCAGATTCTCCCTCAAATGCTCTGGTCTGTGTGTCCATTGCTCTTTATCCATGCCTCGCCCAACAGTCGGGTAGAACTTGGTGTCCATCACAATGCCCCTCTCTTGCCAATTGAGCTTGCCCAGGTATTCTTCGGAGGAGCCACTACCGTAGTATCGCGATGTGTCAACTTCATTATGGCCGTAGGACTGAAAAATGTCGAGGATCTGCTTCGCTTCACCAAGGTCGCTGACCCGCGATTGCTCTGCGCCGTTGCCAATGGTCATGGCGCCGAAGACGACATTGACCGCGGATTTCGGTTGGGGTGCCATGATGTGTGTATGCTACCAAAGGGGCGAGGACTGGTGATCAAGTTGAGTTGATTGCAGAGGCTGGAGCATGAGCAGCACTGTTGATATTTTTAATGAGACCTCTGGAAAAATCGGCACGGACTTAATTCGTACACGGACTTAAGGTAGAGTAGTGACGTACCTCCATGATACCCGGCAATCCTTAAAGGACACAGCCGAGAAACAAGGTTCGATGAGAGTGTTGGGTTGAACCGATGGGTGAGAGATTGTATCCTTGTGGTACTCTCAAATGCATTGCGCATAAATAGCTTAGGTCAGTAAAGGGTATAAAGGGTTGAGTTGTATGGTTGGTGAATAATCCTTGGGGTTGCTGCAACTGGCCACGAGGGGGAAGGTGGCAGTGGTGATCCTTGTCGCTCTGTCCTGTTTCATGCGGTGTCATGGATATCGTTTCTGACGTACGCAGCAATTGTGAGTCTGGTCGAAGCCACAAAAAAGACTGTTGGCTTCATATAAGACTTGGAAGATGCCAAAGAAGATCGTGCGAAGATTGTGCGGGAGCTTCAAGGCTGTGCGGGCATTCTCCAGATGATCGCAGTCGCAGTCAAGCGAGACGCGAAGAGCCTTCCCAATCTGGCCTCCTTGGTGGTGCCCAATGGACCACTGGATCAGTACAAGAAGGAAATCGAGGAAAGATCAGGAGTTCTACATCTCACTGCCCAGTGTTCCTCGTGAAAGCGCACAAACTTTAACGTATTGCCGCTGGGAGGGGATAAGAAGTGCAACAGAGGATGACACCGGTTCAAACCGCTTATTATTACTCCACGTTGAGATGGTCGTGTGGAAAGCCTTCACCCGATGAGCGAATTCTGGAAGTTTTCCGGAGCTTTTGCTCACTGTGCTACCCTTGAAAGTGGGCACCTCATCTTGCGATCTTTCTTTGGGTATGTTAAGGCTAACAGTAGAAGGGGTAGAGGTTACGAAGGGTTGATGTTATCTATTGATATGTCTAGATGCCCTACTATCTTAGCGCTTGATGTTCCTTTCTCTAGCCATCGCAGACCACCAAAGCATCCTAACATACTACCGATATCTCATCCTCTGTCATGGCCTGACCGTTCATCCTCGTCAGAGCTCTCACTCTTACTATATTTCATTTAGCAATCATCCACACTCTCGCTCTCTTCCAAAGTCCGGCAATCAACTCACGTTGCATTCACAAAGAGCATAGTAGTAGCCTCCGTTTGAGAACGGTGTCTGGCACGAGTGGCAGCCGCTGGCTGCGCACTCCGAAGCAGCGGCCGCCGAGGTGGTGGCTCGATAAGATCCTCCGTTGCACCCTGCGGGCTCTGGTACGGCCTCGCGAGGTCTACAAATGTCAGTCCATGGCGTCGGAGAGAACGAAAATGCTCAAAAGTAAGTGAGAGTAGGTAGTGCAGGCTACGCTTTCGCTGGAGGGAAGAAGAAGATGGAAGACAAACATGTTCAATGCATTGGAGCCGACGATGAAGACGGAGGCAAGCACGAGAAGAGCGCTTGGGAATTGCATGTTTGGAAGATGGTTGGTTCGGTTCTTGCTTTTGGGAAGACTTGAAGACTGATGATGGGATACTTAGAGCATTGACAGGTGCGAAGTTATTTCCTTCTTATACTCGTGCCCGATCAGGTCTCTGGCGTCAGGCCAGCCATACTGCGGACGAAAAATGGACGAATCGGACGGAAACGCTGTTGGACATGGGTCTGAAATGGAGTTTGTATCCTTCACCGGGGGTACTGATAAGGCCTGACCAGCTCGTACACGTAACTCAGCCTCAGCTGGGTGAAATAAGATGTCAATTCGCGCAGTCACTCAAACACGATATCGCCAGAAGAACCAACAAGGCCAGCGTCAAATATAGCAAAGCCCACGTGATTTGCCCGGTTAGATCTGTGGCTTACGCGTAGCTATAGCGTTGAACGAGTAAGCTGCTTGGTAAGAATGGTAAGTATTTCGCGAGGTGAACAATTACCTGACTGGGATTGCAAGTAGATGCGCAGCAGATAATCTTGGCAGTGAGATTCTTCACCAACTCTCTATTCGATTCCAAGCGCTCTATGACGAGCAACGGCTGAAACCAAATCGTGGTGATCGTGCGTGAACAGGCAGATGAAGATGCGTCTCCACGTTTCCTCGGATCCCAGCGGTGTCAAAGCTGGCCTATCAGAGCTCCAAACATCTTGACAAAGCTGTCAAACCTGAAGACTTTGGCCGTTGAAACCGGCCCTACCCGGGTCCAACCTTGCGCTGGTGTCGTGGGGGCATCCCGTGCACTGCCCCTGTTGGTTTCTGTTGGTGGCGCCCTTCTTCTGCCAAGCTTTCAAATGCACTATTGAATATGCAGTCAGACGGGCCGCTGTCAATAGAGTTTCTCCGCGAAGGAAACAGAAAGAGGGATTCAACCGCATCCCATGGGGTCAAATCTCCGCAAACTCTTCGCGATTTCCCATCGAGAAACGTGACCAGGCACTGTTGCTTAAGACTTCCACGACTATCTGTTTGGTTCCACTAGCTGGTGCACATAAAATGCTCGTTGAGCAGAGGAACAACGGTGAAGGTCAACAAGTTCCGAAAAGAATGCTTACGAGATACTAGCGGACGACTCCTTTGGTGGCAAACGTACCAGGGTGGCTGCCAAAGCTTGCTATACCCGAAATCTTTGGATTTCTGACCAAATAAGCACCAGAGTTGGCCGATGCGGTCAGAGGAAAAAATTTCGCCTCGCACCTCTACAAGGATGTAAGCTATCCTTAAATCTGACCTGAGCCGAGCTGGATTGTTGTTCTCTTGCTAAGCCTCATAACCTTTCCACCAAGTAAGCGGGTCAGCAATAGTATCAACAGAAATGTGGAGAAACAGACGGTAACAAGACTAGACCAGTAAGAACGCAAGAGAGCGACGAAAATCTGACGTCGGGAAAGCAAACCGAAACCAACAAGTTCTGAAATGAGGTGCAAAGATTTTCCATTAAGAGAACAGCAGACAATGCGCAGTTTCGCATTGCTCAAGCCTGAGACCCACAGTATCACCCACCTTTACACGATTTGTGTTTTCTGACTTCCCAAGCTATCTCTAAGCACACCACATCTTCTCCCACTCCTGATCCAATCTCATGACTTCCTTCTTCATTTCCCGCTCCGTCCTTGTCCTCAACGACTCAATTTGCGCCGGCGTATATCCGTTCTTCCTCGCTTTGTTCGCGAAAGCCTCCCCCCGCGTCTCCCATTTCTTTTTAATCTCTACGTACCTCTCATTGTAGCAATGAGTGCAAAATTCAGGACCGGTACGTTCAATATCGACGACAACTTTCTTTCCGCTGCAACCGTGCTGGAGGACGTCTGGGTTGAGGGCGCAGGGTTTCTTGGGAGTTGGGGTCTCGGTGATCGAATTGCAGCCTGAACAGATGGATTGATTGACGAAACACATACTTGCTGACGACTGAGGTTCTGACGGGTAACTTTGATGCTGAGGGTTAAAAGAGATGTTGTGATGTGAACTTTGCTGCGGAGCTGATGAGTTGGAACGCAGGGAGCCCAATGAATATTTATGCAAGAGATCGCAGGTGATGACAACAATAAACTGAAAGTACAAGGGAAACCGAACAACCAGGGATTGAGGAAGGTACAGTGCGGGTCAAAGGAATTTCACGATGGGTTTGTGCCGAGGGAGAAGGGCGAGGTCAAAGAGCCTTGTGGTCATATCTTAGAACAATGGACGAGACTAACAAAGCAGTGTTCAAGAGCCGCGTACGACGTTTCTCGCTACGAACATCAGGGAAGCTCGCAAAGGATCAACTACGCAATGGTCCCGCTCTTCTGGGCTCTGTGGTAAGAGTAAGGCGGCAACAGCGCCACGCGCGCTAATGTTCACGACCTTCGCTCATAGTCACGGGTATCCTTCTGGGAGCCCAAGGCCGTCATCGCAAATTCCCATTTACCGAGCCCCATTTAACCCTTTAACAGTCACAGCTCAAGGCCGATCGTGGTATCTCTCGATCCAGTCCGTTTCAGGTGTATAGCTAGTAGCAGGGTATTTGATAGGTATGAATACTCGCCACGAGATGAAAGCTGGACTCGGCAAGGTTTTTGGATCACTTAACAAGACGACCGTGAGATCTTTGATAGATCTAATACAGTTCGACCGTGAACATACCAAGTACGCTTTTTCGGAAGACGACCCGGGTCAAGGTCATCTTGAATGGGCACTATATCAACAGTCCGCCAAAGCCGAATACTAACCCGATCTTGGAGGCAGGCCCAACTATGGGATCTTGATTCAAGTATTAATAACGCGCTGGCAAGGCACGGTTTTGATGTGCTCATCGTACCAAGGTGGTCTGAGTTGAGCGTGTATGCTGCATGGGCTAGTATAAGACTCTCCGGTTTCGAGAAAAGACATTCCGTAGAATTAAAAAATGGCCATGAGCGCCCACCGTGACTGTCCCTTTGGGCGCGTATAGTAATGAGAGGACGTACGCAATAGGCTTTTGTGGCGAAGAGATTCGAGGACCAGAAACTATCAAAGATTATAGCGTTTTGTGAGAGAACCTTTCCGCCCAACCTAATACCGGAAAGGAATAGGACGGACGAAGCAATAGATGAATGGACGACCTGCGTTGATGAATGATTGTATACATAATTTTCCTACCTCATTCGCTCCTCGATGTGTACCTTTCTACCTGATGCATGAAACCCTGCGCTTCTTTCGCTCCCAATTTGTCAACCCGGAGCTCGCAGATGAAGGGATCGTACACCCAAGGAGCCAACAACAAGCACCTGATGCTCATACCCTCTCGTCAAACCGAAGTAAGAGCACACTGATCAAAAGGGGTAGTTGGGAGAGAAACATCTCAATCCAAACACCACACTAATCTATCACCGGCAAAACAGACATCCTGCAGCTATCATACCAGCCAAACCACCTTCCACCTCTCCCCTTATTCCAACACCTCCTCATCAATGATGCTTACCCGCCTTAACCCTGTGGACCCTGCTCGGCTTAACATGATTCCCGCTCGTCGTGACCAGAATAATGACAACGAGGATAATCACCGTCAACATAAGCAAGCCCGAGAAAACGCGCGTGCGGACGGAGTTTTCGTTGGGACCGTTGGTCTGTGGTCCGGGGTTCGGAGCACTCGAGTCCGCTTGCTGTTCGACGTCGTTGGGGTTCGGAGTGCGAGGCGGTCCGGGTTGGTAGGTTGGTTTTGGGATGTTGAGCCATGGTGCGTCCATGTTTGGGATTGCAGAAAGTGCGGGGGTGGGTTGTGGAGACGGGGATGGGGTCGTGATGGGTTGGGTTGGGTTGGGTTGGGTTGTATGAGGTGTATAGCTTATTCTGTTCAAACAGATTCTTCCTAAGCAAAGTGCAGGAAGCGAACAGATATAAGACAACACAGACGCTGGCGCTTGAGACACCAACATGTACATATATAAAACTGTTTGTTGTGGTACCTTTTCTTGTTTTCCGAAACGGTGCAAGAAAGAAAATCGCAGAGGCACAAAGGAAAGGTTGCCGAATTTAGTAGCGATCTTGTCATACTCAAAGGGCCATTCATGTCTCTTAGGACGTGAGACAAAGCCTAGAAGGCGAGAAGAAAGAATGCCGACCATGAAAGAACAAACGCGGGATCCAGGTCTAGCAACCCTCTAATTTTCCTTTCCCGCACATAGCTGTCCCAAAGCCACCTCCCGCACTCACAGCTTCATCCCCCAAATTTAACGAAAGCGGCTGCTGGGTAGTGGAAGCCTCCCGCACAGGTCGAACAGAGGCCCGGCTTCGAGAATGGCAACGACAGCTGAATCAGCTAGTACAATGCTTTTGTCGAGTGCGCGACGGATGACATAGTGTACAATTATTGGGCATCAATATGCCAAAGGCAGACGTGGAGTACGTTGACAAGAGGGCACTTTTGAATTCTAGCCGGTGCTTTGACTTGTGAGATGGAAGCTGACAAATTCACGAATGTCGTTTGGGAAGTCCAAATACGTCAGAGATGAGAAAGGGTGAATCGAAAGAGGGGTTGCTGTGTACGGGTCGTAAGAAAGAGCGCAGAGGTGGGGTCTATGTGGACCGTAAGAAGAGGGGAAATTTGCCCTGTCCTAAAGTGTGGGGGAAGCCATGGATGGACGGATGATAAAGGCCCATGAGGGGTTGGATATGTGCTAGGCTCGTTATGGTGTCCAGCGTTTTTTAGATTATGTACAAGCTCATAACATAAGAGAATAGCACATAGGGAGAGCCATTGGGATCTCACAAGCAAAATGTGACGGGAAGTCAGAGATGCAAACCCGGCTGTCAATCCTGGTATATCTCGGAGATACATATTTATACGCAATCAAAGGTCTGTTTTCCCGTGTTCCCATCAGCGTGTCCTCGTCATCTAGCCGTTTTAAATCGTGTCTTATCATTATTTGTACATCTCGGACATCATCAAGGTCCTCAGCAGAAATCTTTCCCTTCATCTTTAGCATCACCTTTCCACTTGTAGCTTAGTAGTCTTGCAAATAAGCCTTCCTTCGCAGTCCGAGGCAGGTCTCGAATTTCACGCTCAGATCTGGTCTCTAGGGAAGTGCGCCTGTGCAGACCAGACTGGTGGGAGTCAAGCTTTTCCGCAACTGGTGATCTCGGCGTATCGAACAAGAGTCCCTTGTCGAATTTCACCACGTTGTTACGTTCGAGTGTTACGGCCGGACTCATCATATATGTGTTGTGACCACCGGGTGACTGAGGTGCATGCTCGGCGCCACGAGCGGCCATACCGTCTGATGCGGATTGAGACCGTTTTTGCCGGGTACGTTGCGGGGTGGGGTCTGCGGCTGCAGGTGGCCATGTCAGTACCGTATATCTCGATGGGGCAGGATGGCAGAGCACGAACCATGTGGGACTTCCGACCCATGAAGATACCTCGACGTCCATCTCGGCTCGAATCCAAAGACACCAAGGGTCCAAGCAAGTGTATGCGAAGCGTGATTATGTAACCATTTTGTCTGTTGTGACCAGAATAGAAGACCGCCCTCAGTGTTGAGCGATCCAATAAGAATGTATGTTGGAACGCAAATTACCACCAAAACAATACCGAAACTACGGAAGCTGGCCATAGGATCCATGTTAGTCATGCCAAAGACGGAGGTAACGAAGGTAAGAGGAAGGAAGAAGATTGTAACGAGCGTCAGCAATTTGATGTTGCGCCCTTGCTGTACTGTGATTGCCTGTTGCTGCACCGATCTGCGACTTTCTAGAACGGATGTGCCACTGAAGAGGTTATCTCGAAGGCCCTTTATCTCTTTGATTTTCTCATCGTTCAGTTGATCGATTTCCTCCAGTCCACGAATCTCATGTTCGATATCCTTTCGGAGGCCCGCCATTCGCCTTCGCCAGTGAGCAAAGCGCGAGGACTGGCTCTCGTCTCCGGGCCAGATGATTTTGTCTGATCCATTCCATACGTTATCTGTAAAGGTATACTTATAAGCGGATATCATTTCGTTTATGTCTTCATTCATGATGCCCAAAGATTGCTGAGCCCAAAAATAACGTCTAATATACGTGAACTCATCATCTTCGAAGAGAAGCTTGTCGCGTATGCTCTGCTTGAACATGAATTCTGGAGGAGACCTGACGAGGTCGGAGATCCTGTTGTAGACCTCCATCAGTCGCTTTTGTGCGTCCTTGAACTCCGCCCGTAAAGTTATGAGGAAGGCTTCAGGCCCGTTGACATAATGTTTCGTTGAACCATGGTTGTGGACCGAGCTTTTCCAGTCAGGATATGCTTGCACACTCAGAACGTGCCAAGGGCTGAAGGGGTCATAGACATCTCCAACCTTGCGGCTGATCCTCCGGTTACGGTTCCTGATCTTCGATACAGGCTCTCCACCAAGCCATAGAGCTACAACTGAGCAGCACCTGCTGATGGGGACGTGCCCTTCCATGGCTCCAACATCAGCTCTTTCGTCTGCTCGTTGCCACTTCATGGGTACACATTCATCGCCAACGATCGTGAAATACTCAAAGGTAAACACGAAGGTCCTTCGATGTATGGGATCGAGATCAAATGGCCGGTGAGGTAGAGCTGCGGTTTTGTCGTCAACGAGCAGCTGGAATACCTCATCCATGTCGAAGTGCTCTCTCATAGTATAGTGGAGAGCGGCAAAGAGTAGAGGCGAAGGTTCTCGAACGATGGTGATTCTGCCGACTGCCAGGCGCTGCTCCGCTGATCCCGCGTTGGTGCTCTTGATCTTGTTCCAAATGACCAAAGCCCTTGACAGATCAGCTTCTGATGTGAGTCGGATGGGCAGAGGCGCCCCGTCGTTGCCCACTGGAAATACGTACGTTAGAGACGATCGAAAAACACGGAAGCAACACTGTTGCCCATGCTCGGAACTCAAACATACCATTTAAGATGCTGTAATGTGATAGATGCGAACGATCTTCTGCTTCACCAATGTTGGTAGAAAAGATTGTCCCACGCTGTCCTACTACCTGATCTCTGCCAGCGATATCTCCTAAGATGTCTCGGCCAGCCTCAGTCCACTCGTACTCCTTGACGTGTTTCCTGAGCCCCTCCTCGTCGTACGACTCTTTGGGCAAAGTCTGCTGGACGAAGAGCGATTCGTCATCGTCCGTATCTGAATCCTCTTCGATAGAGTTACCAGAGTCCTTCGACACAGTTTCTACCTCCAGTGTAGAGGATAAAGCTCCAGTATTTCTGCGGACGGCTTCCGTGGTGAGGCGCGGGGGAGGTCTGCCTGAGGAGGCAGCGGCGAGAGCTTGGGCCAATACATCGTGAGCTCGACTGAGGGTCTCGAAGTATTGTGTTCTGTCATCAGCAAGCTGCTTCAACATCTCCTGTGCGGTAGCAGCATCGAGCGCCATAGTAATGCCCAACAGCAAGCGCAGTTAAAGGGAAGTGCAACATGTCCAGAGATAGAGACAAGTAAACAAGCAGTGTCGTGATGAGAGGAATGGGGGTGATACAAGTACTGAAGGAGGGTAAGCAGAGCTTCCAGGCCTTTCAGCCTCGTCTTCGAAAGCTTCACCACCATGGTGCCGCCAAGACGAATTCGCAACGACGGCATGAACGGCCGAGGCTGGCCTTACAATTTACAAATGCCAGGTGGAAGCGAATGCCAAGGCTGGAGCGGGGCAGATTCCGCTGAGTGTCAACAAGTCTCCTCCCCTTGTTCGAGCTAATGCAGGTTGACTGACGAGCACCAGGGCAACAAGAACTATTCTGTGATCTCGCTCGTGCCACTCTACAGATCTTGTTTGGTCTATCTTTTCACCACAAGCACTATGGCTGACCAAACGCCCAAATCCTATCACACCGATCCTAATCTCTACCTCTATACCTCTCTCACAGCGGGCTCCTCTCAGATAATCACCGCAACATCGCGCATGGAAACCATACTGAAAGCGAACAAGATCCGATTCCAAGCTTTAGACGTCGCTACAGATGAGAAAGCCCGCATGCTATGGGGCCGAAGAGCAGGGAAAAGAAAGCTACCAGGGCTAGTCAGGATGGGCATGATCGTTGGCGATTTGGAGGAGGTAGAGGAGTGGAACGAGTATGGCGAGCTTAGGGACAACGTTGAACCTGGACCCAAGCCAGCCCCATCGGCACCAGCAACGCCTTCGAAGGCCCCAACTGCTCCATCCTTAGAGATCCTGTCCAAAGCACCTGCCACAAATCCTGTCACTCCCTCCAAACCGCCTGCCCTCGTTTCGTCCACAGAAACTCCACCTCGTGCTGCTCCGTCTTCAACAGATAGTCCTCTGACTACGGCCATGCGACAAGCTGGCTTCGAAGCAGCGAGAAAAGCTGGAGATGCCAAGTCGAAAGCTCGCGCTGAGGCGCTACAGGCGTCAAAAGCTCAGGCAGATACACCAACCTCAGAGACACTACAAAAACTAGATAATTCAAGTCCAACAGGTATGCCACCACCGAGTGGGGCCACGGAGGCGGGGGAAGCGCTGAAGCCCGAGACGGGGAACACAAGTGCGGAAGGAAACGCGGACGATGTGCCTGTTACGGAAGAGGGAAAAAGAGAGGCTGAGGAAGAAGGCAAGAATTCGAATGTGCACGGACTGGGGGCAATGGACGCTGACAAGGTGGAGACTGACGGCAAAGAGACGAAGATGTTAAGGTCGAAGAAGGCAGAGGATTCAGCAACTGAGGCCACAGTAGCTAGCGAATCCGAGGAAGTACTGGAAGGCCGAGGACAAGCTGAATCCTTCTCCGAAGACATACCGAACTCCAAGGAGGTCGAGGAAGCGGCGAATGCATCAATAATGCATGACAAGTCACACATTGTTCTCGTCGGGTCGCGGGAAGCGGACAGGACTCCACCATCCGAGCCAGTCGATGAGAAAGAGGAGTTGAGTGATCCGAAAGAGAAAGATGGATCGAAGCTGAAGGAAGCCACGAATGTTTCGGACGAAGGCCAGGGACTCCCAGGGGATAAGACGCAGGATCAGCCTGCAGCGAGTGGGGTGGAAGCTGGGAATAGCGTTGCTGACTGAAAAGAGGCATATTGCTTTTCGTATAGTAACCTTACGTTGGCAACAAATCCAACGGATGAATTTACGATCTGACTTCGATTCTGCATTGCCTATCTCTGAGGCTTTGAATCGAAACCAAAGACAATACTTAGTACAAGTCAGTGAACTCAAAATACGGATGTAACTCGGCTTTAAGAAGTTTCCACTCTACGGCAGCCGAGAACTCTTGGCCCCACTCTAGACGCAGGACGGCGCATCTTTGACAACAACGACCGAACTCACATATCGCGCGCAATGCTGTTCTTCAGGTATGCCCCCGTCTTACCCCTGTCAATAGCGTCTTACCGCATGTTCGCTCACGATCCTCCTCCCCAGCTTCTTTAAAACCCTCGTTGACCACGAAGTCACCGTTGAACTCAAAAACGACATCTCAATTAAAGGCATACTCAAATCGGTCGACCAATTCCTGAACATCAAGCTCGATGATATTCAGGTGGTTGAGGAGCTGAAGTATCCCCATTTGGTGAGCCCAGCCCACACCCATCCCCGTGGTCTAAGTACGGAACACAAGTTTCCGGAGTCTGAGAGGTTAGGGCAGAGTGCTGATTATCTGGCTGTGCACCTAGTCATCCGTCAAGAACGTTTTCATACGGGGTAGTGTCGTGCGGTATGTGCACTTGCCTGGGGCAGCGGTAGACGTGGCGTTGTTAGAGGATGCTACGAGGAGAGGTACATGAGGTTCGAACATGAGAGCGTGGACATTGCAGAGACTGATGGTACTTTGGCAATCTAGAAGCGGCATCGCAAGCATCTAAACCTCGATGATCGATACTGAGTGGGAAGAGGCGGGACACGAAAGGCACTATGTGGATGCGGTGCGAAGGAGTCACCGTTCAGTGAACTGAGAGACGCCTACACCGAAAAACCTAAGATACCCAAATGCATGTGAAAACATGGAGATGGAGCAAGAGACGCATGCGCCCTGGAGGGAGATACAAGGCGAAGAGCAGGCCATCCATAGGTTGAACATCAAGCTGAAGCGTGTTCTAGGGCACTTCATGAAGCTTCTTCATTTTATGTTTACTATGCCACCTCAATGCTAGAGTTCCGTTGTTCTATATCTTCGTAGCGCCCGAACCGTAGTCTTTGTTCCCCTGCGAGCATAAAACTGTGCAGTAGTGTAGCTTATCACGTGACCGCCTGTTCCGTACGCGACTTCCGTCATGAACCTCGAATCTCTCCAACTTTACCCATTGAACTCGTATATCTGGAAAATCATCGACTCTTTTCGCAGATAGTGCAAATTCACCTATTACTCGACATGCTTCACTTTTTTCGATGTTCCGCAAACCTCGAGAAGCGCCGGCTCCAATAGCCAGCGAGACACCCCTTCGCCCATCCACCGGCCGCCCCCCAACACCACCCTCGACTACAAGGCAGTGGACACCTCATTTCTCTGAGAACACTACATATGTTATGGCCGCTTCAACGCCTCTGCAAGGCAAGACTAAAGCTCCGCCAAAGAGGACTCCTACAACGGGCGCGGGAAGAGCGAAGGGCAAGCCCAATGGCAACATCATGAGCTTCTTCAAGAGAGCAGAGTCTTCTGGTACCACGGTAATAAATGTCAGGGAGGAGGATGAGACTCTGTTCTTAGGAGATAGCCCGGTGAAAGACGGTGCGAAGATGTCCCTGCAGACTCCAACGCCACCTCGAGAAGAGTCCTCGAACGAGACTTCGCCTGGGGATGTTGCGATGAGTGTACCAGATTCACCAATATCTCGTTATAACGAGTATGGGGTGCCCAGTAAAAGAAGACGTACAGAGGATACACCCAAGCAGTCATTGCAAACCGAAGAGACCAAAACCGGCCTAACCAGAGGACCCTTTGCCGATGACTCGGACTCAGACGATGAGCCAGTCAGGACACCGAGCTTCCCAGCAAGCGAAGTTAGAAGCGATGAGGAGGAGAGTGAGTTGGCAGTAAGAGGCACTCCACCGGCTATTGCGAGGCAGCCGTTGGGGCAGGAACCAGTTGGCGCAGCGGTGCCCATCTTGAAGCGAGAGACGACAAGCATCGGAGAAGTCAACGACTTTGATGGCATTGAGGAATTCATTGATGACGAGTTTCCCGAAGAGGGCGAGGAATATCTGGAACGAAGATGGATGGAGGAGCAGGCGGAGTTTGAAGAGGGGTTGGAAGAGGAGGAGGGTCAGGCCAAGGGATATGATTCAATGGATGTGGAATTGGAGGACCCTAGAGATACGACCAGCGTCATGCCGCAAGATGCTGGATCTACAAGCTGTCCAATCTGTGGTGGGAATACAGCGGGATTGACTGACCAGGTATGAGAGCCTCCAAATGTCCCAGTTAGGTCTAACACTTCAAAGGAGATATCCGTCCATGTCAATGACTGCATGGATGGTAAGGCAAAGCCTCTTGGAGACCGCAAACCACCTAAGCAAGAATCCACTTTGGCTCCAGCAAAGCTGGATAGCGGCGTCCCTGCGCACAAGCGCTTTCAACGTGCTGCGATAGCTAAGCCAGGGCAAGAAAACCCTTTTGGGTTGACTGCAGAGCCCCTCAAATCATCGTCCGCCTTCTCCAAACTTATGTCCGGGCATGCGGAAGATGCTGCGTGGGCAACTGCTGCGGCAACGGAATCGGCATCTCGCGGTAAGCCTGCATACCAGCGGACATGTCCGTTCTATAAGATCATGCCGGGATTCTTCATCTGTGTCGATGCCTTCCGATATGGTGCGGTTCAAGGCTGTAACGCCTACTTTTTAAGCCACTTTCATAGCGACCATTACATCGGTCTCACATCATCATGGTGTCACGGTCCAATCTACTGCAGCCATGTCACGGCGAACTTAGTCAGGCGACAATTGAGAGTTGATCCTAAGTGGGTCGTTGACCTCGAATTTGATAAGAAGGTCGAGGTACCTGGGACCCAAGGCGTTGAAGTCACGATGATACCAGCAAATCACTGTCCTGGAAGCTCGCTTTATCTTCTCGAAAAGGTGATCGGAAAAGGGAAGAGTCCAAAGGTCCAGAGAGTTTTGCACTGTGGAGACTTCCGTGCTTGTCCCGCCCATGTGCAGCATCCAAAGCTACGGCCAGACATTGTGGATACAATCACTGGCAGGAACCTGGCACAGCAGAAACTCGATGTCTGCTACCTCGATACAACATACCTGACGCCCAAGTATTCGTTTCCCAGCCAAGAAGAAGTCATCAAGGCTTGCGCCGATATGTGTGTAAGCCTCAGCAAGGATTTTGTGGACGAAAGCGATAGCTGGGAGAAAACTAAGAAAGAGCGGGCTGGTGACGGCATGGTCAAATTTGTTCGCAAAACGTCAGTCAAGGAGGAGGTTGAGGAAGAAGAGATCAAGATCAAGATCGAAGATGGACCATCGAAGAAGGCAAGAGGTCGTCTCCTGGTAATCGTGGGAACCTACAGCATAGGCAAAGAGAGGATATGTCTAGGTGTTGCCAAAGCACTCAATAGCAAGATCTACGCTCCACCAAACAAGCAAAAGATCTGTGCTGCGCTCGAAGACCCGGAGCTATCGGCCCGTATGACGGATGACCCTCTCGAAGCTCAAGTGCACATGCAGATGCTCATGGAAATCCGGGCAGAAACCCTAGCCGACTACCTCACCGGCTTTAAGCCGCACTTCTCCCGCATAGTTGGCTTCAGACCATCAGGATGGAACTACCGCCCACCAAACAGCCGCTTTACCGAGTCTCCGGCCGTCCAGACTGTTCTCCATTCCGACAACTGGAAGTCGCGATACTCGATGGCTGAATTGACACCGCAACGAGGCAGCACCCGTGAGGCCAACTGCTTTGGAGTCCCATATAGTGAACATAGTAGCTTCAGGGAGCTTACAATGTTCTGCTGTTCGCTGAGGATCGATAAGGTCATCCCGACTGTGAATGTAGGGTCGGCGAAGTCGAGGGAGAAGATGAAAGCTTGGTGCGAGAAGTGGGCGATGGACAAGAAGAAGAATGGGTTGTTTAAGGTATCCGATGGGCAAACGGCTTGGTGAGCCTCCTGTAGATAGCTTCTGCGTAGAAAAAAATCTCTCCGCAGCCCCTTTTCGCCTGGGTGCGTAACGGCTTCCCGTGTTCGATACTGTGCCATTACGACGCGAATCTGACATGAGCTTGGCTTTGGACCCTTCATTGCCGCTATCTTCCCAACGGCTTTGAAGGCTTGGGGGCTTGACTCAAACCAGCGCACGACACTATTCGTCACACTTCTCCTCTTAACCCTACGTTCGCTGCTGGACAGAGCTCGAAGTGAATTAGCATCCTTGATAAAAGTATGGCCTTTCGTGCCTTTCCCTCGTTCTGCGCCGAGGCAGCGTACGAAAGATACCTGCCACTCAGGGGCTTTAGTCCCGCAAAAAGCTTTTGTTCCAATCTCGCCGTGCATCAAGGGAGAATCGAAGTCGCTGCTCAACTAGATTCCAGGGACTCAGCCTTCTATCGCTCATAAACCGCACTCACAGCGGGACATCCAGTGCCCTGCAGGAAATACTCTATGTTCCTTACTATCCGAACTACAGGCTGCGGACAAGGCGATTGGCCGCAATGTATGGTACCCGACCCCATTGACGTGAAGTGCATGATCGCGGCGCTTACACGCTTTTTAGTCGCTGCATTGGTGTTTACGTTTTGGTTCCTGGAAACACAATTTCTGAAACGCTCACTACCAAGACCAAGGCCAGGTCTCCGACCAGGCCCACCACCGAGCGAACAACTGAGCTAGTAACAAGACCTTCAAGTAGAGATACAGATTCACTCACGGCAGATTCCCTGCCAAGGATCACTTCGAGCACTGAATGTGCAAAGGCGACATCGATTGCGTCAAAGACCACAAAGACTTCAGAATGGCCTACCGCTGCTCCTAGCTCTGCTTCAACATCTCCTAAATCTAGTACAATATCCGGGGCCTCCAGTGCTAGTCCTACAACGTTTAATAGCGCTTCAAGCAGCATCTCCAAATTAACCACAAGCTCCAACACCTCAACAGAATCAACCTCTTCTAGCACCATGCTCCCCATATCGAGCTCCTCACCTTTGAATATCTTCCCTAGCAGCGCTTCCAGCGGAAACTCTACCACCTCTGCCACCAGTGCCTCGCCCTTCTCCTCCAGTAGCTCAATCCATCGGCTCCTCCAGCCCCTCATCCCTCTGTTCCCCCACATGCGCCTACCCCACCGCCACCACAGCATGTCCAACTGTTACCGCCACCGGTCTCGCCTACAAGCGGTACTACGCCGGCCAATGCTACATCGAAAACACCGCGAATCCCGGCACAGGCGGGGAGCTCGCCGTCTACACGCGCTTCAGAGGAGCCTATGATATGTGCGCCGCAACCCAATACTGCGCCAACGCAGCGGGAGCGGCCTACGGACCTTATCATTCCTTTGATTTGCATTACACCTGCTCAAATTCGAGCTGGATGTGCGTGCAGTACTACAATGGCAATAGTGATGCGACCTACTTCAATGTGCTGGATTTGGATGTTGCTGTTGCATTTGGGTATAGCTACTAGGGTGCATGCAGGGAGTCGTTGCCTCTGGAGGAGATCCTTTTTTTGGCCGTCGGTTCAGGAACAGCAGAGCAGAGGCATTGTGATCTTGAGCATACCTTTTTGAGACTATGTTGCTCCTTGCCCGAGACAGTATGCAATTTTCCTTTATCGTCTTTGTATGGACTTCATTGGACTCTCGGCAGCCATCACCAAACACGGCGCCACAAGCGGCATCTCTTCGCAAATAAGAAACGTAGCAAAAGTCATGCATAGAAACTTATGTCTAAGTTCCAATAGGGGAAAGCTCTCTTGCTTTTCATTTGCGTACATGTCTGTGGGTATCGACCAGAACAAATCGGCACTTCCTGTCAGAGGATACTAAATAAAAGGTTTGAACGCGTTGAACAAAGTCCCTTGCAGGTGAAATGACGACTTTTGATCGATGAGATTGAGACTATTAGCTGAGAGAATCTATGGCTCGAAGGTTACTCTTGTATGGTATGGGACGAGGCAGCGCTTGACGACTCTGCCTCAGATAGATCTGCCACTTTGTTCATCCATTTGAAAATACATTTCTTTACATTTCTCTGCAAGCGCCACAAGTTGTCAAAAAATGGGGTTTCTTGCTGCATGGATTTGAGGCCGTCATGGAGAGGTATGGAAATCTTACCTTCTCACATCTGATGCTGTACAGCGTAGCGGTAACCGTCTTCCACACTTCGTGTCATCAGTCACTCCTGCTAGAATTCAACGACCAGCTTGACCATTTGTAAAGTATCGCGCAATACAGACCCCCATCCCTGCCGGTTACTCTCTGACCAGTGCTCTCTTCCCTAGCCCCCTCACAGTTCGCTATGAGGACTCGGATGGAAGAATCCCCTGTACGCCTCAGCCGAGGCATTTCGTTCGGCGAAAGGGAGGAGCTTGTTGACAGGCGAGCATGGAAGGTTCGTGGACGCGTACTTGTCGACCGCAAGGACCTGATGCAGCTTCCAGTTGGCGCTCCAATAGGCCAACTGGACTAGCTGGTTGATCGCAAAATACTGAAAATAGACGAACAGGACCCGAAGGTATGCGTCCCAGGTGATTGTATTGAATGCTTCCGCGACGGTCAAACCCGGGTGGCGGATATGAGAACGTTTGTCGTAGGGATGTAATCGAGATCTATCGCCGCGGTGGAAAGGTACGATGGCCAGGTCGTCGTCCGAAAGCATGGATGCGTGGACTCTTCTCATCGTCATGGTTGCCGGAATTGCTACAACTGCTACGAGAATCAGGTACAGGAGGAAGACCAATGCGAATTGCATGATCTTCTTATTTTGGCCATATTCATCAAGTGTATTCCAAGAATCAACGTCGAAGGCGTAGTGCTTCAGCCTGAAGGTGCGGCTGAGAGCCAGTGGAAGACTTAGAGTCAAATGCTCGGCTACTAGCCAAGAAGCGGTAAGGGGCCATAGATCTGTGAGGACGCTTGGGCCCTTTGGGAAGTGATCTTGGATGTTGATACTTTTCCTAGGGGGGCGTTATTGTATAATGCGTCCATGTTGCAAGTCCGGGGCCCCACATTGTTGCGAGAATGATAGATGTCGTCCCATAGCCGAGGCTGAGCTCGCTAGGCTGTCCTGATAAGAAGAAATCACATATCATCCCAAAATACCACTGGGGAACGGCCATGTATAGGTAACCGATGAATCCTCGAAAGCAAGCGTAGCTAGTAATGCGATCCCAGGTGTTCATCACCGCGCTTTTGCTGGGCTTGGCAGCTGGTCCGCTTTCTTTCATCGTATCTCTCCGCTTGAGATCCAGGCGGACCTCGCCAACTGAGACTCCTCTGAGTCGATGAGCTCCAGCTGCTTTGAACCGGTTGATGACTCGCATTCTCTGGACCAAGCTATCGAGCCGAGCACGGTGAGACTCAGGGTGTTTGTGCGCACTAGCCGCTGCAATGGTTCTGATTCTTCTGTCCGCAACAATGATAACTGTTGAGATAACCTGATAAACATACCATACCTAGGCCGGGATGTTATTCTAGATGAATGCGTCGAAATCAGATGCGGTACTCACAACGAAAGAGAGACAGTACTTCAATGTGGCTAGAGTAAGAAAGACAAGTACGATCCAGACGGGCATAGCGTCTTTCGAATTTAAATTGGAGTGCTTATTCGCGCGAGAAGTCTGCAGGAGAGATTCTCCGACTGGTTGGTATGTCTTTGGCAGGGGTGGTTCGCCAATGGTTGTCAGTCCATGCGATGTGCAGTAGACGAGCAGGTACTCCAAAGCCATCTGAGCGGAAGACATCTTTTAAAACTGGTTTATGGGGCAATACGATACTAAGCAATAGCCTTTACTAAAGACGCTTCTTTTGTGAGAGCCTCAAGACCTGTATTTCTTTTCCGTAAATGAGGCTGACAGACGGATTCGCTAATGAAGAATTGGATGAAGCTGGGCAGATGGCATGAAAATGTGTACTCGAACGAGAGAAGAAAGGACGACGGCAGAAGATCAAACGCCTTATGATGATATACAAAGAAGGAGAGAAGGATGGTGTGGTATATACGTGGGAGCGTTTCAGATACTTAATTGAAAAAGGAGGGCGGAGCCTCAGCTCCTGCAAGCTCAGCCCTATCACCGGCAGTTGGCTAGCGCCAAGAGACACAGCCGGCCTCGCCGAGCGCCAAGCCCCGCTCCGCGCCAGTCGCACCCAATTCCTCAGCACTCTTCGTCATAAAGTACTTGAGGAGCTTTTTTCATAAGGTCAGCCATTGCTCATTGATATTTTTGAGAGCTTTTGATGCTTGTAAAAGATAAGTATTCAGCGTCCACACGAATGAGCACTTCTTATAGGGACAGCAACAGCAGGGTGCTGGAATACTACTTACTGCGCCACGGCGTAGGGGTTTGGTGAACCGGTATCGCTCAATTATTCTCCCTCACAAGACAACAAATGGAAAAACACTGTTTCATAATTGGGCATCATTAATGACTGAGGACCCAAGTCACTCGGTGAGAACAGTGAGTACACTATTCTATCAATGTTTCACCAATCTTATCATCATTTCAGACCGTTCCCGTCGTAATGGTTGCGCTTCTCTGCCAATGATGCATCTTGCCCAGCATCCCCCCCTATCCCTCATGTAACCTGACTTCAGCGTCGCAGTGCTTCCAGTGACATTCTATACAGATTAGACACACTGCAAACAACGGACGGCTTTTCCGAGCTTTCCCCACCAACTACCGCCCCAGAGTCCCCTCCCTGACCCTGGCGTGACATACGGGTTCTACACGAGGCATGATCGTGGCTTCGGACTTGGAAAGACTGCTTCCTTCTCGCTTCTAGGTCATGGGACGTACGCTTCATGATCGTAGGTCAAAGGGTTTTCTTCTGAGACAGAACCGGTGGCTACCGAATAGACGAGAATTGGACATTGAGTAGCATATTGCAGGTAGAATTCAAAGAGTTTCGAACCCGTGGCCAGATTTCACAGAATCATAGGACTAGTGCTGAATCAAGTAACCTTCATCAGCAGCAGACCGCCAAACAACGTGTGCTATGTTGTGGATACATTGTACTGCTTGTACCAAACGTGACGCAACCGACTCGACGATCCGCATGTTTGGCTGACCGGAAGTCTGGGAAGCGGAAGCATCGGAAACATACGACGCTAGGTAGAAGTGCAAAGGCTCTTACTCCTCACGGTACGGACAGCCAGGGACTTGGTGTTCGTGGACGAGGCGGATGGGCTTGATGAGTATCAATTAGCTCGTGCAGCTCTCCTACTAATACAAGGGTAGCGCTGGTGGATGGCGCTGTCATTTTTCACTCTTTGCGCTTGCCCATCGAACGTGATTATCGCCTCTCATTTTCTAATCTCAACCGGACAGCGTACAGCGTTGAAGGCAAATTCAAAAGCCAGTGCGCATCGATAACCTCAGAAACCTCCCCAGCTTAAGGTCTATCGACCCAGTACCACGAAAAACCCCTTCCACAAACTCCGTCGAAACAAGTTCCAATCACCGCCGCAAGCCAATTCGTACAGACCTAGCTCAGCATCACCGCCAACCCAATCACCCCCAACGCTCCAAATCCAGCACTCACTCCCAACCTCGCCGCAACTCCCTTCGAAGCTGCCTGCGTTGTCCCAGCCTCCCTCGGACTCCCCTCCCCACTCGTCGATGCCTGACTGGCAACCGCTGGCAAAGTTGGCACCACGGGCACCGTGGGCGCGGTTCCGTTCTCCACCGGCAGGACATTGCCAGTACTCGCGCTCGGGTGGGAGGTTTCGTGATTAACATGGTGATGCGGGATCGTGATGTTCGCAGCCGGTGCAGGGGCGATCAAGATTGGCGCCGTGGTAGCCGCTTCTTCGATCCTGGCTGGGGCAGGGATCGACGTGTTTGCTATTGGCGGTGCAGCGACAGCTCCCGCTTCTTTCAGCGCAGGTGGGGGCGACAGAGGCGGAGATGTGGCAGCGGGTATGAAGGTGGAGGTAGACGTGGGTGGTGGCGGTGATGCTGCTGCTACCGGGGCGCTGGTGGGTGCGATTGCGATTTTGGGTGCCACGACGGCCGGTGCTTCGGCAGGCTCCTGGACCTGGCCGTCGCTAATCTGGGAGACCATATTTGCGAGAGCGAAAGGAAGGAGTGCGAGTAAAAGGTAGGCTTTCGTAGGCGTGTGCATTTTGGCTCTTCTTTTGATGCTTACGTGATTTTTATGCTGTTTCCTCCAATTTAAAGTTTACAAAGGAGCCTTTACCGATTCAGCGAAGTTCAAAGAGTGGACGGGATCTCCGAGCAAAGTCAACGAGCAGCGAAGGTCCAGAAGACCTGGCGGGGGCGAGTACTGATACTTTATTCAAGCTCGAGCGAGGAATGCAGTGTCCCTTGCTCCGTATTCGAAACGCGATCTTCATTCTTCACGCGCGTTTGCGCCACCATTATATAATTTTCGCGTTGTTCAAGCCAGCTTTAGCATAAACGTCTGCAGAACTACACTACCCCGGATTTAAATCCGTTAGAGATCTCGGCTGGAGCCCGACGTCTTTGCTGTAACACGGACCTTGCAAACCAAATATCATGAAGTGCCATGAACGCTATCAACAGACTGAAAAAAAGGGCCGTGATCACGATAATGACAAGTATCAGACATGAAAACCATCTGGAAACATAAGCAAAGTGAGTCCATTTCGGTAAAGAATACTGCAACGAGCCCTGTACGCCGAGCTCTACCTGCATAGCACTCAAAGCGACAGACAGTACTGCAAAAATCGAAAGTAATGGGGCAAGGAAGTGTCCTAGATATGCACCCCACTGCGCGTCGATATGATGGAAGGTAAGCTTCCTCAGGAAGATTCGAGCACACATATTCAGACGGCTGAGGCGAAGCTCTCCATAGCGATATCTCGGACTGACGCTACCATCGGGCAGCTTCTGAAAAGCAGCAATGAACCTGGCAAAGCGTTCGAAAGTAATGTGGTCGGATCCATCAGCTGAAACCGAGCCGTCGTCTTTCGGAATCAAAGCCAGGTGATGCTCATTACTAGTGGCCAACCGGAAATCACACTCGTATCGAACAAGATATGCATATGTTCGTACGAAGCCGGTGATCGCTCTACGAAGCTCGACCGGTTGAGTATTCAAGAATTTCCAGAATGCGTACGACAGCAGGTACCTCGGGATAGGCTTGATATATATGCGGTCATAGTACCAAACGAGATGAAGCTGGGGGTTTTCTGTGACGATGATGTTTCGTCCCCGAACCGCTTGATGGTGCAAAGGTGATATGTGCCAGTATCGAGGTGTTGAAACCTTAATTCTCCAATTGATTATGAGCTTTCATGCAATCTAATTTTTCGGACTTACCAGCCAGAGCTTGGGAGCCAGCGTATCCAAGTCAGTCGTCGAATGTTCTTCATCCAAATACTGCTTCAACCCCATAGACTCGGTCAATGCGACTCGCGGTTGTCCTGGTAAGGAGGTACTACCCCCGTCGGACCGGCGAATGTTGGTGTCCTGTGCAACAGCTCCTAGTTCTAGCTGCTTGTTAAGCTCGACTTCTGACGAGAAAGGGACGTCCATCGGTGTTCGCAAAGCTTGCTAATCAACAAGCCTCTTTGTCGCCACACTACTTGAAAGGCTATTTGCGATGAGCAATGTCCTGCTTCATTTTGATGAGCCGGGTTCGGGAAGCTGGAGCTTTAACGGTGGGTCTGTAGGAACCGCTCTTCAATAAAAAGAAGGGGCTGGAAGTTGCCGCTAACCGCGGGCCTCAGAAACACTAAGAATAGTCTCTAGAGTAGCCTAACTTAGCCTGGCCCACGCCAACGATGGAAGACGACCAAAGTGCTTGCAGGACGGGTAGATCAGGCCCCGCTCGCCGCCCATCTGGTAAAGTCCGTCTAAGGTACGTTTAGGAGCGGGTGGCATACCTTACCTTAGGACTAACAGTATCAGATAAACTCGTTTGGAGATGGACAGGTGGTAGCCTCTTCTGTAGAAAGGCTAGAAGCATCCACGTAGGAATTCAGCTCAAGGCCGAGGGCCTAATCCTTTCTAGGTCCTGTTGCATTCGTTATGAACTTGGACTGGCGCTTAGAGTAGAGCTGAAGATGCGGGCCTGGTGGGCGAACCAATTAGCAGGGAGAGCCTTATCAGCACTCCCTGCTGAGTGCTGTTTCCTGTGCGATCTGGCGCCAAGTGGGGTACCCCCATCATTGAAAACCCACTTTCCAGAATTCTTCCTTTTGAGCCAGACAAACTAAAATTTCAAGATCAAGCAAACGTACAACTTAGGCTCACGCGCTTCATGGGACTAATCTGATGGCCGTGAGTAACGCATTCTTGTTCCAATGATACATTAGGTATTAGGTCTATTTTCATACTGATAAATGCGAAACAGACCTCTACCGACATTTCCGATATCCCCGATGGTCGCTTACTTCAAGTCTTCTCTTCTCGTCTCAGCCAAGATGACATATCCGCAGAGTAGGAACATTCTAAATTGACGCCAAATTGTCACTGATCTATCTTTAGTATTATTGCTATACACGGTCTGGGAACTACCTCTCCCAAGACATGGGAAGCTATAGGAAACCAAGCATGTGGTGTCCAAAGACCACGGGTCAATTGGCTCAGTGACAATGACATGCTGCCCGATGTCGTTCCCTCCGCCAACATATTTACCTTTACTTGGAATTCGAAGTACTACGAGAATGCGCCTGTTATACGTATACATGACGTGGCAGATGTCCTCTTGAGTAAGCTCCGAAGCCAGCGGGACAAGGTAGAATCAATACGCTTTTGAATGAACACTCTGATTCTCGGTATAGGGAAACACGCACCCAAGACCGCTCATTTTCATAGCTTCATGCTTTGGGGGACTCATCGTCACGAAGGTCAGGTCGAGTCTTTCATAAAGCTTTAGAAAGGTGATTACTAAAGGCTTTTAGGCTCTCGAAATCGCCAATATCACAGGAAGCGAGTATCAGAAATTGGTCGTTGCAACATCCGGGGTTATTTTCCTCGGGTCTCCTCTGCAAGGCACACGCGCCGGAACGGCAGCACAGTGGAGAGCCATGCTCGCGGGTGTTCTCAACAAAAGCCCTTCACAGACGCTGCTTCAAGATCTCGATGGCGGTACTAAAGTACTACGTGAGACATCAGAGCGATTCGTCAAAATGATTTTAGCTCCTCCAATGCAGACAATGACGAAGTTTTTCTGGGAATCCAAACGGAGTCAATTAGCCAACGCAGTACTCCCACCCTCGATGACAAAATACTGGACAAAAACAAAGATGATTGTGAGACGCCTCATTTAACCCACCAATCATAGCTAATTGAAACTGATGATGCTTAGCTCGTCGAAGAAGACTCTGCTTGCTTCTTGGGACTTCCAAAACAACAGCTTGACGCGGCTCATGTGATGATGTGCAAATTTCGTGGCCCTACCGACGCGAACTTCGAGCTGGTTAGTAGTACACTCAAGGAAATGGTGGGAGAAGCAACAAGAATTACTCTTGCTCAACGAGAAGGTAAGATCTCCCCTTGAGCAGTAGAACAGCCTACATTATTTCGGCTTTTTTCTCTAACGGATAGGTTCAACTTAGCTGTGAATATCCATAATGAGCATTTTATGGTTTCTCGACGAGTAAACACAGTGTTTACTGGCCGAGAGAAGGAGATCAAGGATCTTCAGCAATCACTATCCCCCTCTCGTCCGACAGACTCGCAGGCCACAGAGTCAAAGATATATGTGATCGAGGGTTTGGGGGGAGCTGGGAAGAGCGAAGTGGCTCTAAAGTTCGCATATGATAACCGCGACGTGTAGGATACCGTATGATAGATTGTACCGCCTAAGCTAATTCGTCTTTAGGTTCTGGGGTGTCTTTTGGCTCGATGCGAGCAGCGAAAATTCACTCAAGCGCGGTTTCGTGGATATTGCCGAGAAGTGCGACCTGCACGACAAGAGCTTCAAAGGTGCCAGGTCGTGGCTCCAAGAGACCTCTCACTCTTGGTTGCTCATTTTGGACAACGCCGATGATCTTACTCTTGACTATAGTTTGTATCTACCTACCGCGTCGAAAGGAAACGTCCTGATAACTTCACGCAACCCAAAGTGTGCAAATCTCCAGACGGCTGGGAAGGACCACTACGAAAATCTCAGTGAAGAAACAGCGGTCGAGCTTCTCTTCAAAGCCTCTAAGATTGACTTGAGCCTGTACAGGACTCACGATGTTGATGCTCGGAATATCGTGGGTCTTTTAGGCTGCCATGCTCTCGCAATCGTTCTAGCTGGAGCATCTATTAGCCAAGGAATCTGTGATCTTGAAGACTACGCGGAGACGTTCAAGAAACAGCGACAACGGCTTTGGGACATTTCACCCGCCCTGGAAAAATCGCGATACGGCAATGTCTACGCCACCTTTGAGGTCTCGGCTACTTACCTTTGCAACCTGAGCGATCGGCAAAGATCACAGACTGCGATAGATGCACTTGAGCTACTCAATTGTTATGCTTTCATGCATTTTACAAACTTCCCAGAAACGACATTCAAAGAGGCGTGGCGGAACTCGAGGGAACTTCCTCCTGACGTACAGCCGGATACAGAAGAGCGAATTCTCGACCTTTCACCTTGGCATAGATCTCATCTTCCAAGTTTTATGCGGCGAGATTCGTCTGAAGACCTCGACACGATATCCCTTCGCGAGGCCCAATCTTTGCTCGCCTCTCTCTCCATCGTCGTACTCGACTTGCCCGCACACACAACAAGAATGCATCCTGTCACGCATATGTGGGCTAGGGACCGCCTGGAGGAGCAGAAGATTTGCACAAATGCTTGGCTAGGCGCACTCGCTGTCCTTTGCTGTTCGATCAAAAGTCCTGACGAGCAGGAAGCTTTGTACGAGCAGCAAGCTTTGTGGGTTCAGCTCCAGCCGCATATCGAGTTGATCAAAAAACCTTCACCTGGTGATTACCTCTACAGCAACAAATTCCATCTCCATCAGTGTTTCTATCGACTGAGCTGGGTTCTGCATAAATTACGAGCTGATAAGGCGGTGATTGAAATGCTTCAGGCGTGTTTTATAGAGGCGGATCAGTCTTGGACCAAGTTTACCTATGCTGAAGACATTGGAGATCTTTACGGTATATGCTTACGAAACCATGGAGACATCAAAAAAGCCATACAGACGCTCGAATATGTCGCTAAGATTAGAAAAGAAAAGCTGGCCGAAGACCATCCTGATCTACTTGATTCTCAACATGAGCTAGCCATGGCTTATCAAGCAAATGGACAGATTGGCAAAGCCGTTGAATTGCTCGAGCATGTTGTTAAGGTTAGAAAGAAAATCTAGCCACAGACCATCCTTCTCGACTTGCTTCGCAGCATGCGCTAGCCGGGGCTTATCAAGCAAATGGACAGATTGGCAAAGCCATTGAATTGCTCGAGCATATTGTTAAGGTTGAGAGAAAAGCTAGCCGCAGACCATCCTTCTCGACTTGCTTCGCAGCATGAGCTCGCCTCAGCTTATCGAGTGTAATGGGCAAGTTGACGAAGCCATCAGCTACTCGAGTATGTCGTTAAGATTGAAAAGAAAAGCTGGCCGTAGACCATCCTCTCGACTTGCTTCTCAACATGGCTTGGCTTATCGATCAAATGGGCAGATTGATAAAGCCTTGAACTGCTCGAGCATGTCGTTAAGATTGAGAAAGAAAATCTGGCCGCAGACCATCTTTCGGCTTGCTTCGCAGCATGCGCTCGCCTTAGCTTATGGAAGTAATGGGCAAGTTGACGAAGCCATCAAGCTGCTCGAGTATCGTCGTTCGTCAAGATTAGAACAAAGAAACGCTGGCCGAAGATCATCCATCTCGACTTGCTTCGCAGCATGAGCTCGCCTTAGCTTATCGAAGTAATGGGCAAGTTGATGAAGCCATCAAGCTACTCGAACATGTCGTTAAGATTCGAAAAGAAAAGCTGGCCGAAGATCATCCTGATCGACTTACTTCGCAGCATAGGCTCGCTTTAGCTTATCGAGATAATGGGCAAGTTGACGAAGCCATCAAGCTACTCGAACATGTCGTTAAGATTAGACAAGAAACGCTGGCCGAAGATCATCCTGATCGACTTGTCTCACAGGAAGCGCTCGCCCAGATTTATCGAGAAAATGGACAAGCCGACAAGGCCGAAGGGATTGAGGGTAGACCCACACCGGAGACGAGCCGTTGAAAGGTCTACTACGGGTCTTTGAAGTTTCTTCTCCTTCATGCAAAGGGTCAGCGCCACGTGCAGGGGAAAAGGGAATTGGAGTGTTTCATAGTCTCAACCGCCGTCCTGTACCTTAAAAGTGATTTGGTCTCTCCAGACCTTACAGATTGCATGCGATTTCATACCACGTTCGAAACTATCTAGCCCCATGTCGTCTAAGGTTGTGCTCGTGATGAGCCTCTGGCATCAGCGGCTCAGGTTTCGAGAGCATGACCCGTTGGCATCGTTGATGTACTTACCAGTTTCTCGCCAGCCTTTCCCCGTAGCCCAGCGTTATCCAATGAAGCGCAAGCAATCTGGAACTCTCGCCTGCGATCTTGACCTTGGGCATCGGATATGTAGTGTGAAGGTCTTCGCCCGAGGGAGGTAACCTTCCCTACGTTCCCCTGGCTCCTATTGTATTCAAAAAATATCTCCCCGATTCAAAAAGTTGCAAAAAGAAATGCAATTAATTAAACATACAGCAGCTAGTATTCGCTGGTCGTCACCGACCCAACTACTAATTAGCCGATCTGAGGCTTATCTTTGGCTGAGCGGACGGGAAGCCGAGTTTTCAACAGTCTGTGGCCGTATGTACTCAAACCCCTCTTATCAAAATCATATATACTCAATCCAAATATGAAAAAAGGACTTCCGGAAAAGAACTAGAGTAAAAGAATCCACTGTATCCATCCCAACCGCCTCCACTACAAAAAACCCTTTCCTACGATAAAAAGCACAAGATCCCACCCCCCCCCAACCAAACACCATCGGATCCGCCACCGCCGGCATGAATTTTCGCAAAGGCATCGCGTACGTGGATGAAGTAGGTAAGTAAGAAAGAAAGACGGCAAGAAAGGTAGTAAGTAAGAAAGACGGCAAGAAAGCATGTCAAAAGTAAGAAGAAAGACGGCAAGAAAGGTAGTAAGGAAGAAAGACGGCAAGAAAGGTAGTAAGGAAGAAAGACGGCAAGAAAGCATGTGCAGTAAGAAAGACGGCAAGAAAGGTAGTAAGTAAGAAGCGGCAAGTAAGAAAGACGGCAAGAAAAGGTATGTACAGTAAGAAAGACGGCAAGAAAGACGGCAAGAAAGCATGTACAGCAGCAGCACTGCCGATAGCCGGAACGGCGAACCCAAATCATCTAGGTAGGTAGGGTAACTGACCTAACGTACGATGTCACCTAGGGCGGGAACATGGACCGTGAAGCTTTCGCCGATGTGGAAAGGAAAGGGTAGGGAAGGGAAGGGGGAGTGAAGCAGGGCGGTTGTTGTCAGGGAGCTAGGATGGAAGCGGCACCTCTGAAGAATTGAATGGAAAGTGGAGGAGGAGGTGGAGGGGCCAGGGTGGGAGGTCATCAGATTGTGCATCTTCGTGTCACCCGATAATGAATACAAGTGCACTTCAGAGCTTGAGGGTATGAAATGAATGCATTTGGGGGGATATAAATGACAGTCACACATGCGCTCCCAAACGACAGACGGTCTATACCACACCGCCAACCCCGAGTATCTTAAGGAGAGGATGGGAATCCTCCATGATTAACAGGTATACCAAACATGCCCAATCAATTTTGTACAGCCCTTTCAACGTCTCTCATCTTTACTGCGTCGTTTCCCCGTTGGCGTATTTCTCCTTCGCCACGATATTCGGACTCCTCGATGTCTTCTCGAAGTATGTAGATACATCTGACGACCAGACACTATCTTCTTGATCATCATCATCAAACTGTCCACCCTTCTCATGAGCTTGTCTCGCTTGGGTGGCTTCCCAGTCGGAGCGCATTTCCTCAATCTTTTGCTGGTAGTCGAGCTCGGCATTGTAGTGTTTGCCCACGCCACGCAGGCGCTCGTACAATGACAAATGCTTGGGGTGCACGGCAACACCGTGGTAGTCGGATTCACGGCCTGCTCGGATGTATTGCCAGCGGCGTTCTTGTTCCTTGAGATCGAGACCAGTGGTGTCTGGGAGGAAGAGTAGAGTCAACAGCATACCAGCGAGACCGAACCAAGGCACGACGTGAAACTTCTCCTGTGTGGAGATGTAGTTGTACAAGACGGCGGCAGTCAAGGCGCCGAGTTTGCCACACGCGGCGGAGAAACCGTGAGCGGTGGCCCGGATGGGGGTCGGGTAGACTTCGGCGGCAACGAGGAAGGTAACAGCGTTAGGGCCGAATTGATTGAAAAACGAGGAGAGAAAGTACATGGCTTGGAAGGCTTTGATGTGTGCGTGAGATGTGTAGTATTTATAGTGGAAGCCAGGGACGACGAAGAGGATGAAGTCCATGAGGAAGCCGAGCATTTGCATCTTTTTGCGGCCGTAGAGTTTGTTGTCAATGAGGAAGGCTGGTGGACGACCAAGGTCAGCAGCGAATCTTGGAGACTGGAGATATGGGGGTTGAGAGCTTACAGGCCAAGTAGTATCCGACAAGGGAAACACCAACGTTGATCAGGTTGTACAACCATCCGGGCATAACAGATTTGCCACCGTGGGTAAGGACGCTGATAAACTCGGCCTGGAACAGCTTGTTGCCGTAGAAGAAGATGTCGTTGCAGTACCAGCCGCCAGCGGTCGCGATAAGGCGAGGGCCGAAGTAGGTGAAAGTAAGCTTGAGGGACTGAGTATCGTAGCCGGTAACCTTTGACTTCTTCTTCGCTGCGGCCAGTTGCTTGCTGGCTGATCTCATCTTGAAAGTACGGAAGTAAACAAGCCACAGTGTACCGACAGCTGGGATAGCAAAGGAAATACGGTAGGTCCATTGTGCGGCGACTTCGGAGTACGGTGGGTTGCCGCTTCCGTGGTGGAAGCACAGAAGCAGAATAATGAGGATGGCTTGGTTGGCGAATTGACCCCATCCTTGCATCAAGAAAGCGCTGGTGACTTTGCGGCCTCGGTGAAGACGATCTTCCTTGGTTGAGATCTTGCCAGAGCCAACGGCGTTCTCCATGCCGGATGTAGCTGTCATCGGATATTCTCCACCAACACCGATACCATAGAAGAAGAGAGACCACGTGTAACAGATGACCCAGCCATTGAGAGTAGTACCCCAGGCACAGACCAGCATGACGAGACCAATGAACATGATGGTTGCATCTTGAATCAGACCCCATCTGCGACCGAGCCTGGTATCCGTTAAATTCGGTCCTCAAAACGTGCGAAATCAAGTCCAACTTACCAGTCACCGAGAACACCAACGAGGATCTGTCCAATGATTATACCAACGATTTCCATGTAGTCAACGGCGTCGATCCAGACGGCGTTACAGGTTTTGGCTGCGCTCCAGCAATTTTTGAAAACTGACTGGAATAAAGGTTTGATGTTGCCGATAGAGAAGAGGACGTAACTATAGGAATGTTAGTGTATGTATGCTGATCTTCTTGCGCACACGGTATGCTTACCCTTCGAGACCGAGACCAGCGCCGGGAATGACCATGTTCCTGATATAATAACGGAAAGGTTCCAAAGGATCCCTCTTGAACATTGCCCAGATATTTCTTAACTCCCGGGCAGCCTCCTTGCCATCATAGGCGGTGACAAAGGCGATACGCTTCATCAGAGGCAGGTCAGCCCAGTAGACGCCCTCAGGAGTGAAGCTGTCGTCGGGCTTGATGAGGTAGTCGAAGATCTGCCTCTCGTTTTCGTCCATGGTATGTATAGGGTCGTGGGTACCGCTCATGTCGGGCCCATGAGGGGCAGCTGGACCATAGTCCTGTATGTGAGCCATTGTGAACGTACGAGTGTGTCAAGCACAAGTACAATCCGACGTTCTGGAGGTTGAGAGAAGGTTGTATGAATGAATGGGAGAAGGTTCAAGATCGGGGTACCGGGGGCATATGTATGTAAGAGCGGAAGGGTGCAGCTGGGGACGGCTATGTCCGGGTGTTGAATCCGGTGGTGGGATGCGGAAAAGATGCCTCGTGGGGTGCGAATGCCGAAGGATCTTTCAGAAGGGTGGGAGGCTTGACGTTCCAGAATGAGCTGATATCTTGATGATCGACGAGCACGCTTCGAGTTGTGTCTATGAGATTGGTCGAGAGGATGGATTTGCCATCGGACGCCCGCTCGCTAAAAGTGTGATGGCGTTGGTTGGTGGATTCGGTTGATTTGGAGTAGGTACGTATCAGAGATTAATATTTGTCGGGTCCTTGTTGGCTAGAACTGATTGTATTCGATTTCTCGGGCGAATCAGACGTCGAAGCTGAATGCTTGATTCGTAGGTGAATACACTGTGCGAGATCCGCGGTGCCACAGGATGTCGAGATGTACACACGTGCAGACACTAGAGCCCGGGTCCGCTGTAGGAACCCTCGTCCGCCTCTTGCCCGACGGTTTGCCTTGCTTGTTGTTGGCGAATGCTTTCTCTGCGCCTCTATGAGTGAGACAGGCTGACCCGAGGTTATGAGAGTTGTGATGGGGGTTGAGCGAAGCGTTATGACAAGATTGAAAGGCTTTGGGAAGGCTGGTGAAAAGATGAGGGATTCTTCGACCACAACCGCAGAGGGTGAGCCCGGAAATAGGAGCAACCCTGTCTGGAGGCATCTTGGCGAATTTTTAATTCGACGCCGAGCGTTTTGACGTGGATGCTTTACCGGTACTGACGCAGGCTAACGAGCGGATTCTTCGCTGATGGAGGAGACGAGGAGAAGGATTGAGAGAGAAGACGTTGAAATTGGCCAATGAGATTCCAGAAGATGAGCTCGTGGACACGGCGAAACATTACGACCATCACGCAGCTCTCACATTTCAACCGAGACTAAGGTCAATGAGAAAGCTTACCTACGCACAAGCGGAGACTAAGATGCTAGTGCCATCTAGTGTGGCTATCTCCCGATATGTTGATTCGCCTCTGCACAGTGTATGTATTGATCAACAGACTTCCGCAGTACGAATACTGCTGCTGCCACTACTACTGCTGTTATGTGTTGATTGTTGATTTATTCCCATGTCTTGCCTAATCAACACTGGGTCAGGCGATTCATTTTCCCATGGTTTGTGTAGCGAGCGTAAATTGATACCTCGGCTAACTCACGCAGCCTTATCCGACGGTGACGCGAAGCATCTGCGAGATGCAGCCTCCACGTGGTTTTTTGATTTGATTTTTAAGGAGGCTTTCATGCACACGCTCCTTGTCGTCATTGTGATAAAGGGCCTTTTCTCCAAGTAGATCATCTCAAGTCTCTACATGATCGACGTTCTGGACCAGAAGTTGGCCGAATTGGATCTCCCTGACTTCTTAGTCTACTTTGACACCCTCGCACAGACCACTCCACACGGAAAGGGTACCCATCATCATATCACCCGAAACCAGGAAGAATGACAGCACGCTATCATTTCAGGATCAAAGCCACTAGCATTCCACACGGAAATATCCCCCTTCCATCTTCCATCAATTCGAGATGCGCAAGATCAGACCCGAACAGAGAGTATCACAAGACTCTCTGATATGCCTAAAATCTACACATGTCGAGCAAAACGAACGTCCTTCTTCTGAAAAGTGGAGGTTCCATACTGTGCAATGCAGCAATAAATGCACCCCATGTACGCACATGTTTGTGGTGACACAAGACTGACGCCGACAATGTTCGCTTAAGGCCTCTCACTCTAAGAGGTCGTGGTCGATTAGCGTGTCGCAATCTTCACCCATTGAATCCTAGAAGGAGCTGGAGTGGCCCCAAGTGGATACCTAGATTCCGCTATAATCATCTCTTCCAACTTCTTACATGTATGCTGAATGTCATGTGGCGATGCATTCATCATCGGCTCGTCTACAGTCATTAGATATGAAAACATGTGATGAGATGATCGCTCTTGATACACTGAGACGGGCAGCTACTTTCCCACAACCGGTGCCGATCTGCTGTTCCGGACATAGGTCTCTATCCGACGTCCGGGAACTAGCCTAAGGACCGACTTTTCTTACCAGGCCGCCAAGCTCACGATGACGCCCTTGCAAATACTATTGACAAATGTATAGAGTGATGAGGAGGCAGAACTTCATGATTGTGCGAGGATACAAACAATATACGACAGCTCGGCTAGACTTGCCTTAGTCAAACTTGGCAGTCAACTTTAGCATACCAATGAGTCTCTTACCTGTCATGGAGCTGTTCTCCAAACAGATGTACTGACATCGAAAACTCAAGCTACAGCAGTAACCTTTCATACCTCATGCCTAACACAACCTGCGTCTGCTTCTCAACCTACGCTCATCCCATGCGGCTGTTATCCATCAAGGTCACTCCCAAGAGAAGGCTCAATAACTGGACAAGTCATCCGTGCATGCACTGGTTATGAAAACCGATCCATCTACGCAGGCAATGTAACTTGGGATGATGCACTGAACCCAGGACAAGCACGCGCAGTTGTTGCGGAACAGGAATGACTCTGCGGCTCGCCATTACATCTTCGTTAAGTGACAGCTCATTCTCGACCCCTGATTCCTATAATACAGTCTTTTCACGGCCTGGATGTTCGCCACCTGCGGTGAGATTGCTTTTGCATCCCAAAGTATCATGTCTAGGCTACTGGATCACGCTGACGAGCTCTTAATCGATATCATAGTTAACGTTCAGCCATGGAAATATCGAAGCTCTTACCTTCGCCTGCAAAACACTTAGCAGGATCACGCACAAGGTAACAAAGAAGGGTGTAGAGCTGAAGAAAGACACAGCACCGTGACCCACGGCGACACTCTCGGCGACGGGACTCTTACTGTCAATCCACTCTCGCTTCTCTGCGACATCATCAACGAAGAAAATGTTCATCTCTATCCAAGGAAGATGATAATATTTCAGCGAAGATGGTGGTACTGAAACTTCCCATCCCCCATCCACCATCCACGGGACCGATGAACATTCAAACCAAGTCTCCTACGAGATCACCATTGAACTCGAAAATGAAATTCAACGCAGACTTGAACGATCTCCTTACTACGAGATGCTTCCACCACCTCCGGATGATGATTATGCAGAAAGTTCCGAGTAACGTTACTACATAGCGTCCCTGGGGTTGCGAATCGAATCGACCGTCCCCATTCCTCTCACCTTGCTCCCCAACTTCCAAAGCACTGAAATGCGCAGCTACACCCTCAGCACAATGGCACTCATCATTGACTCATTTTTAATCACAATGCGCTCTAAGCAATGACAGTCTGCCAGACGAGCAGCGTGCCCTGCACAATCTATAATCAACATCCATGCACGGCAGTCCCAGGAAATACGATAATTTCGATAAGGTCCAATTCATATCAGCAGATCCGTGCGAGACTGCAGACCAGCTGCACAAAGCTCGTCACGAAGTTCTACAACGGTCGAACGGCCGAGAGTTGCGACTGTGTCCATCGACTGGTGAATGTGTCAGCGGATCCTCTTGGGAACCTAAGGCTTTGTGGGCGGTTGTCAACGGAGGGCTTTGATGTAGTGTTTAGTCAAATTCCCAACCTCCAAGCTGCCGGATTGCTCAAGCTTAACATGACCTCAAGCTTAACGAGACCGTAACCGAAAAAAATGGTGAAGCGGACATGGATACTTCGCGGAAGCTGCCTGATACCAATCTCTCGATTATTCCTTCACATCCCTTCACAGAGTTGGTTGGGGATGAAGAGTAGACCTTTGTGGACTTTCGCTATGATTTTTTAGAGGAGAGCTATACCAGATACGAAATCAATGAGTTCTGGAGAGTAGCATTCTCGGGCTACTTTTGTGGTCTAGAAGGCCGCAGCGGATGTTTTTGTGAGAGCATAGACACGAGCCGTCCGCAAAGAGAAGGAATTACCAGTGCTGCGTCTCTTGACCGTCAGCACGAGGCCGATGGCTTTGGAACATCTTCATTGCATGCTCCCACGCCGGCCTTTACTTCTCCTCAACCTAACCCCAGAATTTGCGCAGATATCCATCTCTTCTAGCAAATACGCCACCATCGCAGTGATGAGTCTGAGTCTGCTGTTCCAAATGATGCAACCTAAGGCTGCACCATGTCAACTCCAAAGACCCTAATATTTTCAGCGTCAGCGTTACTCTGAGAAGTCACGCCGATTGAAGTAAAATGACATTTTCCCCCTTCGAGGCTTCGCGCTTTCTAGAAAGTGAACAAGCCACTCGTTTACTGGGGGGCAGGGTTCCTACTGATATTGGACCACCAGCCGTCTCACCTAGTACAGACTTACGCGTTTCACCCCTGCAACACCAATCATAGAAGCAAATATCAGACCCTCCTCACCATCCCCGAATATGTTCTCAACCTCTGTACTCGCCCTGCTCGCCAGTCCTCGCTCCCGAACCGCTCGACCAAACCAAATTCCATTTCCTCCTACGAAACCACCGATCCCACCACCGACCAGCTTGCCATACGCTTCAAACCCAGCAAGGAACCCAGCACGGACGACGACGACAACCGCCACCGACCCCACGAATGCCAAACGCCAAGGCCGGATACCCCACGACCCAAGTCACCATTGGAGACGGGCACCATCCTCTGGGCCTGCGACGTCTGACCCCGTCGCCACCCTCCCCTCCATCTACACCACCTACGATAGATGCCTCCCACCCCCCAACGACGCCTATAACCTCCCCGTTACCCACCTGACTCCCACCTCCGACATATCCAACGCCCGAAACCCTCAAACTGACCACTACGGCCACTTATCCGGGCTGGCCGCGCAACGGGCTGGTCGTGGGCACTCAAGCTGCTATGTCGACCAACAGCCTCGCGGTCTGGCAGGATCAGACATTCTGCTGCAGAATCGCCACCGCTTCGAAATTCGCCGGGTTGGGCGCCCACTCGGATGCTGATACCCTCGAGGCCAAGTGTTCAGTCTCCGCCGCTATCGGCACGTCAAGGACGGGATGCTGAGCCAACGGGGTGGCTCGGCTTGTTGGTGGGCTAGCGTTTTGACTCCTTTGGGGTCGAAGTGATGAGGGATGTTCAGGAGGAAGGGGAAGGTAGGGGGTGGGGGTGAAGGGCCAAACTATTCGCACAGTGCTGTCGATGCCAACTGATTCTTGTAGGAATGAAAGGTGAGAATGAAGAGGAGGTTTTAACCGCGCCACCATATTTTGACAGAAACAAAAGTCCTCATTTTCATCGACGTCTTTTGTGACATAGGTACCATCACGACAGACCCACTAGCGACCCTCATATCTATCATATCTCTGTTCCAACCCTCAACTCAGAACAAGGCAAAACGCTTGAACGACCGAACACCGCTGCCAACTCGAAGGTAAAAGGTAACCAACAACCGATCAGAAGGCTTACTTCGTATATAGCACTCGTATTAACCTCATTCTCTTACCCCTTCAACAACCTCATCATACGTGAAACAATGTATGAACCGCGATCTAGTACGATACATTAGCGACTTCTACGATACAATCGTCGAATAAATCTATTCACAATGAGCCCCAATCTTCCTCAACATCTGTCCAGCGATCGAGTACCACTCTCTTGTTGCAAAGCGGAGATCGATCCCAACACTGGCTGTTCCGCTACCAGGGTCCTTGGAAGGGACGGAATCGATTGGGTCGATCTGGCTCCATATCTCTTTGGCTGGCTATAATTGTTGGGTGGTAATATGATGAGGACGATTGGATGTGATGTAGGACTGAGTTCGTTGGCTTTAAGGATGGAAAAGTTTGATACGGGAAGGATCATGTATACGGAAAGGACTGCAATTTTTGTTCAGTATCACGTGAGCGTGGGCCCTAGAGCGCATCATAGAACTCTCTCGCTAAACGCAACCAGTCTAAGGTAGAGCTGCCTAAACGCAGAACTCACTCAACCTCACCTCGAGACGATTGCGCCACTATTCCATCCAAGATCATCTGCAGGTACCACCACAAAAGTTTGCGGGACGGAAGGGCCAGCTGCGGTCGGTCATTGGGACGATGTGCCTGCTTTCGCGAAACCGTCACCATGCGCGCGTGCCACCCGTCCCACCTGACCTTGCAGCCATCGACGACGACCCATTCCCGAAACATCTCACCTACAATATCTCCCCACAGCGAGAGTATCCGCAACCGCCGAAACCCTTTTTTTAATTTTTTTACTTTGCGGCTTCGATTCTTATCGTTGAGAAGAAGATCGTTCGGGCGAAGGTGTCCGTTGCGCGAAAGCGGCGGGGCGTGGATGGATGAATGGATCTCTTTACGGTTCGAGTTCGAGACATTTCGCACATGAGCACTTCACGACACCTCTCCTGGGGGCCCATCCATCTTTTATAAGTGATGCCGGCTGGCTATACTGCGTGACCCAGCAACATGACCTGCCGCCATGGCATGTCGTCTCTCCATCGTCCATTTTTTCCTTTGTCCTTTCTCTCTCTCTGCTGCCTCCATACCGTCGTTACCATCGTCGCCGTCATCACTGCTCCATACCACCGCCATCTTCCTACCCGAATTATACAAACAAACACTTCCACATCCCAAGCTCTCCGCACCTCTTTCCCGTCCGCCTTTATCTCATCTGTTCCGATACAGCACCGATCCACCCTTCCACTCCACTCACCGCAACCCCATCCATCCATCCATCCACCCTCCCTCCCAACCAAATGTGCATCCCCCAAATCGACATCATCCCCACCCCCACCCCCACCCCCACCCCGCGCCGCCGCAAAACCCCCCCTCTCCCCCGAATGCCGCAAACCCCCAAACACGACCTACGTCTCCTTCTCGCCCCAGATAATCTACCGCGCGCCCCCCGCCAGCCCCTCCCGCAGCCCCGTCCCGCCCACGCACCCCCGCCACCACCCGCGCGCGCCCCCTCGACGTGCGAACGGGCGGCGCCGGAGGCGGAGGCGGGGTTCCTGGGCGGGTTCGTGGCGGGGCGGGACGTGGGTGTTAGAGAGGGGAGGGGGGGGGGGGGGGGGGGGGAAATCGCGCCCTCTGCGCCGCAAGCTCCAGCACCAGCTCCAGCTCCAGCACCAGCACCTCCCACTCCACCAGCCCCACCACCACGGCCCCAATCCCCCCCTCCTCCTCCTCCTCCTCCTCCTCCTCCTCCTCCTCCTCCTCCACCCTCTCGCGCTACAGCCTGCGCGCGTTAAAGAACCGGGTCAACAAGCTGTGGGATCGCGTCAACGGGTTGGAGCAGTGGCGGGAGCGGGAGCTGGGGCGGAGGGAGAGGGAGGGGGAGGGGAGTTGGGAGAGGGAGGGAAGTTGGGAGAGGAGGAGGAGGCCGTGGGGGGTGGGGGAGGGGAGGGGGAGGGGGAGGGGGTGGTGATAAAAGTGAAGAAGGGAGGTGATAGAAGAGAGAGAGAGAGAGAGAGAGGGAGAGAGAGAGAGAGAGAGAGAGAGAGAGAGAGGAGGAGGGGAGGGTGATAGAGAAGTGGGAAGGGGGTGGAGAGAGAGAGAGAGAGAGAGAGAGAGAGAGAGAGAGAGGGAGGAGAGAGAGAGAGAGAGAGAGAGAGAGAGAGAGAGAGAGAGAGAGAGAAAGAAAGAAAGAAAGAAAGAAAGAAAGAAAGAAAGAAGAGAGAGCGCGCAAGGCAAGCGAAGTGAACGAAGGACGACAGCTCAAAGACCCAAGCGGTACGGCTGCAACCAAACTGTCCCAACCCCACAACCGCCTGAGTCAGAACCCCCCCCAACCGATCCCGAATCCCAAAGTCCCGCTCCACCCCCCCTCCCCCTTCCCCCTCCACCCCCCCAACCCCCCCCCCCCCCCCCCAACTACGGACAGCGTATCTACCGTACCTGACAGCGAGCTGGGCGTGAATGAGTGAGTGGGTGGTACTTCCTTCCCGACGGCCTTGGGCTAGAGCTGGGGTTTTTACGGCGAGGTGATGGCGCTAGGGGGGAGGGAGGGATGGAAGGAAGGGGGGGGGGGGGGCATGGAGGGAGGGGAGGAAGGGGGAGGAAGGGAGGAAGGAAGGGGGGAGGGAGGGAGGAAGGGAAGGAGGGAGGGAGGAGGGGAGGGAGGAAGGAAGGAAGGAAGGTATGGAGGAAGGAAGGTATGGAGGGAAGGGGGAAGGTATGGAAGGAAGGAGGGGGGGGAAGGAAGGTATGGAGGAAGGTATGGAGGAAGGTATGGAGGGAAGGGGGGAGGGAGGAAGGAAGGTATGGAAGGAAGGGGGGGGGTATCTGATAACATGGCGGATCGATACGGCCCTTGTTTACCATGCCGGGGCAATGGGAACGGTTGCTTGGGGAGATATAGATATGGGAGGGGAGGGGATGACGAGTGGGAGTTGGAATTAGAATGACGAGTGGGGATTAGGGATGAATGGACGAGAGGCGGGTGGTGAAGGTCTTGTGGTACAGGGAGTAGAAGTGCGTGTGCAAAGCAGGTCGTTCGCGTTGATGTGCACGCTGGAAGATTGGTATTGTAACAAGGTCGTCGTGTCATCATGTCGCATGGTACCCGTCGTGCTCCATTTCACGCGAGTTCCCCTTTATGTGGCCCTCCTTCTCATACCCACACGACAGCCAATCGGTTTCCTCAAAAAGCCTTCCCTGGTCATCAACTCCCCCTGCTCCCTCAACTCGAATTCGAATCTCCGCGCCACGGTCGCCACGATCAAGGCCAACTCCATCTCCGCCACATTCCGACCCACGCACGCTCTTGGCCCGTAGCTGAAAGGGATGAATGCTCCTTTCTGCTTCTCGGTCAAGTTGTCTGGGTCCCAGCGGTCGGGGTTGAAGATGTCGGGATCGAAGGCGGGGTTGTTGGAGGGGTTCCAGACGGAGGGGAGGTGGTGGATCGTGTAGGCGGGGACGGAGAGGACGGTGCCCTGGGGGAAATGGTGGTTGCAAATTGAGACGCCGGAGCCCGGTGGGACGACGCGGGGGAGGCCGAGGGAGGAGGTGGAATGGATGCGGAGGGTTTCGGATATCACGTTGTGGAGACTGCAGATGGATCATCAGCATGGCATTCGCAATCATTCAACCACAGGAAGAGCTGGCGTGGAGGCGCTTACTAGGGCAAATCCTTCACCATATCGTACTCCGGCACAGCAAATCCCTCCGGAATCGCCTCATCCAACTCCCTCTGTAACTTCTCCATCACCCCCTCCGTCTTTAAACACCAATACAGCAGCGCACAGCTGGTATTAGATGTTGTATCACTCCCTGCAATTAATTGTGTCAATGCCTCTGCCGTCAACTCTTCCCTCCCAAGCTTCTCCCCGTTCTCATCTTTCCCCTCCATCAGTCTCGCCAATAAGTCCTTCCTCTGGCTTTTTTCTTCATCCGGCGCATCGAGCCTGGCATTCACTCGCGCGGTGGCGATACCAGCGAGGTTCTCGACGGCGCGAACGCCGTCGCGGAAGAAAGGATCGGGGAGGTACTTGGCATAGGGTTTGATGGAGGGTAGACAGCCGATGGTGCCCGATACCTCACCGCGACGGTTCAGGACTTCGATGGCGGGGGCGTAGGTGACGGGACCGTTGGGGCTCTTCTGCACTTCGGCGATATCTTTGCCTTTGGAGAGCATGCCAAAAGGCACGCCGAATGCCTGTCATGGCCCTCCCCATCAGCACTTCGATATGCAATCTCGGAGCCGTGGCTACGCCGCACTCACCAGATCCCCAATGATATCGAACGCTATGTAGTTGAACCATTGTAGGCAATCCATATCGGCATAGTTCTGCCCCGACCTTGTCGCAGTGTCGGAGATGCGATCCCATTGCTTGACCAGCTGTTGCAGGTTGTATGCCATGTACTGCTCGAACTGGCCGATGCTCTTCGTGCTGAAAATGTGCGAGACAGTCTTGCGTTTGCGGGAATGTTCGGCGCGATCGCGGGTGTTGAAGAGGCCTCTTTGAATGGAGATGAAGGCGTCATAATAGTCGCTGTGAAGCCATGTCTCCGTGAGCTGTTGCTCATGAGGATTCGCGGAGAGCAGAGCGATGACAGAAAGAATGTAGTGGAATGTGAGAAAGGTTGATTACCTCTTCAGCCATCCTCCGGTGTGGCTATAGATGACCGGAATGGCCTCTGGATCGGCAACAGAGACATGATCAGGCTGTATGCGCACCAGCGGTCCAAGCCTTTTGTGGGCTTCATCCACGGCTAGATACCGCCTTCCCCGCCTGCATTGGTAGAGTAGCCATATGTTGCTGAAGATTGCGAGCTTAGGGCCCGGGATGTCTCGTATGGCATTATTCCGGATGTATGGTAGGAGGTAGTAAATTACGGGTAGAAGGAGAAGGAGGTAGGGAGAGAGAAGAGATGTCAGGATCATTGTTGTGGAGATATAGGGAGCTGGTATACAAGGTAGAAAGCTGTCATGTATAAAAGAAATCAAGCGTTGCCATGACCGAGAACATTTGCAAGTGAGAAGAAGGAGGACAGCGGACCCGTAATGCAAGAGATGTAAGACATTACGAATAGAAAGACAGATGTAGCTGTTCACATGCACACCAATTGAAGAATAACCAATAAGTTGTGGGGTTGGAAGTGCCGACTTAATATCCAGCCCCGCATAGAATAACATCCGGCCGACGCGGAACAGACCCGTGCACTTCCAAATCTACTCCTCGGTACCAGTGATATAGGACGAAGCGAATACTAGTTAAAGTACAGGGAACGATTAGGCCTTTTGAGGCTCATGTATGCCAACCGTTCAAGCCTCTTGGCGCGGGGATCCAAGCTTAAAGCTTCCGACAATTTGATGAATTGTGGGGGCGCAAATACCCCACCAATGAAATGACTCACCACTTAGAAACCCATGACCGACAATGATGAAGCTAGGTACATCCTTTTCAACCATACCATATCATGATGCGAGTAATATATCAGCCTACACAAGCTGCATTCGATTCTGTATCAGTGACTCTCTAACCAAAATGACTTTCTTCCAAATGTCCTGAAATCTCTGTGAGATACCCCAATCCGGGTTACAGCTCGGTAGGGGTGAAAAAAGTTCGGTAGGGGTGAAGCTTCGGCATATTATCTCCTTCACCCCGGATGAACTCATAGCATACTTTCAAATGTCCTGAAATCTCGTGAGATACACCAATCCGGGTTACAGCTCGGTAGGGGTGGAAAAAAAGTTCGGTAGGGGTGAAGCTTCGGCATTATGCTCGCTTCAGCCACCGCATATCCTATATATAGGGATTCCCGTACCTCGCACACGTAAAAATCGCTGGACTGAATTTAACTTTCTTCACCCCCGATGAGGTGCTGGCATTCACCCCGGACGAGGTGCATATACTTTAGCATCTACTCACCCCTGCCGAACTTTTTTTCACCCATGCTGAGCTGTAAGCCCCCACCAATCCGATCAGACAGATCCGAGGTTCAACCGGGCTAGGGCTAGGGTATGGGCCGAAAAATGGTGGAGAGACATGTGACCAGGTACACAAGTCCCGAGTGCGACTTTCCGCCGGATTCGATGAGCTATTCGGCTCGATTGATCAATCAAAATAAGCCGAATAGGCGGGTCTCGGCGCCGCAGACTGCTCGACGGGACTGCGGGCGAGACGGGGTGAAGGTAAAATTGCCGCAAACCTGGAACAGTTGAAAATGAAGATTATGGGCATGAAAAGCATTTTTTGGGCTGTGAAGGAGAGAGAGAGAGCGAATGGTACCTCAAAACCGATCATGGTGGAGTGCGCGTGACCTTCCGGGCAGCGAATGTTCGACCAGCGAAGAAGGACTGAGCGGCAATTGAACCTCTTGCCCGCCGTCATGCAAAAGGCTCTGCAACTGTCAAGGCATATCAGTCCCCACAGCCCGCAGAGGTGACCTACAATGGCTATCCCGGTCATCCACGGGATACTGACAATGAACTCCATGACTCCGCCCCGTCCACATCCTTAAAGGACCTGGCCGAAGGTGTGGAAACGCCAGCTTTACACCCGCACCGCTGCACTTCCGGCGAACTTCCTTGCTCCACTCCGGTTCATCACGACCTACCACCTCTTTTTCCAGCAAAGATCAACCCTCGCACCTCTGTCGCGTGGGAAGACTTGCCCAGCGTGATATCGTCGATCAGGTGCTCGTAAGAGTGGGTCTCGCGGGACCACGCACCCACCACGCAGACGTAGTACCCGCAGTGATTCCGGGAGGGTGTCCTCGGAAGCTCGCGTGACAACGGAAACCGACTTGAAAGGACCTCCAATCGCAGTACACCCCGTCCAGTATTTCAAACGCTCGGGAGGGAAGCCAAGGAAGAGTATTGTCCCTGCGAAGGTGCCTGGATGGTCATCTTTTGCAGCGATGCTTTGACTCGCACTCTGGACCATAAAGTGTCAATGTCACACGCCGAGTCTGAGTGGTTTGAGCCACGACTGTTTGGGTAGCTGGACGTTTGTATATAGCTGAAGCCCTTGAAGAACTCGTACGTGGAGTTTGATAGATGTAGCTGTTTGGGGTTAGGGGAGCGTGAAAGTTAAGACTTGTAGACGTGGGTGAATGATGAAGAGGTGGTCATGGGACCAACATATATTTCCCGAGACATGTACGTAGCAGAGGGTCCCGAGGGCTTAGAAGGCGTGAAATAATGTCTAAGCAGTCTAAAATGAACTTGGGTGTCGGTCAATGACTCTCGGTCAGCCAGCCTGCATCTCTCCAACGAGCATACCGCACATACACCAACGGCTCTCTGAACGTTGGCTTACTGTTGTCACTCTGAAACCTATCAAGTCCTTCCGCCACCTTCCCCCCTATCCTCTTCTCAGACTCCACCCCACACCCATCAGCACTACTCCGCACCAGCGTTAACCGCTGCCTCTCAGTCCCCCCCGGGCTCATCCGTCTCCCCATCCGACAGACCGGATCGTCCGAAACCCCTGCAAAAGCCTCGCAACGGTATACGAAACCTCGATGAGTGCAAAGTCCTGACCGAGACAGGCTCTCGGACCACCGTTGAAAGGGAAATAAGCCCAACCGTAAGGGATTTCGAGCCCTCGTGTTCTTTCCCATCGCTCGGGGCGGAAGTCATCGGCGTCTTGGCCCAAAGATGTTCTGCGGCCGGGCATTGACGTGTTGTGAGAAGACGACGACTTCCCCTTTACGGACAAGGATAGGCGCGGTACCATCAGGACCGCCGCCGCTCGGTAGCATCGCGGTTTTGTTGGCTGTGCGGTTGTTCCAGGGGACTGGGTGGGTAGACACGGAGACCTGAAGGGTATAAGCAGACTTCAAGCCGGTTGCAGGATTCAGATATGTACATTCTTTGATGACCGTAGCGAGCTATGGCATCTTTCGAATCTGCTCTCGAGTCGGATACTCTGAGTATCCAACACAAGTGTAAACCTCTTGACGGAGGCGTTCCATTACTGAAGTGTGGCGAATAAGAAGGGTCTGAAATGCGAGATGTCAGAGTCAGGTCCACAATTTTGAAGCGGGTTACGGAGGTACCGACAATGTCCATGGGAGCAGCAAGCCGTTGTGTCTCGCCCTGCAAGTAGTATGTTGAGGAGTTGGTCTCGAAGCAATTCATGGCTGCCAGACTCTTGGGCTAGTTGATCGACGAAGCTTTCAGATCATTCCTCGTCGTTGTACTTTTCTGACTTCACTCCTCGCTCCTGGATGTAGTCGTCTATGGAATGATGGACTACAGAGCATGAACGCCTAAAATGCGAAGGACTGTACAGGAAGTGCCACCGTGCAAGACGAAATCGTTTTGCCAAACCTCTTTGAGCTATGTCGAAGTTGTCCGCCAAAGCTATGTTCCCGGCGTCAGTATCCTCTTCCGCTCTCAGACTATAGACGGATCGTCCGAGGAGTAAAGCTGTTGTGGTGTCTAGAATGAATTTGAAGAAGAGCGGCTGCAAGTCAACCGCTGCCTTAGAGATATCTAAGCATTCAAGGAGATTGTCAACATGTTCGCGAAACACGTCCATATTTTGGTATTGCATTCGAATGAATTATTTGCGCAGTAGTTCCCAGGAGTGCTTCCAAGCCGGCCCCCCTTGAGTGAAGATGCCATTACCTAGGAGAGGGGGAGAAGACACTGTGGCGATCCCCGAAGCCATAATCGACATGATTGCCAAGTCAGGGTGGACTGTATTGAGACATAGACAGTACGGAAAGGCATACCTTGGAAATTTGTTGACAGCACAGCTTCTAGGTTCTTAAGGTCAAGGATGTGAAACGCACGCGGTCCGACTAAGAGGTATTGGAAGAGGTTGTTTCGAAGGTTCGTAGTCATCCGCAATTGAAAAGGAGAACGCGAGCAGATGTTGCTCTGCATCTGAATACCACAGCTTTCTGATCCAGTCGATGCCCAAGGGCCATTGATTTAGAAGTTGTGGTGGAGGTGAACATCCGTATTTCAAGCCGAGCGCAAAATCAGCCTGTCTACTATCAACATTATCCGATGCCACATCTGATCTCCTGCATACCAGGTATTCAAGATACTTCCGCACCACGACTTATAGAATACAGGCGAAGAATAAGGCGGACGTAGTGGAAACAGTCGCAGATCTTAGTAGTACATAGAACTCTGACTCTGCCATACGGATTTGAATATAATGGATGCTCTGCATAACGCCAGTTGTTTGCCGTCATAGGCCCTTGGTTGCGTCCGGTGTGAATGAATATGTATGTAGGTCAAAGAAAGGACATTGATGTGTCAAAGGCTTTGCCCCATGTGTCCAGGACTATGGATGAGGGAAGCATCCTGCAATGGTTTCGAGATAGGTTAGAGCAGTTACCACACTCGAGTAGTTAGCTGACCGTAGCTGCATATTGAGGAAACAGAGAACAGAGAAAGCTCCGGGCTCCATGCAGAGGTTGGTTACGCCAGGACGTCAAGACTCCTGCGCCCAGATCTCGGATGCCGCCCCAATACGAGGCTGCCTTGCGAGATTCGGTACCCTAGGTTTAGGGTTGGTGCTAGCGCTCTCGCGCTGTCTAGGACCGTTGGTGCCGACCTCGTCCGCTCGGGAGGCGGCCCTGTAGCGGGGGACCCTACCTTAGAGCTACCTTATATCCTAGGGCGCATGAATTGAACTTTAGGGGCCTTTTGGACCCCAATATCGGGCTCTGAGGCCCCAAACTGGGCTGAGGCCAGGTTCAATCCCGAAAAGAGTTTTAAGAGCACTGGCGAGCCCTTCATGGGGCGTTATCCGACAGCTGGACCCTTTCCTTGGCGTGTGCGGGACTTTTGGTGCTGACCTCCGTAGGGGTTACAACATACGGAGCCTAAGCGCCAGGAAAGCGGTCTGAGTCTTTCACACAATTTGAGGCCAGCGAGCACGAGCTATTCGTCCCGCTTAGCGAGTTCCCTGGATCGAGTGATGTTTCGAAATGAGGTGTGAATAATTCCTAATCTCTCCACGTAATATTTAGAGTTGAGCAAGGTTGGGCTTGAGGCCCGTTGTCTTGACCCAAAATAGTGTCCAAAGGTATCGAGATTGCACAGCCAGCACAACGTTGAATGTCTAGGCGTATATATACATTTTCAAATTGCGAAGGGCGCTATATATCAGTAACATAATCAGCGAGGGTATAACCAAGGAACCTGTATCCAATACTTTATATCAAAACAGGTACCACCAGTAAGGCCCGCATTCAGGCAAGATCAGCTGCCCTCTTATCATCCAAATCCCTATCCTCTTTCGTAATACTTCCAGCGCTTGAGTCACCGCTGTCCTGATCCTTGCCCTCAACAACGTTGCCGTCACGGCCAAGCATTTGATGCTCGATGTTAACCTGGTAAGAATATGTCAGCAATCTCTTCGGACTTATTGCGGGGTTGGAGAAGCCAGGATATGTATACCTTCGGTCCTTTGAACCATTTGTGCGCACTCACAAACCACCAGATGGTGATCATCGTCATCGGACCTCCATATACAAGAACCGTCCAGTTCATGCCCGACGCACTAGAATGTGGTCAGCCGCTGAGCGCCTACGTAATGAAGTCGCGAACACTCACGTCAGATCGGAGCCAGTCAAGCTCGGAAGCATTAGGATCGGCACCATGAGAGCCACGAACGCACAAGCCGCGCTGCCAATGTACATACTGAAGGGGCCCAAATTCCAAGGACCAGCCCTAAATCGATTGCCGACGAAGAAAACGCGGATGAAAATAGGTATCGTGAACGCGACGAAAGCTGCGACGGCAGCAATAGAGAACAGTGCGCCAGCTGCGAGTGGTCCACCGAAGACAAGGAGGGTCATGAGGATGCCGAGCGTAGTGTTGAACCAGACTGCATTGACAGGAGTGTGGGTGTGTTTGTTGACGCGCTTTATCCACCAGGAACAGGGAAAGCAGTCATCGCGGGCGTAGGCGAAAGTAACTCTGGAAGCAGCAACCTAAATCAAGCATCAGTCGATGGTTGTCCGTGCAGGGTACGATGACTTTATTCACATACCATGCAGCCTTGGCCCATGGAAAAGGCAGCAATGATGGTCAGGGACGCCGCGGCGAGAGCCACTTTCTGAGGCAAGACTTGAAGAAGGTACGACACCCATGGCTGACCTAGTGATGAGGTGAGGACACCATCAATGTCTATGACCGTATAGGCAACCACCAATTGTAAGAACCAGCCAAACAGCCCTCCGATACCGCTCGTCAAAACGATCGCTCTGGGTGCTGCAACGTTCGCATTGGCGCACTCCTCGCTCAAATGAAATGGTGCATCGTAGCCGCTGCCAAGCAAGTCAGCGGTCATTCGATTTGACAAATTTTTGCAATTGAGGATTACCTCATGGTCCAGATCACGGCAACGAATGTCATCAGGATCGAGACACCCTTGGGGAAGTCTGTTCCATCATAAAAATCATTCCAAACAACGCTCGCAGGGGTAAAGCGAGGGAGGCCTTGTGACTCTCTATTGGTCGCAGACGGGATGAGGATAAGAACAATACAGAGCGCAATGATATTGAATGTCGATCCAACAGAATTGAAATTGGCGATCCACTTTGTAGGCATGCTGCTGATACACCCATGTATGAGCAAAATCAATGTCGTGAGCAGCCAGACCTGCCAATTTTGAGGAACGTAACTGGGATTGGAGATGGAAGCGCAAGCAAGGATCATTTCGGCCATAGGATAGTCGACAGAGGGGGCACCAGTGACTTGTCCCAGCCAATTCGACCAGCCGGTCAACCCTATGTTTCACCATCAGCCCTCGTGCAGGTACACTTTGTCTTGGGATACATACAGGCTGCGAGCGGCCCGTACCCCGGTGGCGCCAGAACCGCCGAAGCGTAGTATAACCCCCCACTTGTAGGCATCGAAGAGCACAGTTCAGCCATGCTCATGGCGACGCATTGGATGAAGGTCATGGCGATAAGCCATCCCCAGACCATACCGGGTGTACCCGCGTATCCCATGCCCTGTCACCTTGATCAGCCCAATGTCGCATTGCCGTATCATGGGTCTTTTCTCTCACATAGTATAGCGTGCTGGCGAAACTGGGCAGCAAGCCTAGCACAGCAAAGCTGACACAGAATGTGGTCCACAAGCTGAACTCTCTCTTAAACTCGGGTTTGTAGCCTAGTGCTGCCAGGACTTCTTCATCGGCAGTCAATTCGCGCTCGCTGTAGACGGGAATACCGCCAGCGCTGAGAACGGAGGTCACCGGCTCCTCTGCGACACTCTTTTTGCGGCCTGACATGCTCTGGCTTCGGACAGCGAGATTCTCAGCCATCTCGAAGGTGATTCGGCGTGTCGTCCCACGCCGTTCGAGGTAATTAGGTCAGGGGGAGTAGGTGAAGGAGGGAGAAGTTTGGTTGACAGTAGGGGATCGCCGAGGTAGAAGTAGTCGTCGGACGTTTGAGTGTCTCCGAGAAACCGCCAACGGCTCTCACTGGATTGGAAGGTTCAGGCGTGCATCAACTGATAACGCCCGGTTCTCGCGTGGGGCCCAGCTCGAAACTTGGGATTTGAGGCTTACGGTAGCCCGAGCCCATCTTATCTCTTTCCCCTCTTTCTCGTCTCTGAGCGCTTTCGATTGGCAGAGAATTGAGCCTGACCTCCTTCCTGCGAGACGGCGTCATGTAGCGTCAAGTAGCTCATCGTACTTCATCATCCAGGTGATGCGGCGGCGATCTCGCGAGTTGTTGCGTATCAGCGAAGGATAGTTGGCGGCTTCTGTCATAGGGAATTGGTTTCTGTCGCTCGGCTGGTATTTTGGCCCGGGTGCGCTTGCCTAATCTGGTAAGGCTGCACGTGATCCGAGGTCATCTGTCATCTAAGTAAAGTTGGTAAAGTCTACTCCATAAAATTGCCTCAGTCCCTCAGACCTGCCAAGATCGCTAAGCCCCTTCGGGTTAGCCTACTGACTTCGCAGCTAAACGGCGGCAGGTCTGAGCGCAAAACCCCGTAATCTTGCCAGATCCGCGTTATTTTCGCGTACGCCTTATATAAATTTTTAAGTTACATTTTTAAGTATTAATATCTACTTACGGAGTAATTGTAATTTAATTTTATATTATAATAATTTATTTCTTAATACGAGTAATAGTTTTATATCTTTCTATTAAATACGCTATTTTTTAAGATTATCTCTTAAGAATTCAGCGACGTTAATATAGATATTCAAAAATTTATAAAATTAATATTAAATTTCGATATTACGCGATAATAATCATAACTAATTAACTCGGATTTCTTTATTAAAAGATTTATATATATATATAAGTCTTGAGTTATATTTAACGTAAATAATTAAGTAAATTATAATACGCTAATACTTAAGACTAATTTAGCTTTAAAATATTAAGAATATTAAGGAATTTATATATTAAGAATATTAAAAATATTAAATCACCGCATGCGCTAAGTTTTTTAAAAGAAATAAATATTAGAATGAAAATGTAATAGTTATATTTTTTTTGTTTATATTTTATATATATGTTATATTATACTTTAATTCTTTATTTATTACGTATTTTAATATATTTAAATATTGTTAATTGTTTTAGTTAAAATGCATTTATATTTTTTTTTTTTAAATAAGTCAATCTACGCGTAAGATTAGATTTCCCTTAGATATCTTTCTTTAGATTTCTATAGTGAAGACGCTAATTCGAAGGAGCTTAGCGAGACGAGTTAACTTAAAGGGGCTTAGCGATCTTAGCACGTTCTAAGAAACTAACATTATAAAATGAATTAAAAAAAGTTGTTACGTAACAGACGGTATTTTAGGACTAAGGTAGGCTTAGGGAAGCTAAGCGTAACCCTAATCTTTAAGTTCTTCTTATATATATTTTAAAATAACTCCTGTATTTTACTAATTTTCAGCTTAGCGTCAAATATATATAGGTATTATTCTATAATTATATTTCTATTTTCGCTTATTAGCGAAACAGGCTTGGTTATCTGAAACAACCTCGGTTTTTTAAATAAGGCTAACGCCAGAATATGGACATCTAGACCGATATACATTATTATTCTCTTTTTCTTATCCATGCTTCGATTTAAGTCGGTGTCTTTTTGCTAAGACGATATTTTATATATTTCGAAATGTTGCCTTCTATCTGACTCAATATAGGCAATGCACCGGTCCGATAGACATGGAGCAGCTCATTTGGGGCATAATGGGAGTATGGGTATCATGATAGTCAAAGCCTGTGCAGCGTGCGGATCTGTGGCGTTATGGTGGAATTCTGGTTTTACGGGAAGATAATTTTGCGACGATTCTATCTACTCCCTCAACAGGTTCAGAACGCCTATATTCTACTTTTTTAAATATCTGTTTTTTAGCCTTTTTTTTGGTGGTTTTTAGTTTTTTTTTTTTAACCGAGCGAGCCAATAAACCGCTCTTGTGTCGAAGCCGACACGGAAGCATTTCTTGTCAACACCATCTTGCCCTCCAAGCACGTACTATTTATTCACTTTCCCAGACATTTATTCCAGCTATCGCTTCTCAAAGATAACAGCAATCGTTTTGGTACTTAGATTTGCGAAGCAGCGGTATGCAATGACGCGTTGTCAAGGGGGCTGAGTCAGCGTATCACTGGCCAGCCGCAACGGACGTGTTCGGTCGAAGCGTCAGATTCCTGCTGATCGAATGAAAGCAAAGAGAAATCGTGCCACAAAGATATAAAACAATTGCCTCTTACAAAATGAGACGTTGACGAGGAGGGGGGTCTCCGTTTCGGCTAGCTCAAACCCGGAAGGACTCTCAGCTCCCACTCAGTCCAATGGCATGGGCTTTTAATTATATCTTACTGTCCCGGGAAACGCTCGATCGCCTTTTCGCGGCACTGACTGGCTCAGAGGCTGCGAGCAGGAGCCTCTCGTCTGCTTCAAGTGCTTTGTCCGCATTGCTACGTCGTAGATTTGGTAGGGTACCCTGAGCTAACCCTTCCTTCTGAGCGATTTATGCCTGTGATAAGGAAGCAGAAACAAGCGCCCAGGCCGAGCACTGCTGTCCTGTATGGCCAAGGCTTTCCTGACTGTTCATTCTCTCTCTGCCGTTACTCAACGAATACCTTTCGCAACTTTTCCTTGGGCTTCTTTAAATCCTTCTTTATAGCTCTACGGTACCACGATGACGGCATTTCTCTCTTTCCATACCCTGCTTATTAGTCAATACTTTTTAATTGCGCATACCTCTTTTCTAGCAAGACTTTCCATTAGCGGGCCTCCTCCAACAAAAGCTCTAGAGCCCCGCCAAGCTCCTGGTGTCATCGCAGCCTCTGAGTTCCTTCGCCGTGGCTACCAAGCTTGTAAGTGTTAGATGTAAAGCTAGGGCGCAATACTGACAGTCACTGTGTAGCGGTCGTCGTAGGGAATTGGGTCTATATCGACGGAGGCGAATTCTCTTTCATGAGCGATGGAACGACGCAATATGAATACGGTATGTGTCTTAGAGGATGGGTCTACCCAGACTAATACCCGACGGCCTAGCATCAACACTGCTATCTATCGACCTCTCTCAGAACTGGACGAATGCTACAGTCGCATTACAGTCTACTACCAAACCCAACGGCGCACCCAACCTAAATAGTCCGTCACTCTGGTACCATGAATCGGAAAATCTCATCTATTCCGGTTTCGCAGGCTGGAACTCCTCTTTCGGCAACGACCCAAACCTCCCTGCAATGTCGCTCTGGACCTTCCAGCCTGATGGGAGCGGAAGTGGAGCCTGGAATGAGATCATTGATGCCAAGTCATCTGTATGGTCTCAGTTGACACGTCCTGCCCAGCCGCTCATGGCTTTTGGATCCGACAGCGCCTGGGTCCTCGGAGGTATCACCTCAGACTGGGATCAGTACGCGTCGCCTGAAAACCTCATTCCTGGGATGCTTCAATTTGATATGGCATCCAGGTTATTCTCCAACTCTAGTGTCCAATGCTGCAATGCTACTGGCGGTATCTACAAAGGTGCTCTGCAATATGTCCCATCTTTTGGACCGGAAGGTATACACATCGCGATGGGAGGGCAAAACGGAATAGGAAACAATGGCGTAACTGCTGGGCTGATCGACTTCGGGACGGTCTCGGTCTTCGACCCTGCAAAGCAAGAATGGTGGAACCAAACAACCACTGGGAGCGTACCCAGTCCCAGGGTGGAATTCTGTACTGCTGGTATTAACTCGACCAATGGCACATACGAAATGTTAGATGGCCGTTCCCTGTGAGCTTCCATCTGTTCACCGCTGACGATTTGGTAGATTTGTTTACGCGGGTTGGGGCACCCGTCTTGGTCCAGCAGCTGTTCAATATGACACAATCAATATCCTCACCCTACCGGCGTTCCACTGGATAAGTGTTCCCTACAATCCTGAGAACCCTCGGCACGCACTCTCTTGCAACGCTGTTGGTGGAAGCCAGATACTCACGATCGGAGGAGTTGACTCGAACTCGCAGGTAGCCACGGGTTTGGTTGAAGACATTATTGCAAGTACCTTCAATAGCTCTCCAGACCCATTTGCGCAGGGCTTAGCAATATTCGATATGACGACTATGGCCTTCTCCAATCAATATACTGCTGGGGCTCTACCATACGAGCAGTCCGAGGTGGTGAAGCAATTCTACTCACAATCAAATGAGTAGGACCACACGTACTTTCTCCATGAAGCAGTTTACTAAATGAAACACAGAGCATATAAAAATAATCTCACACCTCAAGTTTCGGAGCTTTTAAATGTCACCCATTTTTTTAATAGCAGTCCGTTTCTCTCTCTACCTCTAGATTCATTGCCAAGGGGCTTGCTGACTGGTATTCAGCGTCCACCAATAATTCCTCTTCCTCGTCCGGCTCTTCCAGCACACCTTCAAATCCTGCAACCTCCAAACAGTCTGAATCTAATGGTCTCAAATCCGGCGCTATAGCAGGAATTGCTGTCGGTGCCTCCGCAGCCTTCTTTGCAATTGCCGCTGGCATCGGCTACCTACTCAGAAGGCGTAGGGCTTCGCAAAAATCCGAAACGCCTGAAACGACATCGAAGGACGAGTACAAAGAGATGGCATCCGTCAATTTCGAGAATCATGGCTTGCAAGAGATGAACGGAGCTGGGCGGGCGTCGGAGCTGCCGGAGCAGAGTATTCAGGAGTTGGAGCACCCAGTACTGCCAGTGGAACTGCAGGCGCACCAACATTATCACCGGGACTGATTTCGGAGCTGAGCATGTCGGCGTTGGCGGATGAGAGCAGAGTGTCTCGATAGCTTGGGCTAAAAATGTTATGAGGACAAAGATACCATGTAATACTCCATTAGTCGTCTGTCAATACTAGAATACTATCCGGCACCCTCTTGAAAACCCCACATCCAGAAACCCAATTTTGTCACCACTGCAAGCGGTATGGCAAGCTGATTCGTCGTCTTGCTGCGCGTCAAGACAGATGCGTTTATCTTGAAAATCCCCAAGGACTTCTAACGAGCTTAGCACTTCCCCACACCTAACTCAATGGTTCGACAGAAAGGCTCAGATTAGGCGCTACTGGGAGCTACACGGTGACGTATAACGCTCGGCCGCAAGCTGAGCCCACAGGGAATGCTCGGGGTGGATTGGCAGATGCTGCAAGGGATGGACCAGTCAGTCCTGCTAGTGGCGCTGGGCGGGCTTGACCCTACTGGGGTTTACAGAGGTGAGAGATGTTTTCTGGAAGTTTTTGTTCGTAGACATTGATACCAGCTTGGCTGTATGGGGGCATCGAGAGGAAGAGCTGGATATGCTGGCTATGATACACAGGTAGTACAATGCCACTCTTTGAGGAGCTTGCTAGGAAGTAATATGTCACCTGGTGGTAAGAATCCGAGTGCTGCTGTTCTGGTACTCAATTATCATACTTTTACCTATGCCGTTCTCTCGTCAAAAGATGATTCATTCTAGGATTTTTGCACGCTAAAGTCTTCGCTGAGTTATGCTGCCGGACGAAGTTAACGAAGAGCTGGCAGGTCAACAGTATGACGGCTCGTGCGCCTCTTTTCACTGGAGGAATATCCGCCTTCTTGGACCTTCTCAGAGATCATGTCTCTAGAGAGTACTATCTAGTGTTGGAATCTGCCATCGACTACTCAAATACTCCGTGATCAATCCAACAGCTACACCAAGATCGCTTCTTCGCTTCTTCTATTCTAGTATGTAACCAGCTTTGCAAGATTGCGAACAAAGATCTACACATACCTCGGCTTCCTAACCTCATCTTTCCCGTATGGTTTACGTTTCGCGACCCCCGCAACATATTTTCAACTAGTAACCCTGAATCTAGGTCTCAGCCATCACAGCTCCACCAGGGCCTCTACTCCTCCACCGTCCTACCGTGTTTGTTTTTTTTGAAAAAAGGAAAAGGGGGGAAAAAGGGGGAAAAAAATTTTTAAAAAGCATCCATACTCCTTGTTGTCCGGATTTTCTTCCAGGTAGCAAATCCAAGATATCTTCGAAGTGATATAAAAATACGAGCAAACTCCCAACGTCGAAACATCGAGCTGGAACCGATCGTAATAGCTGAGCCACAGGCCGCCCGAATTACTGTTGCCGCACCATTTCGCCGAATAGTGCAGTCCGATCGGGTAGGGGGTCGGTGGCCGTGAATGCCTGCCACGCCAGTTCACTCGAATCCGTGCACATGGTGATGCTCATTTTGTTGACGGTAGGGGTGGTTTCGGTCCAGAGGGAGAGGGTGGGGCCGTCGGCGCCCTTGGAGTCTTGACCGCTTGTCAGGACGAAGACGAAGGAGCCGGGTGCGGCGTTGACGCCGCTACCGTTTGTGGCGGTCCAGTTTTGGGCGTGGGTGAGGGGAAGGCAGAGGAGGAGTGGGACTGATACTGATAAGATGGTCTTCGAGAGAGATATGGTGGCTGGGATTCGAAGGCGGCGCGATGTAGGAAGATTGGGTTATGGAAGTAGAAGATGATATTTTCTGGCTTGTTATGGGATCAATGGCCATTTAAACACCCCTCCAGTGAATGATAATCTCGCTAGCATGTACCATTCTTGATAACTTTCATTCTCTAAGAATGTTATTATTAAAAAAAGGTATCTCAAGGTTATAATTACCTAATCCCAACAATATGGTATGCCAACACCTCTGCCCATGTAAGTCTTCAGCGGAAAACGTACGTCTCTTTGTTCTTGAAAGAACGGGATAGAGAGAGAGTGCGCGAGTGATAGTTCTTGCATCATCGAGGCGATTAGTCTCTTTTGAATGTCATTACTCAATGCGATGCAAAATGTACTAAGAAGACCAAAGTCAGGAATTAATTGAAACGAAGACGTCGGATTCCCTAATGTTGGTTCTAGCTCTAACTCCTCTCCAGCTGTCGCAAAGGAAATATCCAGGACAACACACTGCCACAACAACACTCAATCTCAAAAGGCGATTACATATGCAGCCCTTTGTGACGACAACTCCAGTGATACTAGCACCAGTGTTAATAGCCAGGTGTCGTCGACTGAGGGTAACAGGAAGGGCTTGGAACCAGGTTCTTGTGGGTAGAAGGGTTGATTGATTTCTAAGAACGCAAGGCTTCCCTCTAGTTACCCCATCAAGACAAGTACGAGTAAATTATACTACATATGATATACCCTGTCTGCCTTTGAAAAAGACCGCAAGATCTTGCCAAAGCTGAAGTATTCTTACCCTGTACGACATATCTTCAATGTAAAGCATGTTGCTAGTCTCAAATGATCCCAAGTTAATTAGCTACGAGTTCTCCATGTTGAATATTCTATTGCGTCTTGGGGACATGTTTCTGAAAATCTCTGCCGCCAGTACCTTGAATCAAGACAATCAAGATCGCGAGTATCACCTCCCTATCACACTTCGACCCTGGCCGACACAATATTTTTAAACTTTGGATAACCATGCTCAATCGAGGTCCCGGAAAATTTGGGTTACTGAAAGATTGGGGCCGACAAGAGTGGCCAAGCTAAAGCACATGGGTTCAAAGCGCTTCTCCGAGTCGGTCTCTTGCAAATGCATCGGAAGTGTCAGTATTCGGCCACCTCCGTAGTCAGTAAATATCTTTGATAGAAGGGTTCGCCGGATATTCCTATAATCATGATGACCGCCTGTAGCATCCACCGTCAAACCACTCAAATGGACGTGTTTCGATATCATGCAGCCCTAACAAGCTAATCTAGGACAAGCAATCCTACGCTGATCCGCTCAGCCTCGTCAATTCCTTGTCTCCAGCCTTTTCACCATACCCCACATCGCTGCCTGCTGTCCACTGTCTACAACATACATGGCAGAGGTACTTGCTATCGCTTCCGGGATAGCTGGACTCGTCAGCTTGACCATTGAAGTATTCGGCATCAGCTATGAGTACATCAATGGAGTTCGCGATGCCTCTGCTTCTGCGCGCCGATTTCTAAAGGAGTTGGAAGACTTGCAAATAGTCCTTCTCCGCGTTGAGAAGTCTGCCAAAGAAATCAACCAGGAAGAAGTATTTGGGGATGCCGGCTCGTGCCTTCTGTCGATCAAGAAAAGCAACGAATACATTGATTTACTGCAGAAGCTTCGCGACAAAATGAAGCAACGGCATACGGACTCTTCATTCCGGAACAGGATGAAGGCTCTAACATGGCCTTTCTCAGAAAAGGAGACCCTTGCTCTAACTGAGTCCTTGCATCGGCATCTCGAGATCTATCGCACTGCGTTGGCCATCGATAGCGTGTACGGTTACTGACCTTTCAAGATTGAATGAATCTTGTTGACTTATGCCTGCAGAACCATCGGAAAACTCACGTTGAGCGAAGTGAGACAGTCCAGAATCTCTCAGGCAGGCAGGTGGGGCCTAAATTTCCCCGGACGCACACTGCTCATATTATCGCAGACGCACGAATTCAAGCAATTTTGGACTGGCTGTCTCCTTTGGACATGTATCAGAAGCAACAGGATACTCTATCAAGACGACACGGTATTACAGGCTCCTGGCTTTTGATCGACACGGTATTTCAAAGCTGGCTTGACAGTGGGTACTCGCAGCGAACACTATGGTGCCCCGGAGACCGTAAGTGCTGTTCCGGGCCTAATTTTTCCTTGCTAATACGTTACCAGCGGGGACTGGTAAAACTGTCATAACGTGTGTATCGATTCCTCCTAGCACTACCTGTTCAGTATATGCTCACAGAACCATAGGTCTGTTGTTATCGATCATTTGCTCAACAACTACGCTTGCGAGGACACTAAAGTTGCGTACGTGTACTGTGATTACAAGGATCAAGCTGTACAGACAGCTTCCAATCTCGTTGCCTGTCTGGCCAGGCAAGTTATCGGACGCCCGACGGCGTTACCGCAACAATTAGAGGAATTGTACAGAAAACTCGAACAGCAGAAGAGACGGCCAAGTCTGGATGAGTTGAAGAAGCTTTTGGTATCGCTTTGCAATCTATATGAACGGACCTATATACTTGTGGACGCTCTGGACGAGTGCGAAGCAAATCGTGAGAGGAGACTATTGCTGCCTGTGCTTGAAGTCCTGCCAAATACATCCACGAGGCTCTTCGTGACTAGTCGTCCGAACAATGAGGATATCTCTCAAAGTTTCCGCAAAGCACCTCAGATTACCATAGCAGCGCCCGTTTTAGACTTACACCGATACATCATGGAGAGGATCGAAGAAAGACGAGATTCTGTTACCAAGTTAACACCCGAGCTGAAGGAAAAGATCACATCCACCGTTTCCGGCGCGGCGTCTGGCATGTATGAGTTTCCTTACTCATGTTCGAGACATACTCTTGACTGATTCTCCTTGCCAAGGTTTCTCCTCGCCGCTCTACAGATCGACCGAATCCTTGCCATCAGGACAGTCAAGGGAATTAAGTTGGCTCTTACATCGATGCCGAGAGAGTTATATGAACTATACCGACAGACCCTGGAAAGAATCCAAAAGCAAGCTGGTGATGATGGAGTATTGGGTATGAGAATCCTTAGCTGGATAACACATGCCAAGAGACCACTATCAGTCGATGAGCTACGATATGGCCTGGCCGTCGAGTACAACGACGACGACGATGACGAGGGTAAACTTAAGAATTTCGACGAGGAAAACCTCCTCTCGCCAGGAAGCTTGGTCGATGTGTGCGCGGGTCTTGTCGTGATCGATTCAACTAGTCAGATTATTCGTCTGGTGCATTTCACTACCCAGGAATACTTTGACAAGACACGCCTGCATCTATTCAAAGATGCCGAACTTGATATATCGAGAGCGTGCCTCTCTTATCTGTCTTACGACTTTGGCAAAGAATTTCTGAGCCTTCGAATCGCACTCCAATCACATCCCTTTCTCAATTATGCATCTCACCACTGGTTCTCACATGCAAGAAGGGTCATATTGGCGGAGGATCCATCCCCAATGGTTTTGAAGGTCGTAGCGCGTTTCAAGAGCTCAGATAGCATTTCAATCTCGACTGATTTATTATGCATGCTAGCGATGCCCTATTTCAGGTTTCGGCGCTTCAAAGATTGCGAAACAAGGAAGAGGTTCCCACTGGAGGTTGCTTCTTACTTGGGTCTCGAGGAGCTAGTGACCGTCCTCCTTGATCATAGTACTGGATCCTGTCCAGGTATGGATACTTCGTTAGTCATCGCGGCAATGGGAGGTGATTACAATATCAGAAAGCTACTGCTGCAATACGGAGTTCAAGTCAGTTCAACACGCAAACCTGGCGGAAGGTATACTGCTCTTGGGGATGCCTGTTGGAGGGGGCATCTATCAGTGATGAAAATTTTGATAGGCCACGGGGCGAAAATCAATAGTCCAGCTTGGGGAACCCACCCTCCATTGCATGCCGCAGCCTTTGTAGGCGACGCGATCACAGTCGATTTTCTGCTCATGAAAGGTGCCGATGTCAACGCCAGAGATTGCCTTGGAAACACGGCTTGCCACAAAGCAACGTCATGCCGTAGTGGTATAGACATCGTCAAACGCTTGGTAGATGCTCATTGCGATCTTAAAATCGCAAATACATTCGGACAAACCGCTCTTCATTGCGCAGTCGCTGTTGATAACCCTATCATAGTCGATTTTCTACTCAAGGAAGGTGCCGATGTCAACGCCAGAGGTTACAATGGACGAACGGCTTGCCACGAAGCGGCGTGGTCATTCCGTCGTAGTGGTGTGGACATCGTCAAATGCTTGGTAGATGCTCATTGCGACCTTGAAATCACAGATGACGCCGGGAAAACCGCTCTTCATTACGCAGCCGGTAGCCTTTATCCTGATATGATTATGATTGAGTTGCTCTTGGATAAGGGTGCTGATGCTTCCGCCAAGAATAAAAAAGGTGAAACCGCTCGGAACGTCGTTGAGAAACGACTCACGATCGGCGCGAGAGACGATCTTGGTCCAGAATATCGCAAAAATGATCAGCAACTACTACAAAGGATGCTCCAACTGGAACAAAACGCCTCCCCGCTCCTGCTGCAAACGACCTTTGAGTCAAGAGACTGTTTCCTGTGAGCGAAGTCCTCTTCCGCTCTTGGGTATCTAGGATCCAGTGTGTGGCAGAGTAGACATCCATGCAAGGGCAGGGGGCGATACGGGCTTCGAAACCTGACGAAGTCGAAGGGATGAGAGACGCAAAGGACGCGAGTGGTGCAGCAAGAATATGCTACATAGAACCGGTTGTTGAAGGTTGTTTCTTTGGACAGGATTTTGGATGGGGTCGACGTTATTTATGATGACTATGAACCAAAATGATCACTTAGCCCAGCTCATGCTTCGACTGATATGTAGCAGGGTCCTAATACGTCCACTGCTGACCGCAGCTTTGCAAAGACTGACTAGTGTATCGACTTCAACCTATGGGATATAGCAGGAGAACATCTGAACGACTACTTTACTGGACCAGATGAGCAATAGCACAAGCACTCAATCTGCGTTTACTTCACTCATTGATCTACTAAATCGAGGGCCATTGTTGCATCTCTCGCCATCACAGACACTCCCCAATGCGGACGAAATTCACCGCAAAACGTTGCATTTGCTACACCTCTACTATATATAAAAGTCCCAAAAGACGCAAAACCCAATCGATGAACCACGCACTCAGAAACCCAAAACACGCAAACGAAGCTCACTCACTCACTCACTCACTCACTCACCCACCCCCCCTCCTCACCCCCTCACCCTCTCATCATACAACCTTCTAAACTCCCTCTTCTTCTCCGCCACATCCCGATACCGCCTCCCGCTCCTCTCCTTCTCGAACCTCACCTTCTTCTCGTACGCGCCGCGGTCGTCGTTCCGCCACTTCTCCCGATGCGCGCCCTGGAACCGGTGCGGGATGTAGCCGCCCTCTGCCGCGACCCAGTCGTAGCGGTTGGTCGTGATAGGGAGGCGGGCGCGGGGGTGGGCAGAAGTGGCGGGGTGGGTGAAGTGGGAGGGGGCGTTGCCCATTGTTGGATGGTTGGTATTGTTTGTGGGGTTGTTGGGGAGGGTGGGGATGGGAGAGGATGGGATGAGATGGAGGGGAGGAAGGAAGGGAGATATAGGGGTTATATGCTATATCAATTTCAAGAGTGAGAGCGGTCGGAGGTATCGAGTCTCTCGCACAAAGAGATGATGTGGGAGGTCCATTGTGAAGCAAATGCTTTGTCTACACAATTCCCATTGTATGGCCGCAAAGAGTTCGACAAAGACAATGCAATTGTTCTTCGTCTCGTGTGGTAACACATGAGATGAGGGTTACGACGAACAACGACGATGGCCCAAAACACCGTTAGCGTACACGTACGACCCTCAGTTGCACACGCTAATCTGCACTCAAACAACTCATGCAAAACAACTACCGCCGGCAGAAACAACAACCCGCATACTAGCCCAACGGTTACGCCTTGCGCCAGTAACGCATCGGCATATGTCCGCGCGAGGCTGGTCATGCACATGCCGACGATGGTCAAAGAGGAACCGAAGAAGATGGAGAAGCGCGTATAGTCAGCGTCATACAGGGAACCAGAAAGGATACTGATGACCATGAGGAGGAGGCCTTGGAAGGATTCAATCCAGGCGACGGAAGATTCAGAAGACGAAGAAGAGAACAGTTGGTAGTGTAAATGTTCGGAAGGTGCTGTATGTGTATACGACGCCTCTATTTTTTGGGAAAGGAGGGTGCGTGGATAGTTATTGATTGCCGAAAGTCAAAAGTGAATGTCGTCCAGGCGCGGATGGGTATAAGAGAGTGTGGAGACGAGGCTGAACGACGCAGCACGACTCGCAACACGCGTGAAAGACAATGGAGCAAGAAGCCATGACTTGATCCAGGCTGTGAGGCCGCCATCCGGAGGTTCATCGTCTGCTGATGATGGTAGTACTGGCTCCTCTTCACGTCTGGTGGCTAGGCTTTGAAATGCGGTCGTCGCTGCGGGCTTTGGTTCAGTTGTCTTTCGAATCTTTCATGACTTCGAATCCTTAGATTTTAGGGGTAGCCAGAGCTGAGGTTAAGCCCAGGATATCCCTTTTCCATCCAAAAACAAATAGGCAGCGGACCGTTCAATTTGTTACTGCTCTGATTGATTTTCTGGTTCCTCCACGTATACTAGTTGATGATGTTGGTATGAAGGAACTTGATCGTTTCGACTTGTGTGCATGTGGACCTGCGAGATTGCATTGGTCATAAAAGAATGGCTCTCCTTCGCCATCGATTCTCAGGTATGACAGATTCAACCCACATGACACTAGAAGACACACTACAAGAAGAAGATCTCATACCCGACCAATGCGAGCCGATCGGAGCACAAATGGCTCGGGCGATGTCCTCCCGCACCCCCTGCGCGCTTACTCTTCTAGGATCGCGAATCAGTCATACCGATCTGTCCACTCTAGTTGGCAGCATTTGGGTCTGATATGTTATATGTTATACCCGAGTGGGCCATACATCTTCGTTGCCCGGAGTGTAAAGACGTTAGCTGAGCAGGTAATTTTTTCAGTTTGTACGTAGGCACATTGCCCTAAAAAACCTCTGCGATCTATACCTACTACGCCTTTATCCATCGGTGCATTCACTCCGACCTCACAATACCCACGTCTCTTAGGAGCTGGCTCGCATTATTTGTTACTTGCAGAGAGTCTAGGCCCTGCGAGAATAGATCGCCATCATACCCAATACTTTCGAGTCCAATCTCTTCGTTGGGGAATCCGCCGAGTGAGGAACGTATTCTATCTGAAGTTTAAGGCCCACTGACGCTGACAGAGATCGCCGTTTTCCACCCGCGTAAGGTCGTAGAGGGTATCGACTTCATCCTCAAAAGTGTTAATAATCCTGCGCTGAATAGTGCTTTTTCCAGCGCGGAGCATTGGCTTCTCTTTGCTTGTGAGCCGGGTCATACCCTTCGAAGTTTGGCCATGGGCCGGGCAGCCCTCGCATGCTCGTTAGTTATATATTGCCATATGCTCTACAATAGAGCACATTCAACTTTAGAAAAAGAGTCTGCTTTAGCTCTATAAGAACTCCAGCTTGAAATACGCGACAGAAGGGCTCGTCTGGGTGGAAAACACTGTTGAAAGAAGTACTCCATGTTTGACCTTAATCACTTTGGGGATGCCCGTTGAGCAAGAGTTGTGAGAGACGACGAGTATTTCGCATCTCGCTTCTCAAAGATTTTGTTGAACGGAAATCGCAGACAGAATCTCGTTGTCTAACCATTTACCCAGTCGGAACAGCGACTTGTTTGCCGATCGGGAGAATAGCTTGCGGAGTCAGCCAGATCTTCCATTGCACTTTCTCAAGGAGTTCAAGTTGTGCCTCGACGCTGTTGCGAAAGGATGGAACGAACAATTGGTCGGGTGCCTTAGCTTTCGAACAACATGGATGGCAGAGTCATGGTGAGGGGACATCCGCTATAACTTGTAGCGCGTTCTACAAAGCTGCAGATGGCCAGATTTCCCGTACCTTGTGTCCGACGGCCCGGGTAGCTAACGGTCTTGCAGATTTGAGTCTTGCCCAAGACACTCTGCATCCACCAGGCGCGACGATTGACTCGTACGCAAATTGAGCATAGGAGACGTGACTGAACCCCTCACTTCCGTTTCTGGATCGAAGGCTAGAGGCGAAGGGCGCTGTGTAGCCATCACGCGCACTTTCATCAATGAAGTGAGGTATCGAACGGTGGCCATAGTTGGGAGAAGTTGTCTGTGTATGCAGTTTGGCAAGCGAGTCAAAACTTTCTTAGGGCGTAATGATGCAGAGTGGGAAAAGTGCAAACCAAGGGGCAGTACTTCCCTTTAGCAGCTTGACGGATTTTAAGATTGTGGTGCCATTTCGGTGTTGTAGTTCCGGTTTCCTTTTCTTGTGGCATGTCGTCTTCTCACTCATCTAGATTTTGCAATCTGTCAAGCTACTCGCGTCGTCTTCCTCGGAGTATGTCATCAACCAGTGTTTGGTCGACACGAACGGGACCAATAATGTTTTCTCGAAGCCACCAATGACCTAGAAGCTAGCGAACCTTTCCGCTGTGCTAGTGCTGTCTCGCGTAACGTCCCATGAAAACTACACGCACAAATAAGTTCTAAATAATAATTAGCTAGGTCCTAAGGCCCAGCCGCACGCAGATAGTAATCCACTATATAGCTCAGCTTTAGAAAAACTCTCTCTATATAAAATAGAAGATCTAAAGTCTAAGTATAAAAAAACGCTAAAAAATAAGACGCGGGTAAGTGAGAAAAGTCTAAAAAATCTCTTTTTTACGATAAGAGGAATAAGAATAAAGAGTAAGAAATAGAGGGGATATCGTCTATTTAAAGCTCTTTTAATATAGTAATCTCAATTATTCTACTATAAGTATATATTATATCTCTCTCTTACTAATTCTTAATTAAACTATAGCGATTAATATTATTTTATATAATATTCTATAAAAACTATATATATAAATAAATTCTAAATAATAATTAGCTAGATTTTAAAGCTTAATTATATATAAATAGTAATTTACTATATAATTTAACTCTAGAAAAACTCTTAAAATAGATTTATATCTAATAGAAACTATTAGCTTTAAATTAAATAAGAACGCTAAAAATAATATAATATAATAAGAATATAGATCGAATATATTTCGATATATAAGCGATATAAGTTAGACTTTTAATAATTAAATAATTAAATCTTATTATTAATTAAATCGATATCTCTCGCGAAGATAGCGATTTTTTTATAAAAAAGAGTATTCTAAGTAATAACTCGAGTAATTAAGTATATATAAGTACTACGTAATATAGTAATAACGTATTATCTTATAAAGACTTTATTCGAATTAAATAGTAGCGATAATTTATTAATAGAAAAGCGAGTAAATAAGTTTTATAGTAAATAAATAGAGTAGATATTATTATTTATAGCGATAATAGATAGAATAATTTCTTTTCTAAATAAATTCGTCTTTAAGATTAATAGAAATAATTTTATATAATAATTATAAAGCGTAACTAAACGTCTTATAATATATTATTATTTAAAATTACTATTCTCGAATTTAATCTAAAATTATATAAATTCGCTTATATAAAGAAATATAATAAATGTGAGATAAAAAGAAAGTATATAAGATAGCTTTTTTAAGGAAGTTTTATTAAATTAGATAAGAATATAGAGTAGTAAATCTTATATAATTAAATAATATTTTTTAATATTAATCTCGTTATATAATCTATAAATATCGATAATTATCTACTATAATAGTAGATAATAAAAGATCTTAAGATTCTCGAATTCTATATTTATATAAGCTAATTAAATATCTATAAAATAGATCTTAATAGATTTAATCTAAATATAATAGTTAATTAAATATACTATCTAGTTAATAAGTAATTAAATAATAGCGAAAAATACGATAGTTTTTAATAGAGTATAAAATTCGATATAGAAGACCTTTATCGTTTAATAGCTACTTCTTATTTTATTAATTAGACTCTATTAGAGATATCTCGCAATATTATAATTTAAAGAAGTCTTTTTATATTATAATTTAGATAGATTATAGCTTAATAATTTCTATATAAGTTAAAAGCGCTTAGTTATAAATATAAATTAATAATTTTATTAAATTTAAAGCGAAAAAGTAAATCGATTAAAGTATTTCACTTAATAGAGATTTAAATTATATTATAAACGATATTATACTAAGCGAATAATATAATTATTTACTTAAGTAATACTATAGTTAATCTATATATAGAATTACTATAAATACTCTTAATAATAATATTATTATTATAATAGAGTATAAGATATAATTAATATAAATAGAATAGCTATCTACGAATGATTATAAGAACAATAAATATCTTTTTAAATTAGATATTCTTTTTATAATAGCGAATAGCGAAGTATATACTAAATGTATCGTCTAGTTTAGAATAAATAGCGATATTCTTAAGGATATATTCTTCTATTTCGAGTTTATTAAAAGCGTTTATCTATATAGAATAGTAATAATATATAACTATATAGCGAAGTAGATATATCTTATTTTATCTAAATAGAAAGATATTTTATTAGCGTAAATTCGCTATAATTACGGCGATAATATAATAATATTCTTATTTTTAAATAGTGCGGAGTAGAGTTTTCTTAGAAAAGTCTTACTAGAGATTATTACTTTAATAAAGAAAAATAGTAGACTTATCGCTAACTTAAGCTTATTATAAAAAATACTTCGTCTATTTAAAAGAGCTTTTATTAACTTTTTCGTTTATTTTAGCTTATCGAAAGAAAGTCTAATCTTTATCTTCTCGCTATCGAATTAAATTTCTAAAAATTCTATAAAAATATCTTTCTTATCTTTAGTGTAATTTATCTTTAGATTATAGTTATTATAGATAATATTAAAGTCTTTACTAAATTAAATTAAATTATTATTAGACGAAAAAATAGTAAAGAAATTATTTAGATAGTGAAATATAATACTCTAGAAGAGAATAATAATAAGTATTTAATAAAGGGCTTTAGCGAATAGATTAAAAATAAAGGGCGCGATACGTAGATTAAATAATAGAAATCTATTAATATAATAGAAGTTATTTTAAAAGAAATCTAGTAGCTAAAAATCTAATTCGACTATAAAGATATATCTAAATACGTTAATAAGATCTTATTTAATTATAATTATACTTTAATTCTAAGTAAGTAGAATATCGATAATATCGTTTAATATAATATACTCGAATACTTTATAAATTTTATAAATATAATAATTAACGAAGTATAGCCGTAAGAAGAAAAGATTATAAATTCTTCTTTAGCTATTATTATGCTTCGGGATAAGATCTAATAAGAATAAAATAAAGTATTTTAAGAGTTTTATATCTAATCTTATTAGATAATCGTTATTATCTTACTTTTAAAGATCTTTAAATAGTATTTCGAATGTTATAGCGATATTAAGATAAGATTTACTTAATAATAACTAACTAAGATCTTAATAGCTTATTTTAATATCGCGAGTAATAATTATAAGTAAGATATTAGCGAATATCTAATTAAGATAATTCTTAAGTTATTTCTTTTAGTCGTCTTTCTTTAATAGACTATATCTCTTTAGTAAAGACTTACTTAGCGAGATAAGTATATATAAAAATAACTTAATTATTAACTTAAGATCTCTCGATATTAGTTATAGTTAAGAGATAAAAGAAAATTTTATACTTAGCGAGATAATATTAATAAAGATTTCGTTAATATAGCTAATAGTAGAATATAATAAGTTATATATATTATATATATATAGATAATAATAGTCTTAAGCGTTATAGAGTTTATTATAATTAAATTAATTATAGTAGAATAGTTAAAAATTTTAAAAATTTTAATAAGAAGATATAGAAGTAGTATTATAATATATCTAAGATAAAGTTTAACTTAAGCGTAAATTATATAGTAGATAGACTTTCGATTAGATCGACGAAGATCGCTATTTTAAAATTTAATTTTTTAAGTAATTATCAGTATTCGCTATATATAAATATTATCTTAATAAAACTAAATTCTATTATAAATGAAAATCTTATAAAAATAATATATCGATTAGAAGATATAGATAGTTAATAAATTAGAAATATAGTAGTAATAATTTAATAGAGTTTCTTAAAGAAGTAAGATAATTATTTTATAAGCGAAGAAATATATAATTTAACTATAGACCTCGAAGTATCGAAGAAACTCTTTAAATTTTTTAATCTTCTTATCGCTATTAGCGAGACGATTAATAAAGCTATTAAATAGTTTATTAAGATATTTAATATCGAATATTTTATAGTAGATTTATTTAATATATTTTAGATTTATCGCTTTAAAATAAAGAAGAAGAAGAGTTATTATAAGATTATTTATCTATAAATCTAAAAAATTTCTATAAAATTTGAAATTGCTAATCGCGCGTATATCGCGGAAATTACAAAATTCGCTAGATTAGTAAATCTAATTAGAATCTATCTAAATTTCGTCGGTTTAATAACTATCTTAATCTTTTTCGCTAGTTCTATTAGTTTAATAGCAATATATATAAAAAAAGAAAAGTTCTAATAATTAATATTACGACGGTAAAATTCTATAATAATAAGTATTAATATTAACTTAAATTTAGCTATAGAATTAAACGATTTAATAAAATTAGTCGCGTAAGTAATACTCTAATATAGCGTATAATAATATATATATTAATAATAATATATATTAATAATATATATATATAGAATAGTACTTAGAGTATATTAGAGTATATTACGTAAAAATCTTAAAGTTATTAAAATTTTTTAAAGTTATTAAATTAATAGAACTAGCGAAAAGAGTTAGATATAAATAAAGTTTACTTAATAGACTAAATCGTACTTATAATACGAACCCGACGGAAATTATACGAAAATTTACTTTTTAAATTTATAGATATTATCTTAATATAAAAAGAAGCGATATAATATTACTTTCGTTTTAAATAATATTAATATTCTCTACTATAATAGAGTTAAAGTTAATTATAGAATTTAAAAAGATATAGATAATAATTAGAGAGATAAAGCGAATAAAAATAGTTAATAGATTAATAATATAGAGACTTAAGATATAAGCTAGTATATAATAGAGATAGTTAATTAGTAATAAGTATAAATCTTATTAATCTCGCTTTATATATAGGCGAGTTTATCGCGATCGTAAAATATATTATTTTCGTCGATCTATTCTTATTCGAGTTTCTAATAAGCGAATTATAAATTATAATTAAATAATATAGAAATTAAGAACTAGCTCTAATAGAATAAGCGATTTTTATTAAAGAATCTAGCTGATAAATAGAGAATATAGCGAGAATAGAGAGGGGTAAGAATTTATTAGAAAGTCCTTCTATAGATTTAGTAGGCGGTTTTTATAGAGATAATAATTTAATAATAGTAGTCTAATATATAGCTATAGCCTTTGCGATAAACTTATAAAAACGCTTAAGGGTTATTAATAGTAGCTGAATAGCAATGATATAAGTAGAAGAATAATATATTTTTAAATGAAAAATTGCTTTCGTCTGATGTTAGAAAATGAAAAAAGTCTAAAAACCTCTTTTTGTGATGAGAGGAATAAGAATAAAGAGCAAGAAACGGGGGGACATCGTCTATTCAAGGCTCTTCCAATATGATAATCTCGGCTATCCTGTCATAAGTGTGTGCTGTGCCTCTCCCTCACTAGCCCCCAATTAAGCTGTGGCGAATATTGCAAACACTTGCGTAAGGCACTTAGCCGTCGTGGATAGGTAGGGATGTCAAAGATTTGACTGGACGGTACTCCATAGAGCCTCCCTGCAATTTGAAAATTTTCTCCCTTTTGGAGCTTTGTGAAGATACGATCGATCAGAACGAGGGAGGCTGAGATATGCCCATTGTGTATGAATTTCACGTACGGATACCCAAAGCTAAAATACGATACCGTATCTTACTTTACCTCCGGAACGAACCGTACTAGTACCTAGCGCCCGCTTCATCTTCCTTCCTTCCTTCTTTCCTTCCTTCTTTCCTTTCTTCTTTCCTTTCTTCTTTCCTTCCTTCTTTCCTTTTTTCCTTCTTCCCTCCTTCCTTCCTTCTTTTCTTCCTTCTTTTCTTCTTCTTTTTTTTCTTCTTTCCTTCCTTCTTTCCTTCCTTCTTTTCTTTCTTCTTTCCTTCCTTCTTTCCTTCCTTCTTTCCTTCCTTCTTTCCTTCCTTCCTTCCTTCCTTCTTTTCTTCCTTCCTTTCTTTCTTCTTTCCTTCCTTCCTTCTTTCCTTCCTTCCTTCCTTCCCTCCCTCTTATGCCACCATACGCCAAATACTGATGCGCGAACCTTATACCCTTGTGCGTAACAATTCCCTAAGACTATGAGCGCATCTCCAAGCACCCAACGAGCCGGAAAGCGAGGAGGTACCGCCTTCGGATCGGGACCGCGTACGAATTCCAGCAGCAGCGTCTTAAAGATTGGGCATTTCGTGTGTGCCATTTATTCTGCAGCGAGGCCAGGAACGGGCGTTCTGGCAATTGGGGATTAGAGATTTTGAGAGCGCGTCAGAGATAGGTAGGTTCAGGCAAGGGGGTGAGTAGAATTTGGTGAATTTGGGTTAGGTATGTATTGATCAAGGACGAGTCGATTGTGAATTCATCTATGTACATGAGCACCATTACGGTAATATGTCCGTTTCTTATATATATCCAAGACGTATCGTCCCTCGCATGCATACGGATTATGTTTCCAACGATACCTACCACGAATGCCGACGTTGCTATACCAAAGAGCCCGTTTTCGTCAAAAAACCCCTAGAAAACAGAAAAAATTCCGCCACCCAAGAATATAACCAAAAGCCAAGTACCCAAGCGTAAGCAGATTTTTATTTCACGGCCCCTTCCGCCCTGGGTCCTCCCAAACGCCCACTCCTTCGCACTGCTTCGGCACTCTACATCGAACTCTCAAGTTTTCGGGTACCGTTTTCCAGAGTACCTCTCTGACCTCGTTTGCGACCTTTTCGACGCTGTCAATGGCCCAGAGGACGTCTAGATGCTCATACTCTTCTATAATCTTCGAATGCACGACTCGAACATGAGGCTCTCTACCCCTTTCGAATCGTCGGAGCAGCCGTCGGCCCTCGACCAGTTCGTCAGAGCCCGCGACCCAGAGGGCAAATGGTGGGACGCGCTCGTCGAACCAGGCTTTGCGGCCGCGATCGGGATGAGGTTGGTCCGGGTGGCTCTGACCGTCCAACATGCGTTCTGTTGAGTGTTCGGTGCTGTGGGCGTAATAATCGTCTTCTTCTTCATCCTCTTCATCTTCGATTTCTCCTTCTTCGCGAGTAGCGAGGATGCATTTCTGGCTCGCGAAGCATTCACGACCAAGCCACCAGCGCATACTCTCTGCGCTCACGTACACAGGCGCAAATTGGAACATGCGGTTTCGAAGCCCCTGGTCCCAGCGATCGTCGGTCCAGTTGAAGAGGAAAGAGAAGACGCGGTAGCCTAGTGCGCCATAAAGGCGTCCTGGCAGAAACGAGTGCATTGTCATCATGAAAGGGATGAAGGAATGGATCCCGAACATAATGCGGAACATGCCTGGTGAGATTATCCGCATGAATTTCAGATACATTTTCCCAATCAAAGGCCCCGCATACACCGCCGGTGCAAGTGCACAGAAGACGCTAAGCTTCTCTCCCAGGTCCGGCCGCTGCTCCTTTGCTAATGCCACAAATGTTGCAGTCGTCCCTTGCGAGTGGCAGATCAGGCCTAACTTTGAGAATCCAGTCTCGAAAAGCACGCGAGACACAAGAGCGGGAAGATCCATGACGCCCATCTGTCGGATATTCCAATTCCACATTCTGGGGTCGGTGGTTTTAAGAAGTTGGTGCTGTGGATTGAACCCGCAGCGGTTGTTGCCGAGCCAGACGTCGTATCCGGATTTGCACAGATAGAAGGCTAGGGAGGAGTCATCATTAGCGCAGTACGCGCCTGACGATTGAAGGAGACCGTGGATGAGGAGAATGGGGTATTTGCAAGTTCTCGACGAGTTTGTCGATGATGACGATGTAGCGCGGCTGTCATTGGAGCGGTCGTGGTCGAAAGCCTTGGGGAAGACGACGGGGGCACCATGGGCGCGCTGGGATGGAGAAGCGGGTCTGTATTCTTTCGGGTTGTATACATGGTCGAGCTGAATAATAAAGCCGTCCTCGGTCATGACCTCGTAGCTTTCCGCGTCCAGGCCTACCCTTCGCGCGTAGTACCCAAGATCGCAAACAAGGGGATCTGGGCCACCTTCTGTAGGCTCGAATTCCTCATCTCGCTGACCGGCCTCCTCTTCCTCGTTACCGTCTTCGGCATTCGAACTCCTCTTGCGCCGTCGTTTTATCTTCCACTCCCTTGCCTCCTCATCCCTGATATGTTGTCTCCTCCTTTCTTCTTCGTAGAACGGCCGTCGCGCGTCAGGATTGCGGAAGGCCAAACGTATTCCTATGTGCTGAAACATTAACGGTATACTGGTAAATGCTGATCCGAGGACAATGACGCCGAGAAAAGCAAGAGAAAGTATAGCTGACGAGACTCGGAAGCCGATGCACTGTATGTCTCGTAGTACGGATGGGGGCCCATATAGGGGTAATTCTGGAAATAGAGGATTCGTTCTCGAGGGAGGTATAGCGTTGCGTAGAGATGCGTCCGGTCTGGTGGACTGTGTAGACTCTGCTTGACTTGACGCTTCACCGGTTTCCTCGTGTTTTAGACGCGCTGGGTCATGCCTTTGGTGGTTAGACTTGGAGCTCTGGCCTTTGACCTGGTCTCTTAATCTATTCAGCTCCAATGCCTCCTTCAGTGGTACTGCCGGCAGTCTTGCACCATTCTCAGTCTCAATCACTGGATCTTGTGGGGTGATAAAGCGCGCCTCGACGGCCAGGGCGCCCCTGCTGTCCTCATCTTTGGCGTCATGTGCCTGGAGGGATAGCTTTTCGGATTGGTGTGTGAATTTGATGGCAGTGCTTGTCTTTGCCTCTGCGATCTCTTTTGCCATTTGGGACTCGAGATTAAGTCCGAGATTTCGGCCGAGGGAAACGATCAGGGGCACGGAGCAAGAGAGGGTGCTTAGCAGGGTATTCTTCGAACATGGGCTTGTATGAAGATGATAGCAGTCATCATTAGCTGTTCAATTGCATTTTTGAAAGGTGCTAACTGTTGCTTTTAAAAAACAATGGTGTGGTGGGCGGTTATGCGCAATCTACGGCAACGATCTTCGCTATGGCAAAGTATGATGATGTCGCGCGCTAGCGTTCATCTTGCATTATTATCATCCACGCAACTGTAAGGGCGGCGATGAACATGCTGCCTACATTACTTTAACATTAGTTCCACTCTTACGAACTTGCTTTGACTCGGTAGGCTTTGTTTCCCCTCCCTTCCTCTCCCTTTGCAACAGGGACAATGGGTGGAGGTTGATCTACTGATTCACTGATTTACTCGTAGGGCAGGGCAGACGCTAGGGGAATGGGATTCTAACCCCGCAAAGCTTATCTCCGAAAGTGAATGAATGGTGGGTCGCTGCTGCTGCTGCTGCTGCGAGAGATCTACTTTGAACGACACCAGAGGCCAGCCTTTCACCCCAAAGATTCGATAAATAAAGATAAGATTCACAGAAACCCGATTGGTCCGTTATTCGCATCTGCGATTCAGGCTTAAGCGAATAATGATAATGATATGATATAGTAATAGGTGCCGGTACCTGATTCTATTCCCGTCTCAATCGAACCTCGGCCCAATCATCGACAAATGGCATCTGGGCCGGGTGAGAACTTCGATACCCTCAGCTATCCCACACGAGTGGCTCTTGCCACTGAGCTGTCGTGAGATGGAACATCGGACGACGTATATGGACCACCGAAAAAGAAAGCGACGGAGAAGAGCTGACAGACCTCCCATCTCGGCATGCTTAACGCCAAGCGAACAAATCAAAGGCAACGTGGGCAAGATCTCCCGGGACCTCTACACTGAGCTGTTCCGCCATGAGCCCTTGCAGGAGCCCACCGTTGCACCTGCACCCCTTCACTACATTGCCATCGCGCCATGGACACCTTTGTCGCAAGATATCGTTGAAAATACGAGCTGGACGATACTGCCTGTTCGTGCGCAGGAGACCGGTGCGGAGAGAACAAATGGCCTAAGTCCATTGTCCCTACAATTTCCGGCAGCTTCATTGGCACTTCAGACTTTTGCGGAGGCACTGCAGGCCACCTCAGCAGAGAGAGGCAACTCCAAGGGAAAATCAGGTGTCGAGGTATGGATACTGGAGGTGGAACCTCTGAAGCTGGATACCATATACGTGACCGTTGATGGGAATGCCCTTGATAAACACGATGAAGTGCAGAAGAAGTTTGGAGGAGGCTTTCCTGGTTCTCAGACCAATGGGTATGCCAGCAAGAGCAAGGGAAAGGGCAAGGCCACACTACATGCTGGGGTCAATGGTGATGGAGGTCTGTCACAGATCAAAGATCAGGAAGACCGGCTGACCGCGGCTGTTCGCGAGGGTCTGGCATCATCACTGGTCGTGCGCCAGAATGATCTCCTGCCCCTGCCGTTGCCAGCTCATCCAATCACTCATGTTCCTTTACCGCCTGCGAAAATCACCTTTTGCGAACCTATCGCCCAAGGCCTCCTTTCGCACGAGACCAAGATCGTCGTCAACCGCGTCTACTACAAGGACCCAGCAGACCGAGGTCGACCAAATCTAGCTGTGCGCAATGCTTTTCGTGCCATGACAGCAGACAATGGGAATGACACGTCAAATGAGCAATTCTTCTCTGCCACAGAAGACGGCGGTAACGAGAACGTCATGAACGTCGAAGGAGTGGAGTCTACTTCAGGTTCAGATAGTTCTAGCAAGGAATCTGGTAGTTCTTCAGATGACTCGATGGACAATATGATATCTATGAGCGCTCCGCGACTAGCAAGTCATGATTCTGGTGTACTAACTTCGAGGATAGCGGCTACGCCCAGGGCAGGAAGACCGATGACGAATGGCGTTAACACCCCAGGATCTGTCTTTTCAAACCTCACGGCGACCACAGCTAGGCAAGGTTCGATGGCAAAGGGTAGGTTTTGCAAAGCACAAGGTCTGACCGTCAGGATACCAGATGATTTACTACACCCCAAGCCAACTATAGACGAGGATGATGAGGCTCGCGTATTCGTTGATATCAAGACCCTATTGAAATTGCATTGTTTCTCCGGCGATTGGGTGAAAATGGAAACAGCATCCGCACCTGGTGAAGGCCGCTCCGGAATTTGGGGGATTCAGGCATTCGATCGTGACAGTGGACAGGACGATTTTAGACCTGTCAAAATTTACGGATTGTCTGATCTAGCTCCGGTCTCAGCACCTCGATATACTAAATCAGGCGCGCTTGAGAGAAGGTCAAGTGCCGCCACAGTCCAGACGCCGGATACTGCAGGCCTCGTTGCTTGGCTCTCGCCCGTCTTACTAGCAAACCTAGGCCAGCCGCTATTTGTGAGGCTGTCCCCTCTGCTCGCGGGACGAGCGGGGAATAGTGGTGCGAGAACTACAAACAATGCCTCGAAGGTCAACAATGCTACGTCACCACCCGTTGCGAAAGAGATGACCATAGTTCGAGTATCCACACCCCTCTCGACTGAGCGAGCGTTGCAGAGCGGAATATTCGCCTCTTTAAAGCAGCATTTTGAGAACAAGCGACGCATTCTTCGCCAAGGGGACCTCATTGGTCTTCCCATAGATGCGGGAGCCAGTCGGTTGTTGGCTCATCCAGCCGGTGGTGCGGATGTTGATGCTGATGTGGAGGAATTGCTTGCCCTTTCTTTGGAAGACGAAGCATCGACATTTCACCGCTTGGAAGTCGCCTGGTTCAAGGTCGGGCAAATCGTTAGTCCAGAGCCGGACCAGAATTGCCAAAGTCTGTCACCATTTGGCTGGGGTGGAGTTGCCTGTATTGAGCCCATGACTACTCGTATGAGACAAGCTGGAAGCGAGACAAGCAAGACACTATCAGCATTAGATCCGTCATGGAAGTACTACCTTGGCGTCCGGCCACCAATGAAAGGTTTAATTCCCTACAACCCCATAAGGCAATCTGTGGCTCCCACACCCAAACCGTACACTGCACCTCTGCAACGGCGCCTCCGTGAGCTGTTCGCTGCAGCTACCAGTCCTCGAGCTGTGCATCTCGGAATGGACCCGATGATCGTACTTCTCCACTCTACCCAGAGAAACATTGGCAAGGCCACACTGGCCTCAAATGCTGCCTCGGACCTTGGACTCCACATCTTTGCCATACCTGCATACGACCTTGTAGCGGAAGGTGGAAGTGGTGGTGATGTCAAGACAGAAGCTTTATTTAAAGCGAGAGTCGAACGGGCCCTAAGCTGTGGAGCTGACTGTACAGTCATTTTGGTACGACACATAGAAGCCTTGACGGCAGATCGCATGGTGACCGCCATCAAGGACACAATCCCTGATGTCAGAGTGCTCATAGCCACTACCACCGAGATCGAGAATGTACCTGATGGTGTACGAAGCCTGTTCACGCACGAATTGGAGACAATGGCGCCAGACGAAGGTGAGAGGGAAGGTACTTTACGGAGCATCGTGGAAGACCGAGCGATCAGGCTTGGGCATGATGTTGACATGGCTTCCATCGCGGTGAAGACTGCTGCCCTCGTTGCGGGCAATTTAGTTGATATCGTCGACAGAGCCGTCGTAGCCAGGCAAGACCGTCTGGAGAAAGTCGTTACTAACAGCTCGAGCATAGGAGAAGGCACGGACATACTTCTTCGAGATGTACTCGTATCCGGCGGAGAGGGTGCGCGCTGCGTGACCAAAGCGGACTTTGACCTTGCTGTGGAGGCTGCCCGAAAGAATTTCGCTGATGCCATTGGAGCTCCCAAGATTCCCAACGTCAGCTGGGATGATGTTGGGGGTCTTACAAACGTCAAAGACGCTGTCATAGAGACCATTCAATTGCCGCTTGAGCGACCAGAGCTCTTTGCCAAAGGCATGAAGAAGCGAAGTGGTATCCTCTTCTACGGTCCTCCCGGTACTGGAAAAACTCTTCTGGCAAAGGCCATCGCAACTGAGTTCTCCCTCAACTTCTTCTCCGTCAAAGGACCAGAGCTACTCAACATGTATATTGGTGAGTCTGAGGCGAACGTACGCCGTGTTTTCCGGCGAGCTAGAGATGCCAGACCATGCGTGGTCTTCTTCGATGAGCTCGACTCTGTGGCACCGAAAAGAGGCAATCAAGGTGATAGCGGTGGCGTCATGGATCGTATCGTTAGTCAGCTTCTCGCTGAGCTTGACGGCATGAGCGATGGTGAGGAAGGTGGCGGCGGCGTCTTCGTCATTGGTGCTACGAATCGGCCAGATCTGCTTGACCAAGCTCTGCTACGTCCAGGACGATTCGACAAGATGCTCTACCTTGGTGTCTCCGACACCCATGACAAGCAGCTCACTATTCTCGAGGCCTTGACTCGCAAATTCACAATGCATCCAGAGGCGTCTCTTCGGCGGGTGGCTGACTCATTGCCATTTACGTATACGGGTGCAGACCTTTACGCACTCTGCTCGGACGCTATGCTTAAAGCCATCACCAGGCAAGCATCAGCTGTCGATGCGAAAATCAGAGTAATGTCTGGTGCTCCTGTCACTACGGCTTACTTCTTCGATCATCTGGCTACAGACGAGGACATTGCTGTTATGGTTACTGAACAGGACTTTTTGCTGCAAACGAGGAGTTGGTTGGTAGTGTAAGGTAAGGATACCTCCCTTTCAAAACATATGTCTCGATGCTTCGCTAAGATCCTCTTTCCAACAGCGCCAAAGAACTCGAACACTATCAACGTGTGCGCCACACTTTCGAAGGTCCCAACAACCCTCATAAAGCTCCGAACCTTACTGCTGCCTCCAGAATCCCAGCTCCTACAACGAATGATCACCTCCAGCCGCCAGCACCCAGCAAGCGTCCTAAGCCCATCAGCCGCACCGGTACCATTAGGCAATCGGATCCGAAAAGGCAAGGGAAAGGGCAAAGCTACGCAATGGGATAGCGATGACGATGATGATGACGATGCTTATGTGACTAGTAATGACTTTGCAGGGACCCCTGAGCGAAAGCGGAGTGGAGTCAACGGCTTTGGAGACGTGGGAGGGAATGATGACGAGGAGATCTATGGGTGAAGGGGTCGAGGATGTAAAAATTCGGACTGTGGAGTGAGAGGATTGTATATATTTTTCTGGACGACTCGGCAGAAAAGCTATGCTTTTGCAGACACCTTTGCACATATTCTCTACTAAAAAAAAATCCACTATCACTCACTTAGGTGAAAGCCTTCAAAGCTCTAAGGCGGGAATGGATCCGAGGTTTGTTATCAAATAGAACAGGCCAGAGGCCCTACCAAGTGGCCATATCTCGAAGTCAAGCCATCATGTCAACCTCAGAAGCCAGTGAGAAGCTGGAAACTCCCTCGACAGTGAAACTTGATTTTTCCTTTCTTGGAGAGTGTCAGCCGGTGGGTGCAACATTGTCACATATTCAGCATCTGAAGATGAACGTTTGACAAGAGCAGAAAGCCAGGACCTGCGAGGACAAAAACTTACATCAAGAGAGGAACACCGATACTTGGTCTGGGACGATCGAGGTCACGCACACCGGCAACGGGGTGATGTTTTTTTCTACGCAGTGCCGTTGTTGACCAGTAGCAGTATGCGCCCAAAGATCATCCCACAGAGTCCTGTTCGGTAGCAACTCCAGTCCAGCATCACGCTGACACCGTTGTGGCTGATTGGGTGCATCGTCAGCGGCAGGTTGATGTTGCTTTGGGAATCGGAGACATCTACGTCTGTCCCACGACAAGCGAAAGCCCGTATCGCAGTGGCCTTCTTCCTGCATTGGGCGACGGTGATGAGATTATGTTACGGTGCGGAAGCTGCCGTCAGTACCGTTATCGCCGTCGTTACATCTCTCTCTCTACATAGACGCACTCTCTGTGCAGAATTTTACGTGTTGGCATGTCGAGAGCTTTTCTTGGCGATCGATATAATCTTATGCCAAGCCACATGAAAAAGAAACCGGACGAGGGCAACCATGGTGTCTGCAAGGCGAAAAGGCATGTCAAAGCACCTCGGCAAGGCCAAGTCCCATGCCAAAACACGGCCCTTGCAAGGCCTTTCATATCACATTGCGATTCGCTGCATTTATAGGTCAGCTTTTTAACCACTCGGTCAGTGACTTTTTTATTTGTAGTTGTCAAAGCCTTTGGCTGCATACGGGAAGGACGAAAGAGATTGGGCGCCATACTTAAATCTAAAACCAAGGATAAATGACTGACTAGATTTGAAACATGTTCGGAGGACCGCTACTTGGATGGGTGAAGCGGATTGGTCACCTGAGTCTACTTAGGCAATATTTCTGTCGACTTCAAAGTCCTCTTTCTTCAACTCCTACGTCGGCAGCGTTCTTCCTCTTGGTTTCTCAATAGCGTCCAATCATACCTCTACCCCAACACGGTTGCGCTTGCTTGAGCAATCCTCACCAATCACAACTCCAGTAAACTACAACATACCAACAGTCCACTCATTGCCCAACACTTCGACTCACGGGACAGATCAGATCTACAGTCCCGCTGCTGCCCAAAGATGCCCAACCCACACTTCCTCACTACGGATCCCAACATCGCCACGCGCGAGCTTTGGGACCGACTCCCGGGCAAATATTAACTACACCGTACAACGCACCACGACCCACTCATCGAAGGCGAGACATGCACCGACGTCGACATCGTGTCTCCCTCGTTCGGCGAATCCGAAATCACCTCCCGCGCTTCCAACGGATGCAGCGTACCAATTCGAGTTCCATCGAAACCTCCACCTTGAACACCGTTGCAAAGACGGGCAAAAGAGCCAGAACGACCGAAACGCGCGTCTTCCGACTCCAAAACGGGGAATGGAGCATCTGGAACGTCGACGGCGATGGGGCCGTGACGGGGAAACTGGCGGACTTGGCGCTGGGGCACGTGGTTGAGCCGCCGATAGATTTCGGCACGCACCAGTTCCAGGGGCGCAGCTGAAAGTGGTGCAGCGGCGGTAGGCTAATGGGAAGGGGGCGACTAAGTATCTGGGCTTGCGCTTTATCATGATGTATGTGGCGACGTGGCGGATGCATCATCGAATTGAGCAGAGGGAGGGGAAGCTGATGGTGCAGGGGGGTCATTATGTTCCGGAGACTTGGGGGAGAAAGTTTGGAGAGGTTGCGGGAGAGGATGAGTGGGGGTGGGTGGTTGATGGGGGCGTGCTTGCAGGATGCTGAGGAACTCGCTTATCTTCTAGAGTTACCAGAGTTTCCCTCAAAGTCCACCGGCCTTCAAAGAACTGGATGACAATCTTACCCTTTCGAACCACTCTACGACCACACGCTTAGGATTACGGACCATGCAGCCCAGTACTATCCATACTGCTTACATCTTATCTTCAGCGTTGGAGGCCTCGTTTGGAGGTTGAGCGAATGGCGCTTGATACGGGTTGGGTCCATACTACGATATTTCGAGACTCTGGACAAGCTGATACGTCCGTCTGGGTCTGGGTCACTTCGCCCAAGGCGCCGTATACCCCTTCGACGACGAAAGCGACCAGAGACGCTACCGGTCCCCGCACCAGCTCGTCTTCCTGGCATCCCTGCCGACGGTTCTAGGCGAGAGACACCGGATCCGCAAGCGCGAGGTGTACTTCCAAGATCCGGATTTCGGCGCCGTGGAGGTAGAATTCTTACGGCAACGTCTCGGCTACACAACCTTGTCCGATCCGGGCGCGTATGCCAAGATGACGCCGTCGACGTTGTTGTTCGCGCCTTGCGTTCCGCACTGGGTGCGGGCGGGGGCGTTGGAGGTGGCGTTGCCGGCGTTGTATGTGAGTGTTGATGTCGAGAGGGATCTTGAGAGGATGGGGCCGGGGTATGAGTGTTCGTTGGCGAGGGTGCCGTTGCAGGTTACGTTTGGGAGGTTGAGGGATGTTACGCAGGTGAGACAACTGCCGGATGGGGAAGGGGATGTTTGGGAGGAGTGGATTAATGTGTGTAGTATGAGGTGGGTGAGGGGGGAGGGGTAGGAGTTTTGATGCTGTTAGGGTGGTTGAGGGATGAGGGGTGAGATGTCCAGGATTTTGGTGCGTTTTTGTCTTCTGGAGGAATCTTGTGGTCACCATAGACAATTCGCTTTGCTCGTCGCTTTTATCCAAGATTTCTTCTAGTATGACTGCACATCTGTTTACCATAGCGAGCGAACTTCCTTGGTCGACCGGGTAGACAACAGAACCAGACAATGGGTCACCACTGGAACGTACAGAAGCTGTTCGTTCGTGTCAGAAATTCTTGTAAAAGACCGGCCGACCCCTTCATTCTCCGCCCGAGTATCAACAAAGCCCATAAAAGGAAAGAACACAGAGACGGCGAAGGGTTGCTAGAAGGCGACAATGCTGAGCTGGACAGGATGAGCGAGTCTCGGGCATTATGCGAGTCATGGTCCTGTGAGTAAGCTAGTGTCTTCTTTCAATAGTCCTTTCTGTACAAATCTGTCACGCACGTGTGTTGCCCAAGAGCGTCTGAGCTCAGCCCATATCGAGAACACTTACTCGCCCACGAGGGTTTGTGCAAGAGGGATGGTAAATCCTACTACGGTGAAGACATCATTTCTTAGGAGCGCAATACTCAACTGACCTTCAAACGCTGCGAGATAACTTGCTCATTGCCCTTTTTCTTTTCCAGCGTCAGCTCCAGAAGTTGCGGTCTCATGACTTGACGGGTTTGAATCATACATAGATACATACATAGATACATACATAATATATAAACACATAGACACATACATATACACATACATTCATACACACACATCAAAACAAGGCGATAATCCTCCCTCCCTTCCTTCCTTCCTTCCTTCCTTCATCCACCCGAATCGCACCACCTCGCCGGATCCATCCACACGCGACAACCCAGCCCAGTCCAACCCAGCCCAAACGCACCCACAAGCGATACAAATTCCATCATTCAACGCCGGGTACCCGTCCCAGCGACTCTCTATTTTATCTCCCCACCTACGATATGTGAAACAAACAGTGGGGAGGCTGGTTTCCTGCCGCGCGTGTTTTCGAAGAGGAGAAGGGGGGAGAAGTGCCGATCGATTGATCGACGGCCGAATGAAAGTGCTACGTAAAGGGGGTACGGCTTCAGGTGCCTAGTGAAGGGGTTGGAAAAGTAGGTGAATAGAGTTGGGGGGGGGAGGGTTTGCTGGATAAAGCTGAATGGGCGGGTATTGAGAAGGGGGTTAGGGGGGCTTGGATGTTGTGAGTTGAGAAAGCGGAAAAGGTGGGTGGGGGGACAATGATGAGTAGGGGCCGGAAAACGAACCGTCACAACCGCGTCCTGGTTCTTGCGTACGCTGGAGTTTGCGGGCATGGTGCGCTGCATGTGGCTGTTTGGAAAGTACTGTAAGGAAGAGGCAAAGAGTCGCGCTGCCCATTTATGTGGCCTTTGAGAGATTCATTTGTACTCTGTACTGTATACGAGCCACCAGGAAACCACATTCCTACCACTTAGCGCACGCACAAATCTGGAAACGCAAAGACAACAGAATGAAAACCACGTTTCCCAATCCCACGTTCCATCACCACTTTACTCGATCGGCTTCCTCGCCCAGCCGCTCAAACACCTCCACCCAGCCCCGGTCCATTTGCCCTCTTCCAGAACCTCCGCGACGCCCTCCAGCAAATTCTCCTTTCCCATCTCCGTCTGCAATTTAATCATCCACTGCTCCCATGCCCAACTGCCGACCAAGCCAGCCATACTAGCCGCATCAGCCGTGCTGCCCACGGGCCCTTGCACCGCTTCTACTTTGCGCGTCCCGTTCTCGAGCCCGTTTTCGAAAGTCGATACGTTGGGTGGCGGCGTCTCGGGTAGCATGTGTCGCTCTTTGGTGGGTGTACCCATGGGCAGAAAGGTCCAGGCGCGTTTGATGTCGTCGAAGCCGGCGCGACGGAGCCGCCCGAGGAAGGATTTGGTTGGCAGTGGATCGTAGCCTCTTGTCTTCAAATTGAAACCAAATTCTACGCTCATGGCGGTGCCACGGGAACCGGCGTTGACGATTTCAGAGTCCATGAGGAAGTATTCGAGATAGCCGCCCGGTTTGAGGCAGCGCAGACATTCTTGCAGGCAGAGGTCATACTCATCCATGGTGAAGCCTCGGTGGACGTCAAGTTTGAGGTGGGAAAAGAGTGTCCGAGCGGATATGGCGGAGAAATGGTTGTTCGGGTAAGGAAGTGTATAAAGGGAAGGGACTGTGTGTAGGCGATGGTTGTGGGGACCGCGGATCGTTGGGAACAAAAGAGTGTCGGTAGTGCTTGCTGTGTAAACCTTGGCGCTCGGGTATTCGCGGGAGCAATGCCAACCCCAGTCAGAGGATGGTTGGCCGCCGAGATCAAGGACGTGTGAGAATGCTCTAATTTTACAGCCTTTGATATCGTTGAGTGACGGGGCTTTGGTTAAGGATTGGACGGCAGGACTGTTGAGGAGACGGCCTCCGCTGAGGTATTTAGCTGCTTCGATGACCCAGATGCTTGCGCTCACTTGCTCGAGTGCTTGGCGCTCCCTTTCGACTCGGGCGAAAACTTCCTTTTCAGCAGTGTTCTCGGCTGTTGCTTCTTTGCCGGGCATCATGGATATCGGTCGCTGCGGAGCTGGGCGATTGACCTTTGTAATCTTGAATTGGCCTTGGAGCTGAGCAATGTGCTCATGGGGGAGGCTGAATCGGGCGGCTTGGAGGGAATCAGACCTGGTATGACGATGTCTAAAGGGGTCGACACGGCTTGACTGCCTCTTGATGTGCTGGAAAGCATGGTAATAGATCGAGTCTCCTTCTCCAGGCCTCGTGACGATCGGATATTCTCGCTTTGCGATCTCGCTTTCCAGGAATTTCACTGCTTTCTTCATGGGCGCTTCCAATGAGTCGTTCCTAGCGTGGCTACTACTTCTCACAAGAGCCTTTTCTGTGCTAAGACCGACTTCACTGGCAGGATAAGTCTCTCTCAACGAGGCCATATACGACGTCTGAGCAGCAAGCCATACACTTGTTCTATCTAAACTTTTCTCGGCACTTTCTTGGATCGCCTGCTCGTAATTGCCGTCGTGATCGCTCGAGGGCGCAGTGATCGCGACTCGATGTACTTCACCACTGCTGCGGCTTTCTGGAGATGGAACCTCCTCAATGAGGCGTGGAGGTAGTTGGCGAGCGGTAGGTGGTCCATCGGTATCATTGTCGTGCACTTCCACGACTTGTTCAACCGTTGCAGGGGATTCTCTGTTCCATGGGCACCTGTAGAATTGTTCGGCCGTTGTCGATGACGGTGGCACTGCAGAGACAGGCAAAGGCCCGTTGACACACCATGTGCGCCTTGCATTGTGCCCCAAAGAAGAAAAAAAACCCCCCAGGAGATGGGATGCTGAGCCCTGATATGCTGTAGTCCGATGTCTGGGACATTGGCGTAATGTCCGCGCTTGACGGGCGAACGGGAGCTGGGAAGACTTCTTCCATCTCCTTCTCCGATTCGGTCGGCGAAGCGAACTCTGGTACCTCGAGAGACAGATGCTGCAAGGTATCTAGAGCAGCTGGTGGTAGCTGGACGCCGACGTCCGACGAATTGTCTTCTGGGGTTGGCACCGGACTGTCCGAGTAATCTCGCCCAGCATCTATGGCAAAATCATGAACACTGATGCAGTCCTCGGGACTGAAACCTGACCCGTGGTACTGTCCAGATCCATCGTCAATTCGGACCCTGAGTTGTGGCCGATTCGGTTTGTTATCACCGCCTTGTCTGTGCACAGCATCCCCTTGTCCCCATATATCCCCACTCTTCGGATATATATGCACATCAGGTGTAACCGGAGTGCTTGTGCCGGCGAGCGGATCTGAGTCGAGGCTCCCATTTAGCGATGGCGGGTTGCTTGGCGTCGGCAGGTCGTGACCTAACATAAAGAGCGCCGCAGGTGAGATGGGTATCTTTGGTGGTCGTGGTGGGGAAACGGAGTGTTCCTTGTGTATTGTGGGCCAGTAGCTTGGTGACGGTATCACCAAGGACGGGTATTGGTTCTGCTTTGCCTTTGACAAGGGTGCTTCATTCGAGGATAACGAGCGTATGCTGATCGAAGTCTGTACGGACGGAGCGATGTCAGAATCATCATCGGATACGTCGTACAACTCATCGAAGTCTCCCGAATTCCGACTCGTCCTGTAGTATGAGGAGATGGAGGAGGTCAGTGATGGTACAGGCGAGGTCGACTCTCTCGAGGGTGCAGGCGATAATTGTTGGTTTCTGCCGCGGCCCATGACCTCTGCCTCTCCTTCGCTATAGTTCTCTTCCTCATTACCGCTGAACTCATCTTCTATTATTGTATTAAGGATGTGCTTCCGGACCAGCCGGGGGGAGCTTCATATGTGGTAGCAGGCAAAAGATAACTATCCATTATGGTCTGTGTCGCGGACCCAAAAGCTGGAAAAAATGAGGGGTATAATTATGAAAGAAGATGTAAATGTCCGATCAACGGAACTGTGAATGGATACTCGGTCAACGAGCAAAAGCAACAAGAAGCTAACAGTAAGAGAGTAGACACAGGAAGAGATGAAGACTCCAAACGCAGCAGCAAAGAGAGAGGCAAAGACGATGGAGGAAGGAGGCCGCGGCCATGATTTGGATATATATTTGGGACCAACGGCGGGGGGAGCCATGGCAGTTGGAGGTGGGCGGTTGCAGGGACTGGGGTCAACGGCTCTATGCAGGAACAGGAGGAGACTATATCGGAAAGCGCCGGAGAGTTGGAGGTAGTAAGAGACATGAGAGGTAATGCAGAGAGATGAAGCCAATGGAAGCTATTGTTAACGTGCGCTAAAGCCTCAAGAGTGTGGTGATTGGATGAGAGGTGCAGCTCTGTAAGCGCCCACTGTTGCTATCTTGGGCGCCTTGCCAAGTCCATTGGAGGACCCCACTTTGTGTCGCACTGTTGGGCGTTGACTGTAGAGTATTGCCCGACACTGAGACTCGACGAAGAGAAGAACTAGAATGTCGAACGAATTTTGCGCTGGGGTTGGGTAAATTCATCAAAGACAGTGAAGAGGAGTGACGATCATTGTTGGGGAGGGGGGGGGACTCGGAAGCTACAAGTACGTACTCACTCACGCTACTTTACCTTATGCTCCTATGTCATAGCGTTTTTAGACCGGAGTTCAACCGAAGACCTCCGCACTCCTAGGGCCTCTCCGATCCATCCGCGTGGCAGCACATGCATAATCTAAAAACGCGAGCGCATACATGTAGCTGCACTTTGGAATCTGGAATAGCGAGTCTTGTCAATCGAAAAGGAGACCCAGGAGCTACCAAAACTCAATCCATAGCACTACTCACCGCACTTCAGAAGTCGTCTACCGGGAATCGGCCGCCATGACTCCTCCGGCCATAATAGCGCCCTCCATCCTGTCTGCGGACTTCGCTGCTTTAGGCGCTGCTTGTTCAGACACTATCGACAATGGCGCTGATTGGTGAGTGGCTTCTTGGGCAGCAGGATGTTCAGTACACTGATGTTCTACTCAATGCCGTAGGCTACATGTCGACATCGTAAGTAGTGCTCAATCGCAAGCAAGTGTGCACTGAGGACTGATCTCGATGATTTAGATGGACGGTCACTTCGTACAGCCACCCTTCAGCAACTTTACGCGCGGGGCTTGCATCCACTAACAGCGATGCAGGTGCCTAACATCACGTTCGGAGCGCCTGTTGTGACCAAGATACGTCCTCACGTCCAGCGCCCCAAAGGCGCGCGAGGCAAAGGCACCTTTGATTGCCATATGATGATCGCCGAGGTAGGCAGCTGTATGCTACCCCAATATCTATCCCTGAAGACCATGGGGAGACCGTGTGGCTAATCGCTCTGTTTCGCTAGCCTAAGAAATGGGTAAAGGAATTCCAAAAGGCGGGCTGCGACCTATACTGCTTCCACTATGAAGCCGCCATCACATCCACAGCCGCCGAGAACCCTGAAGACCATACCGAGACCAAGACTAGCCCAAAGGAGATGATTCAATACATACATAAGAGCGGTTTGCTAGCGGGCATTGCAATCAAACCGGAAACGTCGGTAGATGTTTTGTGGGAGATCCTCGAGAGTCCGAACAAGGAAGAAGTTCCTGATGTGAGATGTGGCCGCTCAAAATAGGGAATCGTCACTGACAAGTTTTGTTCTAGATGGTGCTTGTCATGACCGTACATCCTGGATTCGGAGGACAGAAATTCATGGCGTCAGAACTACCCAAGGTTAAAGCGCTACGAGAAAAGTATCCAGATCTCAACATCGAGGTTGACGGTGGACTGGGTGAGGGAACGATAGACCAAGCTGCGGATGCTGGTGCCAACGTGATAGTTGCAGGGTCTGCGGTCTTTGGTGCCAAAGACCCAGCGGGAGTCATCAAGGTCTTGCGGGAGTCGGTCGAGAAGAGAAGACAGTCGAGTTTGTGAAGTCATGATCGATCATGAATGATGATAGGAAGCCTGCTTAGCCCGCTGGCTCCCATAATCGTCAAATGAAAGTATGGCTATGACAGTGCTGCAGGCGGCGCAAAATTCGCGATAGCTTCAAACCATGGAAATAGATAGCTTTTTAAAAGCGAGCTGTCCCTAAACCTTGATCGAGACGGTCTTTCGAGCTGTAGTCGACTTGGCGTTGCGAGTCTGTATCTATGTAACCTGCTCTGGGATATGGATTCAATCTGCTTATCCCATCCTCCTGAGCTCACGATGGACTTCTGAGTAGTGAAACAAGGATTGCTTGGGTGGGACTACATATTACCGTTGAGGAAAGGGTCTCGGGGTTGAATGTGAGGCAGCTGAGCCGACAGGGTGGGTGGGGGCAAATAACCCCCCCGGGGGGCCCCCCGGATTTAAAAATTTATTTATTAATAAAAAAAAAAAAAAAAAAAAATAAATATATTTATTAAAAATATTAATATTAATTAAAAAATATTATAATTTTAATAAAAAAAAAAAAAAAATTAATATAATTTTTATTTTAATAAAAAAAAAAAAAAATTTATTTTATTTAAAATAATATATTTAAAAAAAAAAAAAAAAAATATATATAATAATAAAAAAAAAAAAAAAAAAAAAAAAAAATTTTTTTTTTTTTTTTTTAATTTTTTTTTTTTAAAAAAAAAAAAAATTTTTTTTTTTTTTTAAAATTTTTTTTTTTACGAGCGTATTCTTAATATATCCCTTAGCTCTATAACTAGCGAACCTTGGCGGAGGTATCTTTTATTATATTATATCTTCTTTTCACCTATATAATTCGATATCTTAGTTATCTTATTTAATATATCTATATTAATATTATATTTATATCGATTCTAATACTATAACTAAGATTAATCTACTTATTTTATTTATATTAATAAACGAATTTAAAGAAACGCGCTAGTAGAGGCTTTAATAAGAAACTAAGTTAAGTTATCGTATCTCTAGATAAGCCTATCAGATAGATAAATCGATTTTAAAGAGTTTAAAAGAGATAGCGAAACGATCTCGACAAATAATAATCGAGAGATAAAGAAGATATACTGGCCGGAAAGGTATAATATGATATGGGATATTAATCTATTATACCATACTCTAATATAATATAGATTATTGAGATTTACATGATTTTATACCTGATATAATATGAAATCTTAGCGAGATATTTCACGATATAGTATATCTATGGTATTATACTATGAAATAATATATATATAAGATATTTTGATTAAGATTTCTATATTTAGAAGTAGATATTCTAATTATTATTCTAGTTAACAACTACGCTAAATTAATAAGATATAAAATTAAATACGATTATATTTTATTACTCTATATATATAAAAGAAAGCGAGCTATATCTACTAATAATAAGAAAAGCTTATCTTTCTCCTAGTATCAACCGCGTGAAATCCGCTAACACTTTATAATTAAAGCCGTCGACGATAATTTTATACGTCTATTATATATTTTCGATATCGCTATCTAATATAAAATTATATATATTATAATTATAGTCTTTTTATTAAATCGTCAATCTAGAAAAATTAATATATCTCTTAATATTCTCTTAAAAGTATCGCAGCTTAATATAATAAGCTATATTTCTTTAAGCTACCTTCTCGCGATATATAAAAAAAAGATTAGATATAGAAAGTATATAAAAGTATATTTAATAATTCTAGAATGAATTAACGATACTTATAATAATAATTAGAATTAAGAATTAGATATACTTAAATAAGAGATAACTTTATATTACTCGTATAATAGCGATAGTAGTAATTAAGATTAAAATATCGATTTAGATAGCGTAGCTTTTATAGTAAGCTTTTTATTACTATACGCTAGATTAATTATATATAAATAAAGATTTATAATTTTATCTTTTAGATATAATTATATTTAATATTTTAAGATTTTTATAATAGCTCAATACTTATTAGTTAGCGCGTTAATATTATTATATCTAAGCTATAATAGCGCTTATTATTAAATTCTATATTACACTTTTAAGTAGCTTAAAAAATAAGATCTACTTAATTATTAGCGCGTATAATAAAATTATTTTTAATACTTATATCTTATTTAGCTTCGATATTATTTATTTCCTCTTAATTCGAGCTTTTATCTTTATTTATATATATAATAATTCGCGTAATAAGCGAAACTTTAGACTTCTTCGTAATTACGCTCGCGTGCTTTTTTTATATAATATTATTAAAATATAAGTCTATTAGAATAATAATTAGAATTAGAAATTACTTATCGCTTATTTATTATATCTTATCTAATCTACTTAAAAGCTTACTTTTATTATAATAACGATATATTAATATATTTAACTTTACGCTTTTTAATAATTATAGCGTAGTTAATAGCTAAGATATTAGCTTTCTTTACTTTTTTAATTAATTTCTTCTTAAATATAAACGTATTTATTCGCTATCGCGATCTCTTAGTATTTTTATTTTAACTAAGCTTATTCTTCTACTTTTCGTTTTAATTAAGAGTTTAATCACCATCTAATTAATCTATATTAAGACTCTTTAATATCGCTATCATTATTAATATTTAATACTTATTATAGTAAATTATTAGACTTAATCTCTTCTACTTTAATTATTATAAAAAGATAAATTAGTAGATATATATAAAAGAATTAAAGGGCTTATACGAATATCTACGAATATTAAGCTATTCTTAATTTTAATTAAAGCTTATTTTATTAAAAAGTGCGTTAATTCTAATAAGTATCGATATTAGAAATAAAGAGAATATATATCGCGCGTTATTATAAGTATATTATTATAGAGTTTAACTTAAAGAATAATTATTTCTATAAAGATAGTAAGACTTAAAGATAAGAAAGTAAGAATAAAATATATGAAAATTTTAATAAGTTATAGTAGTTTAGCGCTAGCTAAATTAGATAAAAATAATTACTTACTAGCTCGCTCTCTTAGATCTTTTATCTTTTAATCTATATAAGCTATAATAATAATTATAATTATTATAGAAGTAGCTAAGATTATATTAGATAATAGCGCTTAATAAGCGTAATTCGCTTAAGCTTAAATCTTTAAAATTAAAGAGAAAGCGTTTTATTAATATTTAATTTAAGCTAGATAATATAAAGTAATCTAAAAATTTAATATACGCGATAGATATCTAAGCTTTTCTTCCCCTCTTCTTCCTCTCTAAGACTTTCTTTTTATATTAATTCTTCTTATTATTAGACTATCTTCTTTATATATTAAACTTCTATTTAAGTAATTTAATATTATTATAATAATATTAAAAGTATAACGTAGTCGTTAAGTTATATATTTATTCTTTATCTTTTAATAACTTTAAGCTAATATATAGATAGATCGCGCGAAGAGCTTAATTTATATACGCTTAATCTATTATTAATAGATCTTCGAAAAAGCTAATACTATTCTAGAGTGCTAGATATAGCGTTAAAGTAAAGTCTTTATTAGATATTATCGTCGCTTTAATCGCTATCATTATCGCTTTAATAGATATTATCTCTACTTTAATAGTATTAAAGCGTCAATAAAAATTAGATAATATATTCTTCTAATTATTATTATATTTATTATATATAACTAACGCGAGCTATAGCTTAAGCTTTACGCGAGATTTATTATTATTAAAAGTTAACTAATCTTATAATCTCTAAAGCTTCTCTTTTAATATCTAATTCGTTAGATTATACTTAATTAGAATCTATTAAAGCGCTATTATATTTAAAGATTTCACTTTTAAAGTATTATATAAGATAATAGAAGTCTTTCTAGTTCGTTAGTTTAAGAGTAAGTTTTTTATTATTACGCTTTATAATTAGCTCTAATAATCTCTATTTAAATAGATATTTATCTTTATATAATATATAAAAAGCGAGTTATATTATAGAAAAAGAATCTAAATCTCATAATTATCTTAGCTAAGTCGTTTAAAGTAAAGAGAAGAGTATATTTATCTTTAGCTATTAAATTAGTTAATTATTATAAATATAACTATAAGATATAATTATATATTATTAATTACTCTAGTAATTATAAAAAGTATAAAAGAAATAAAATTATATAATTAAGTACTTATAAACTTTTCTCTTCTAAGTATTTATTTTAATTTAGAGTTTAATCGCTATCTAATTAAAAAAAGAGTAAGATATAGAAAGTATATAAAAGTATATTTAATAATTCTAGAATAAATTAATAATATCTATAATAATAATTAGAATTAAGAATTAGATATACTTAAATAAGAGATAGCTTCACATTACTTATATAATAGTAAGAGTAATAATTAAGATTAAAATATTAATCTAGATAGCGTAGCTTTCGTAGTAGATTTTTTATTACTATATATTAAATTAATTATATATTAATAAAGATTTATAATTTTATCTTCTAGACGTAATTATATTTAATATTTTAAGATTTCTATAATAGCTCGATACTAATTAGTTAGTATATTAATATTATTATATCTAAACTATAATAGAGCTTATTATTAAATTTTATATCGCGCTTTTAAGTAGCTTAAAAGATAAAGTCTATTTAATTACTAGCGCGTATAATAGAATTATTTTTAATACTTATATCTTATTTAGCTTCGATATTATTTATACTCTTATAATCTAAGCTCTTATCTTTATCTATATATATAATAATTCGCGCGAAAAGTAAAACTCTAGACTTTCTCTAAATTACGCTCGCGTACTTTTTTTATATAATACTATTAAAATATAAATCTACTTATTAGAATAATAACTAGACTTAGAAGCTACTTATCGCTTATCTATTATATTTTATCTAATCTATTTAAAAGCTTACTTCTATTTTCTTATTAAGTCTATTAATTAGATTAAAGTTTATATCTTATTTTTATATAAATATCTAATCGCGTATTAAATAATATCTTATTATTTAAGACTT